TTTTATAAAAAAAACTAGTTTTTTAACAACTAAAATATAATATAAATAATAAAACAAAAAAAATAACTAATAAAACAAAAATAATGTCTACTACTACTACTAATAATAATAATTTAGTTAATATAATATCAAAATATATAGACTTAAAATCGGATGAACCGCTAAACATATTCAATGTGGAAACGGTTATCAAAAAACATGAACAATGGCTTAAACTGATGCCCAGAGTCAGGCCCTACTATGCCTTCAAATGTAATCCATTCGAGCCGTTACTTAAGCTATTGATAGACATGGGCTGTGGCTTTGACTGTGCCAGTCAGGTATGTGTGTAATCTACCCCATCCTCTATTTATCTAACTACCAGCCCACCCCCTCTAATAAAAAACCTAACCCATTTAATCATTATGTATTATTACACTATAAAGCATGAAATCGAAACCGTACTGACCATTGGTGCCGATCCCGGCTCTATAGTCTATGCCAATCCAAATAAAACCGAATCATCGATAGTCTACTCCCGGAAAATGGGTATATCATTGGTAACGGTTGATAGCGAGGAAGAGCTAATCAAATTGGAACGTCTACATCCCGGTGCTCGGCTACTGTTACGGCTGAAAGTAGACGAAACCGGATCCTACTATGGGTTGGGCGAAAAATTTGGCGCTACTCTACGCGAGTGTCGACAGTTGCTGACACTGTGCAGTCAACTAGGCTTACGTCCAGTGGGTGTAGCCTTTCATGTCGGATCGTTTTGTCAGTCGACACTGGCCTACCAGAGAGCTATCGAAATGGCCCGCCGGGTGTTCGACATCAGCCACCAAATGGGTTTCCCCGATATGACTGTACTGGATTTGGGGGGCGGTTTTCCCGGTACCGATCGCTGCTACTTTGAACAGTTAGTTACCGAAGTGGCCACTTTCGATACGATAGCCCAGGCTATTACCAGGGCACTGGACCTACACTTTCCACCCGAACCTACTAGAGGTAGTAGTAATATACAGATAATTGCCGAACCGGGTACCTACTATGCGGCCGCAGCTTTCACACTAATAACACGTATTATATCCAAACGGGTGGTCTCACTAACCGATGCCAACCATAATCACTGTAATCGACATATAATGTATTATCTGAATGACGGTATGTTCGGTAGTTTTACTGTCGATAAAATGATTGGCAAACAAATTATACCCATACCTGTGCTTAACAGTGTTAGTAGTGATGATGATGATGAAACAGTAGGACCGACTGCCGACACCATTGCTAAACAACAACAATCATGTTTGAGTACATTATGGGGTCCAACCCTAACCAGTCTGGACTGTATTGTATGCGATATACTAATGCCTGAACTAGACGTTGGCGATCATATAGTGTTCAACGATATGGGCGCCTATAGCCATAGCTATTCACCATACGGTTTCAATGGTATGCCTACTAGCCGTTATTGTATACATGTTTCAGACTATGCCTCTAACTATCAACAACAACAACAACAACAAACAATTTAACAAAAAAAATAATTATATTTTATTTTAGTAATTATTTATTTAACAATATATACAGTATTACCTATATTACAGTATTACCACTTGTAAAATAAAATTTTCAACAACAAAAAAAATATATAATATATTGTGTAATTTATTTTTGTATTAATTGTTTAAATAGTTATCAATTTTTTTTTGACATACTTTACATTATATTTAATTTGATACTAATATGTAAAATAAAATTTATCAAAAAAAAACAAAATTTATTAATATATTGTGTAATTTATTTTGTTGTTTGTTTTTTTTTATAAATAAATTAATAATAATATAATTTATTATTATTATATAAACTCTAATAATAATATTTTATATATTGTTTGACAAAAAAAAAATATGAACCAAAAATACTGTACAGTATTATGCAATCATATAATTTATTAATAGATTTTTATTATTTAATAAAATAATCACACAATATGTGATCATAATTAGACAATTAATTTTTTTTAATTGTTTTTTTTCAAATAAAGTTTTAAATAAATAATTATAGTATTTACGTAGGTAAATATATATATATATATATATATACTGTATATATACTATATATATATATATATATAGATAATATGTTTTATTAGTTTCAATCAAACACAATTTGATGACGCAAATAAAAAGCACCAATATCAAATTATAAATAGGTGCAATATTTTTTTTTTGAATATTTTTTTAACCCATAATAATAATAATACTAATGACTATAATTATGATATGCATAAATTTTTATTAATTTATTTTTTAAAAATAGATATATTAAATTATGAATGACGTAAATTGTATCCACAGATACACCCCCTGTCCCCCCCTTATTTCCTACCCTCCACACTGATAAAAATATAGTATAGTTAATATCTATAATTTATTTATTTTTTTTTGCACCCGGAGACTACAATTTTTCAATTATTATAATAGAAAATTTAAATAAAAAACTAGTTAATAATTAATTAATTAATTATATGCTTAGATAAAAAAAGTAAATAAATATAAATTATTTGTATTTTAAACAAAAAATAAAAGTTATTATTTAGTAATATTAGTAGTACTAAATAAGTAAATAATTTTTTTTTGTAAAATTAATAAATTATATTTATTAAAATTTATTAGCAATAAGTAATTTAAATATTAATAATAACAATTAATTTTTTTTTTAATATTTATATTAACTACCAATCAGTACACGCATATAAATTAGATGAAAATATATTTATTTATTTTTTCAAAAATTAAAACCTTGATTAAAATTAAATTAAAATTAAATTAAAACCAAGGTCAATGCAACATTGATGAGGGTGGGATACCCTATAACACCAAGGTCAACTCTAATGACCATTATTTAGTTTCCCATAGTAAATATTACTGTATACACATAAAAACATATATACAGACACTCACATACATACATACATACACACACACACACATACACGCACACACAAACATATATATATATATATATATACACACACACACACACATACACACACACATACACACACATATATATATATACATACTTACACACACACATACACATACACATTCACATTCACATTCACATTCACATTCACATTCACATTCACACACACACACTCACACACACACACACACACACACACACACACACACACACACACACACACACACACACACACACACACACACACACACACACACACACACACTCACACACACACTATCAGATGCTATATAATTATAGATTATTATTGGGTTCAATTGGGTGAAAGTATGGGACAATATATATGATAATTATTATAATATTTCTCTTTTTTGTATTATCTCTCTTTCTCTCTCTCTCTCTCTCTCTCTCTCTCTCTCTCTCTCTCTCTCTCTCTCTCTCTCTCTCTCTTTAATTTTCATTATTTAATTTCGCAATTGCACACTATATACAATTAGTTTATTAAACATTTAATTTTTATTAAAAACCATTTAATAGTTAATCATTATTTTTTTTTTTTTTTTTTTGATAATTGTTCAATTTGTACAATTATTTCAATAATTATATACTTTACAAATACAGTACATTATAATTACTGGTAATAAAAATAGTAGTATACTAGCATTAAAATAATAAAATTATTATTTTTTTTTTAATAATATTATTATAATTTTAGTAAATGCTAGAGTACAAATTTTTTTTTTTTAAAGTTAAACCTATAAATAAAATCAAATCAAACATCAAATCAAATGTTTTTTTCAATTATTTCAAAAAAAAACTTAGCAAGGAAAAATTATTTGTATAAATAATTTTTTTTTCATAAAAAAAATATTTTAACTGTTAAATCTCTAATAAGAAACTAATAATAATAATGTCTAATAATAATAATGCTAATAATAACATTATTAACAATAATAATAATAATAATATAATTAATATTATATCAAAATATATAGACTTAAAATCGGATGAACCGCTAAACATATTCAATGTGGAAACGGTTATCAAAAAACATGAACAATGGCTTAAACTGATGCCCAGAGTCAGGCCCTACTATGCCGTCAAATGTAATCCATTCGAGCCGTTACTTAAGCTACTGATAGCCATGGGCTGCGGCTTTGACTGTGCCAGTCAGGTATGTGTACTCTACCTTACCCTAGCCTAACCTCTCTCTGTCTCTCTCTGTCTCTCTCTGTCTCTCTCTGTCTCTCTCTGTCTCTCTCTGTCTCTCTCTGTCTCTCTCTGTCTCTCTCTGTCTCTCTCTGTCTCTCTCTGTCTCTCTCTGTCTCTCTCTGTCTCTCTCTGTCTCTCTCTGTCTCTCTCTGTCTCTCTCTGTCTCTCTCTGTCTCTCTCTCTGTCTCTCTCTGTCTCTCTCTGTCTCTCTGTCTCTCTGTCTCTCTGTCTCTCTGTCTCTCTGTCTCTCTCTCTCTCTGTCTCTCTCTCTCTCTCCCCGAATAATAACCTAACCTAATAAAAATATTATGTATTAAAAAAAGCATGAAATCGAAACCGTACTGACCATTGGTGCCGATCCCGGCTCTATAGTCTATGCCAATCCAAATAAAACCGAATCGTCGATAATCTACTCCCAGAAAATGGGTATATCATTGGTTACGGTTGATGGCGAGGAAGAGCTACTCAAACTGGAACGTCTACATCCCGGTGCTCGGCTACTGTTACGGTTGAAAGTAGACGAAACCGGATCCTACTATGGATTGGGCGAAAAATTTGGCGCTACTCTAACCGAATGTAGACAATTACTGGAACTGTGCCGACAACTGGACTTACGTCCAGTGGGTGTAGCCTTTCATGTCGGCGCCTTTTGCCAGTCGACACTGGCCTACCAGCGAGCTATCGAAATGGCCCGTCAGGTGTTCGACATCAGCCACCAAATGGGTTTCCCCGATATGACTGTACTGGATTTGGGGGGCGGTTTTCCCGGTACCGATCGCTGCTACTTTGAACAATTAGTTACCGAAGTGGCCACGTTTGATACGATTGCCCAGACTATTAGCCGGGCACTGGACCTACATTTTCCACCCGAACCTAGTAGTAGTAGTAGTTTACAGATAATTGCCGAACCGGGTACCTACTATGCGGCCGCAGCTTTCACACTAATAACACGTATTATATCCAAACGGGTGGCCACACTAACCGATGCCAACCATAATCACTGTAATCGACATATAATGTATTATCTGAATGACGGTATGTTCGGTAGTTTTACTATAGCTAAAATGATTGGCAAACATATTGCACCCATACCGGTGCTGACTATGGCTAGTGGTGATGGTGATGGTGGTGCTAAACAACAACACCGACAATCATGTTTGAGTACATTATGGGGTCCAACCCTAACCAGTCTGGACTGTATTGTACGCGATATACAATTGCCTGAACTAGACGTTGGCGATCATATAGTGTTCAACGATATGGGCGCCTATAGCCATAGCTATTCACCATACGGTTTCAATGGTATGCCTACTAGCCGTTATTGTATACATGTATCAGACTATGCCGACAAATATCAACAACAACAGCGAAAATCAATTTAACAAAAATGTTTTTTTTATGTATTTTTTTAGAAAAAAAATATTTTTAATAATAAGTTATTTAGCAAATAAAATATATGATTATAAAATTAAATATGTTATATTAATTGTTTATATAGTTATCAATTTTATAGGGCATACTTTATATTATATTATATATTTTGATATTGATATTGATATTTATCAAAAAATAATAAATAAAAATAATTTTTAATATATTGTGTAATTTATTTTTTGTTTGTTTTTTTATAAAAATAATAATAATATTTTTTATAATAATATAAACTCTATTATAATAATATTTGATATATTGTTTGACAAATAAATTTCTAATTTATTAATAGATTTTTATTTAATTGACTAATAATGACAATTATAATTAGCCAAACATTGATTTTATTTTTTAATTGATTTTTTTAAATAAAAGTTTTCTATTGCTAGTTATAGTATTTACGTAAATGTAAATATTATTTATTATTGGCCAATAAGTTTATTATATAGTTGTATATTGGGGGGGCGGGGCGGGGAGGTAAGTAAATATATACATACATGTAATGTTTAATTATAAAATTAATTTTTTAAATACTTAATTTAATATATTTATAATATATATATATATATATATATATGATTTATTAGTTTCAATTAAACAATTGATTGCTGACGCAATTGAGGCACCAATGTCAAATTATAAATTTTAAATTATAACAACAACAACAAAATAAATAATAGTTAATAAATATAATTAATTAATTAATTATATGCTTAGATAATAAAAACTAATATATGATTTTTATCTCATATTGATCAAATATAATCAAAATTGTATTATTTATTGCTTTTAATTTTAGTAAATGCTAGAGTATATATAAAAAAAAAACTTTTTTAATTTTTTATTTAAACTTATTAAATAAAAAAAAAATTATTGTTTGTTATTTTTTTCAATTACTATTGAAACAAACAAACAATAACAACAACAACAACAAACTTATCAATGAAATATTGTTTGTATAATAAAATATTTAAAAATATTTTTTAAACTGTTAAATCGCAATAATTAAATACAGTATATATATATATAGTAACTGTAATAATGTCTAATAATAATAATAATAATAATTTAGTTAATATGATATCGAAATATATTAATCTAAAATCGGATGAACCGCTAAACATATTCAATGTGGAAACGGTTATCAAAAAACATGAACAATGGCTTAAACTGATGCCCAGAGTCAGGCCCTACTATGCCGTCAAATGTAATCCATACAAACCGTTGCTTAGGCTATTGTATGCCATGGGCTGTGGCTTTGACTGTGCCAGTCAGGTATGTGTACTCTAGCCTACCCTAACCTCTCTTTCTCTGTCTCTCTCTCTCTGTTTCTCTCTCTCTGTCTCTCTCTCTGTCTCTCTCTCAGTCTCTCTCTCAGTCTCTCTCTCAGTCTCTCTCTCAGTCTCTCTCTCAGTCTCTCTCTCAGTCTCTCTCTCTCTGTCTCTCTCTGTCTCTCTCTCTGTCTCTCTCTCAGTCTCTCTCTCTGTCTCTCTCTATGTCTCTCTCTCTCTCTCTCTCTCTCTCTCTCTCTATCACTAAATACATTTAACTGTATCTAACTGTCCCACCAAATAAATAAATAAAAATCCTAATAAAATCATTATGTATTACCCTATAAAGCATGAAATCGAAACCGTACTGTCCATTGGTACCGATCCGGACTCAATAGTCTACGCCAATCCAAATAAAACCGACCAATCGTTAGTCTACTCCCGGAAAATGGATATAAAATACATGGCTGTCGATGGCCAGGAGGAACTTCTGAAAATCAATCGCCTATATCCCGGTGCTCGACCATTGTTTCGTCTGAAAGTAGACGATACCGGTTCCCACTATAGACTGGGCGAAAAATTTGGTGCCACTCTAACCGAGTGTCGACAAATGTTTCGGCTATGCAGTCAACTGGCCATACGGCCAGCCGGTGTAGCCTTTCATGTGGGCGTCTACTGTCAGTCGGCTGAGTCGTATTTCATGGCCATCGAAATGGCCCGTCAAGTGTTTGATATGGCCGCCGAAATGGGTTTCGCCGGGGATATACATGTATTGGATTTGGGCGGCGGTTTTCCCGGTACCGATCGTTTCTATTTTGATCGGTTAGCCACAGAGGTTAGCTCATTCTCGACAGTAGCCCAGGCTATTAATCAGGCATTGGACAGACATTTTCCTAATAGCACTGGTAGTAGCACTGGTACTGATATACGTATAATTGCCGAACCGGGTACCTACTATGCCGCGGCTGCCTTTCAACTGCTAACACGTATTATAGCCAAACGTATGGTCTATACGGATCAGGATATCAATCATAATCATAGCCAACCTCCCCATGCAATGTACTATCTAAATGATGGTGTATTCGGTTCGTTCAATATGTCGGCTATGATGGACGCCAAACGTCCGCCACCCATACCGGTGCTGCCTAATGGTAAAGGTGCTCGACAACGACAATCCTATAGGAGTACACTATGGGGACCTAGCCTGACCAGTTTGGATTGTATTGTCCGGGATATACAGATGCCCGAACTAGATATAGGTGATCATCTACTGTTTGAAGATATGGGCGCCTATACGTCAACCTATTCCCCGTACGGTTTCAATGGTATGCCCAATGCCCAACATTGTATACATTTGTCCGGCTATGTTCAGGATAAATATAGGAAAATTTTTTGATAAATGTAATTTTTTGGTTTAATTGTTTTTTTTTGTTGGTTTAATTATATCACGCGGGCTATATACAGTTTTATATACAGTATATATACAACACTACACAATACCTACCCTCACACACACACACACACCCACTACACTCAAAATAAATCAAATATTATATATACTGTATATATATACAGTATATAAATGCATATATATATTATTATTTTTTAAAAAGACACTGTTGTATTAAATTACAAACAAACAATTTTTTTTTAAATAGATATTGATTTAAATTTAAATTATAATCAATAAATACATTTTTTTTTTTAAAGAAAATAATAATAATTGAAATACAAATGATTAATTGATTTGAAACAATAAAGCGTTTTATAAATAATATTTTTAAAAAACAATTAATTAATTAATAATAAACTTATTAATTAGTAAATAAATCTAATTATTGATTAATATGTAAATTTTTTTATATATATACTAATATAATGTATATATTTCATTATACATTATATATAAATGCCTTATAAAACTAATTTTTATTTTTTTGTAATACATTATACCAGTACAACAATGTACAGATGATTATTATTAAAAATATTAAATATATTTCAAAAAAATTAATTAATTAATTATTATTATTTAAAAGTATTGTTTTACAACAATACATAAAAAATTATTTTTGAAAATATATTTCTATATACTGTATATAAAAAAAAACCTAATTATTTAAAATTTATTTATACATATATATACACACAACAAACAAACTGTGAATATATGTTTTTTGTTTAGGTGGGTGTGGACTGATTAATCATAATACTATTATTACCCAGGGACTAGCACCCAGGTAGGCACACACACACACACACACCTATTAGAAAAACAATACAAACATTATGTCGACTACCCAATCACCTGAACCACCCGATGATGATGATAGCACTGGTAACTATGGTGGTGGTGGTGGTAGTAGTAGTAGTAGTTCAGAGGTTAGACAGATATTGATGGGCATTGTCGACCAAGTTGTCGACACCAACAACAACAATCCTCGGGAGCAGCAGATCAATGCAAACAATACTAATAGGTATATCATCAATGATGACAAGCATATACTATTGGATGGCACTGTTAGTAGTAGTAGTAGTAGTAGTAGTAGTAGTCGTGGACCCATACCTAGAAATAGTAGGCGAAAAACAATTGAAACGGACAGCTGGTATACTAATAGACCCGTACTATCATCACCAACACCAGCACCGGCAGCAGCAGCTCCGGTACCAGTAGTACCTGAAAATAGTAAGTCAACGGCGGCTAATAAAGTTGTTTTAGACGATCATCAGTACCTCAACGATCATAGGCCTGACCTGAATGCCACTGTCGTACGTCGACCCCGGGCTAGGAATAGGACAAAAACAATTGAAACAACGGATAGGTATATACCACCGGCACCGGTACTTGACAGGAGTAAGTCGACCAATCAATTGCCTAATCAATTGTCTACTGATTTCTATGGCCAACTGCAGACTAAAACTACTGGACAGCAGCACTTCCTACTGAATCAGCTCCGACTGTTAGCACCTCCTCCCAGACCAACACAACAACAAGCATTTATGACCGGTCCCGGGCCACACTTGTTTATGAGCGGACTGGACGGCTATCACGGAACGGGACCCCGCGGTAGTCAAGTAAAAGGTGAGCTATTCCAACACAACTATCCTATTGACACTATTGAATCAGCCCTAACGGACAATGACTATCAGCAACTGTGCCAGGAGTTGGCTTATTATGGTTTTCATTTAGATAGCCAACATAATGTGATTGGTCAGGGACATTTTGGAAAGGTAGTTAGTGGTACTTATGGACCAAATGTATGTACAGTATGTGTGTGTATGTGTGTATGTGTGTATGTGTGTATGTGTGTATGTGTGTATGTGTGTATGTGTGTATGTGTGTATGTGTGTATGTGTGTATGTGTGTATGTGTATGTGTGTATGTGTGTATGTGTGTATGTGTGTATGTGTGTATGTGTGTATGTGTGTATGTGTGTATGTGTGTATGTGTGTATGTGTGTATGTGTGTATGTGTGTATGTGTGTATGTGTGTATGTGTGTATGTGTGTATGTGTGTATGTGTGTATGTGTGTATGTGTGTATGTGTGTATGTGTGTATGTGTGTATGTGTGTATGTGTGTATGTGTGTATGTGTGTATGTGTGTATGTGTGTATGTCTGTATGTGTGTATGTGTGTATGTGTGTATGTGTGTATGTGTGTATGTGTGTATGTGTGTATGTGTGTATGTGTGTATGTGTGTATGTGTGTATGTGTGTATGTGTGTATGTATGTATGTGTGTATGTGTGTATGTATGTGTGTGTGTATATATGTGTGTTTGTCCACTAAACCACTATATTGCTGGACATTAGGTATTAATTATTGTATAATTTTTTTTATAAATATATATATAATTATAGATCAAAAACAATTTGATGGCCATTGAGGCCGAGTATCTCAATGTTGACGACAACCTCGACGGTGTACAAGAGGGCCAACGTTTTGCCGCCAAATACATACACTTTACACAGTCTAGTAGCCTATTTAATCGTTGCCGACTCAACATGGAGAAGCTAGTAATGAAACAAATCGGTCGACACCCCAATTGTGTAACCTATAGGATGGCCATCAATTTAGGCCATCGGGAATTGATTGCATACCGGGGCTCGCGGTTCTATAGCTATGAACATACATTGTTGATTATGGACTGGGCCGACCATGGTGATTTAGATAGGTTTATAGTCAATGGTCAGTATACAGTAGGCTTATGTATACAGTTTATGCGTGACTTGTTAGCCGGGCTCCGGTATCTGCATGGCCTACGTATTACACACAACGATATACATGCGGGTAATGTATTGATTTTTACTACAACAACACCACCACCAACAACAACTACAGGGATATCAACCATCAACTATGTGGTGGCCAAATGGGCTGATTTTGGACTGGCACAGATACATAAGCTGGCCAAAAATCAATACCTAAGCGATAGGCTAATTAGTGATTGGCTGACTGATGATTTGAAACGTTTGTCCAAATTGTTTCTGGATACAATGATACCCCCATTGGCCCCACCCCATTATCCACTGGGACAGCCTGGACATCTCCTACCTGAGCTAGTTGAATGGACCCGGTTGGCTAATGATTTGCTAAGCGCTAGCAATATCAATGTAATCTATCAGAGATATCCCTATTTAATTGGATAGTAGACATGTCTCGTACTATCCCCGTCCCGTCCCAACAATAAACAAAACTTATTTATAAATTTATTTAATTAAAATTTTCAAAACAAAATAATATATATATAAAACAACACAATAATTGAAAAGTAAAAATTAAAATTAAAAAAATAAGTAAAACAATTGAGTGATTAGGGTTAGGGACAGACAGACACACACACACACACACACTGATAGGGCACCTACCTATTCAACCACCAATTCAATAGGCCATTAAATATCACTAGCCGTTCCCAACAAACAAACAAAATAATACAAAAATTTGTGGACAACAACACCAACAACAGGTATATGGACAGACAGACAACACCAGTCGATGATACAAACGATGATATTAGTAGTATAGATCCAGAAGCCAGACAGGTATTGATGGAAATGGTCGATAGGGTAGTCGCCGATAATGAAAACACTAACCCCAACAACAACAACACTACTAGTACTACTACCATAGATGATGATACAGATATGTATGTGTATCCAGAGGTCAGACAGTTAGTATCAGAAATGGTCGACACAACAGTAGCCAACAATAGTCCTCAACAACAGACAGTCGGTGCAGACAATGCTAGTCGTCGTCCACCATATCGTTCGCCCAAACGTAGAGAACGAACAAAATCAAATGAATCGCCGATTGATAGCTGGTATAGACCGGTACCACCGCCGGTACCTGAGATACCTGAATCGATAGGACCGGAGCCTGACCGGAGAAGTTGGTCGGTAGACAATCTCAATCGGTTGCGCGATCAACAGCAACAACAGCCCAGACAGTTAGCACCCGACACACTGCCGTCGTTTTTTGATAGGCCACCCGGTTCAGGATCGCCGCCACACTTGTTTATGTCGGCACTGGACGGCTATAAAGGTAAGGGATCGGGTAGTCTTGAGCGACGTAAAGGTGAACTATACCAACACAATGCCGATAGTATTGAATCCACACTATCGGTAGATGACTATCAGCAACTGTGCCAGGAGTTGGCTGATTATGGTTTCATCAATTTAGACAATCAGAATATCATTGGTCAGGGAAGTAGAGCACCGGTAGTTACCGGTACTTATGGACCAAATGTATGTTTTTCTCTGTGTGTGTGTGTATGTGTGTGTATGTGTGTGTATGTGTGTGTATGTGTGTGTATGTGTGTGTATGTGTGTGTATGTGTGTGTATGTGTGTGTATGTGTGTGTATGTGTTTGTATGTGTGTGTATGTGTGTGTATGTGTGTGTATGTGTGTGTATGTGTGTGTATGTGTGTGTATGTGTGTGTATGTGTGTGTATGTGTGTGTATGTGTGTGTATGTGTGTGTATGTGTGTGTATGTGTGTGTATGTGTGTGTATGTGTGTGTGTGTATAGATAATAGGCCATATAGTTTGTACATTATTGTTAATAACACCTCTCTCTCTCTCTCTCTCTCTCTCTCTTAAAAATAATTTATAGATTCATAAAAATTTGACGACCATTGAGGCCGAGTATCTCAATGGTAACGACCGACTCATCGGTGTACGGATTGGCCAAAGGTTTGCCGCAAAATATTTCCATTTTACCGAAACTAGTGACCAGTACGATCGTATCCAATTCTACATGGAGAAGCTAATAATGAAACAAATTATCGGACACCCCAACTGTGTAACCTATAGGATGGCTATCGGTTTAGGCCAGCGCCAGCTGATTACATACCGTACCGAACAGTTCTACAGTTACGATCATAACCTGTTGTTGATGGACTTGGCCGACCAGGGTGATCTAGCGGATTTTATTAAAAAATCAGGTAGGTATACAATGGTGCTATGTATACAATTTATGACCGAACTGTTGGCCGGGCTCAGGTATCTGCACAGTCTGGGTATAACACACGGCGATATACATGCTGGTAATGTATTGATTTTTACGGTCAACAACAACACCAACACTAACACCAACACCAACAATCAGGTAACACCAGTGCCACCAGCAGTTGCCGCCGGTATACCACCCATACCCGCACCTACACCCATACCTACCTATGTGGCCAAATGGTGTGATTTTGGTTTTTCAAAAATACGTGTATGGGCTAAACAAGAGTATCGGACCCCTGATGAACATCTGGAAAAATTGAAACGGGATCTATTTTTGTTGAGCAATTTGTTTAGTTTGATGATTGCCGCCAGCAATACAAATAGCCCTGAGCTACAACCATGGCTACAGTTAGTCGATGATTTAACAGCTAGTGATACCAATGGTAATATCAATGTTATCTATGAACGATATTCAAATTTATTAGGCGATTAGTTGGGTAGGTGTGGGTGGGGTGAAATGGGATAGGGATAGTGTCCAAGTTAGGAGGTTAGTTCAATGTTTGTTTTTTTTTTGGTCAATAGTAGTTAAGTGTGCCGCTGAACATGGATTAGTATGTATTAAAAAAAATAAATATACCAGTGCTTGAAAATAATAATAATTATTAAATAAATAATAATAAAAAACTTTTGAAAAAGTTAGTCTGAAAAATTGACATACAAACCTAATCTAACCTCAACCTAACCTCAACCTAACCTCAACCTAACCTCAACCTAACCTCAACCTAACCTCAACCTAACCTCAACCTAACCTCAACCTAACCTCAACCTAACCTCAACCTAACCTCAACCTAACCTCAACCTAACCTCAACCTAACCTCAACCTAACCTCAACCTAACCTCAACCTAACCTCAACCTAACCTCAACCTAACCTCAACCTAACCTCAACCTAACCTCAACCTAACCTCAACCTAACCTCAACCTAACCTCAACCTAACCTCAACCTAACCTCAACCTAACCTCAACCTAACCTCAACCTAACCTCAACCTAACCTCAACCTAACCTCAACCTAACCTCAACCTAACCTCAACCTAACCTCAACCTAACCTCAACCTAACCTCAACCTAACCTCAACCTAACCTCAACCTAACCTCAACCTAACCTCAACCTAACCTCAACCTAACCTCAACCTAACCTCAACCTAACCTAACGTATATAAATACAATACAAAAAAATTATAATTAACTGATTTAAAAAAACAAACAAAAAATAACCAAAAAATATATATAAATGATTTATGATTTTATTTCAAACAACAATAATTTTTTTTTTAATAATTATGTTATTTTTAGTAATAAAAACAAGTGTTATATAAAAATTAAAAAAAATTAAACTAAAACAACAATTAAAATATAATTGAGAAATAATTGAGAAATAAATTTTAGGACAGCTTTAGGTGACACACACAGCACCTACCTATTTGATATACATACAGGTATTTGTATAATACAACAACAACAACACCACCACCAATAGGTATGGACAGACAACAAACAGCACCAGTCGATGATACCAACAATATTAGTAGTAGTAGTAGTAGTAGTAGTAGTAGTAGTATAGATCCAGAAGCCAGACAGGTATTGATGGAAATGGTCGATAGGGTAGTAGCCGATGATGAAAACAACAACAACCCCAACCCCAACAATACCATAGATGATGATAGAGATATGTATGTGTATCCGCAGGTCAGTCAGTTAGTATCAGAAATGGTCGACCGAGTAGTCGATTTGGACGACAACAACAATCCTCAACAACAACAACAACAACAACAGCAGCAGCAGACAGTCGGTGCAGACAATGCTAGTCGTCGTCGTCCACCTTATCGTCCGACCAGACATAGACCACGAACCAAATCAATTGAAACTGATAGCTGGTATACACCACCCGAACCGGTTAGGCCGGCACCACTTGACGGCAGGAGGAGTTGGTCGGTAGACAATATCAATCGGTTGCGGCAGTCATTGTCGACTGATTTCTATCGTTTAGTTGAACCCAAAGCCATACGACCTGATCAACAGCAACAGCTCAGACGGTTAGCACCCAGACTACCGTCGTTTTTTGATACCCCGGCCGGTTCAGGACCGCAGCCACACTTGTTTATGAGCGGACTGGACGGCTATGTAGGTAAGGGCAGCGGCAGCGGTAGTCCAGGTAAACCCAGCAGAAAAGGTGAACTATTCCAACACAATGCCGATACTATTGAATCCCTATCGGACAATGACTATCGGCAACTGTGCCAGGAGTTGTTTTACTATGGTTTAAATTTAGACAATCAGGTGATTGGCCAGGGCTCAATTGGACAGGTAGTTAGTGGTACTTATGGACCAAATGTATGTATGTATGTGTTTAGGTGTCTGTCCCTTATACATAATAATAGACTGTTTAGACACCCAGTTATGTACTAATTATATATTAATTATTATTATATTTATTTATTTATTCAAATTATAGATTAGAAACAATTTGATGGCCATTGAGGCCGAGTATCTCAATGTTGACGGCTTGGGCGGTATAATAGTTAACCAACGGTTTGCCGCCAAATACATACACTTTTCTCCGACTACTACTGGCCTATTCATACGTTATCAATTCAATCAGGAGAAGCTGGTAATGAAACGAATCGGTCGACACCCCAATTGTGTAACCTATAGACTAGCCATCAGTTTAGGTGTGAGGAAACTGATTACCTACCGAAGCGATCGATTCTATAGCTATGAACATAACCTATTGTTGATGGATTATGCTGACCAAGGTAATCTATTGAATTTCGTAGATAGACTAAAACGGAAGTTTACGGCCGGTATGTGTATCCAATTTATGCGTGAACTGCTGGCCGGGCTCAGGTATCTACATAGTTTGCTGATAACACACGGTGATATACATGCAGGTAATGTATTGATTTTTACGGTCAACAACACCAACAGCGCCAACAACAAACAGGTAACACCAGTGCCACCACTAGTGTCAGTTATACCCATACCATCATCAGCACCATCACCAACCTATGTGGCCAAATGGTGTGATTTTGGTTTAGCACAGATCAGGGCCAGTGGTCTAACCGATGATAGATATCATAAAAAATTGTCAACAGATTTGGAAAGTTTGGGCCAATTGTTTCAGTATTCAATGATTATGTGGGTTCAGTGCTATGATAATGATGGCCAACCCCTTGGTGGAGGACGAGGAGGACGAGGAGGACGAGGAGGTAGAGTACACCCGGACCTAGTAGTATGGCTAGAGTTAGCTGACAGTTTGAAAACTATTGGCACCGATATCAATGATATCTATCGTATATATCCTAATTTATTTGTGGGTTAATTAGTTTTTTTAGTTGAACAGGTGTGTCGGGTAAGGGTGTGTATGTGTGCCCAACCATTTTGGCTATAGTCATATATAACCAGTGTTTTGTAAATAATAATTATTATGTAGTAATTGATTAGTAATTTAACTGTACTTTATATGAATATAATCAAAAAATTAATTTTGTCGATTGTTTAGATAATTGAAAATAAAACAAAAAAAAATAATTTTAATTTTATTTTTTTTTCAAGTAAAAAAACTAATAATATATAAAAATTTAAAATAAAAATTAACAAACAAACAAACAAAAACAATTGAAAAAGTTAAAAGTTTAGGACAGGGTTTAGGACACACACACACACACAGCACCTACCTATTCAACAACACACTCAACATTAAGATACAGGTATTTGTGTGGACAACAACAACAACAACAGGTATGGACAGAGAGAAGACACCTAAACGCAAACTAAGTCCAAATAATCCGACGAACACTACTAGTATGTCGACAACAACTACAACAACACCACCAGTCGATAGTATAGATCCAGAAGCCAGAGATTTATTGACGGAAATAATCGATAGGGCAGTCAAGGAGGAGTCGGAAAATGGTATCCTCATCGATGATGATCAACAAATGGTCAGTCGGTTAGTATCGGCAATGGTCGACCGAGTAGTTGATTTGGACGCAAACAACAATCCACAACAACAACAACAACAACAACAACAACAGGAACAGACAGTCGGTGCAGACAATGCTAGTGGTCGTCCTTATCGTCCGATCAGACATAGACCGCCAACCAAATCGATTGGTACGCCGACTTATACACCACCCGAACCAGTGATAACCGATCCGATTAGTCCAAAAACTGACCGGAGAAGTTGGTCGGTAGACAATCTCTATCGACTGGACGATCAATTGTCAGCTGATTTCTATAAAGAAGTAGAACCCAAAGCCGGACAACCGTATCAACAGCAACAGCTCAGACAGTTAGCGCCCAGACAGCCGTCGTTTTTCGATACCCCGGCCGGTTCAGGACCTCGGCCACACTTGTTTATGTCGGCACTGGACGGCTATGTAGGTAAGGGATCGGGTAGTCCTGAGCGACGGAAAGGTAGTCGTCGTAATCCCATAAAAGGTGAACTATTCCAACACAATGCCGATACTATTGAATCCACACTATCGGTGGATGACTATCAGCAACTGTGCCTGGAGTTGGCTGATTATGGTTTTAATTTAGACAATCAGAATATCATTGGTAGGGGAACTAGAGGAACAGTAGTTACCGGTACGTATGGACCAAATGTATGTTTAACAGTGTGTGTGTGTTTGTGTGTGTGTGTGTGTGTGTGTGTGTGTTTGTTTGTTTGTGTTTGTGTGTGTTTGTGTGTGTGTGTGTGTGTGTGTGTGTGTGTGTGTGTGTGTGTGTGTGTGTGTGTGAGTGAGTGTATGTGTGTGTGTGTGTGTGTGTGAGTGTGTGTGTGTGTGTGAGTGTGTGTGTGTGGTATATATAGAACTACATAATTGGCCATTTAGTTAAACTTATTAAGTCTCTCTCTCTCTCTCTCTCTCTCTCTCTCTCTCTCTCTCTCTCTCTAATAATAATAATAATAATAATTTATAGATTCATAGAAATTTGTTGCCTATTGAGGCCGAGTATCTCAACGGTAACGACCATCTCATCGAAGTACAGGTAGGCCAAAGGTTTGCCGTTAAATATACACATTTCAACGAAACGGCTGGCGATTATTATCGTTACCTATTCAACATGGAGAAGCTAGTTATGAAACATGTAGGCCGTCACCCGAATTGTGTTAGCTATAGGCTGGCCATTGGTTTAGGTCATCGGCGATTCGTTGATTACAGTGGCGACCAGTTCTATAGCTACGAACATAGCCTATTGTTGATGGACTTGGCCGACCAAGGTGATCTAGACCAATTTATCAATCAAACCAATCGGTACACACCGGCCATTTGTATATAGTTTATACGTGAACTGTTAGCCGGGCTCAGGCACTTGCATAGCTTAGATATAACACACGGTGACATACACGCGGGTAATGACCGTAATTTTTACGGTCAACAACACCACAACCAACAATCAGCTAACACCAGTGCCAACAGTATCCGGGATACCATCACCATCACCACCACCACCATTGCCACCATCATCACAACCAACCTATGTGGCCAAATGGTGTGACTTTGGTATGGCACAGATACGTAAATTGGCGGCCGGTCATCAGTACCTGACCGATAACGATCATAATAGCCTATTGTCAGCCGATTTATCTGATGTATCCGATATGTTTAGGTCACCAATGATCGATAGGGCTAGGAAACAAATAACCGATGGTAACGGTGCTAGTGGTGGTAGTGGACTACTAGATGATGATGATGAACTCCCGTAGCTACAGTTACAGTTATACTTATGGCTAGATTTAGCTTACACTTTGAAAGATATTGGCCCGTATATCAATGAAATCTATGAAAAATATCCAGATTTATTAGGGGAATAGTTCAGTCAGTCAGTCAGTCAGTCAGTTAGTCAGTTAGGTTAGGCAACAGGTATGGGTAGGGTATGTTGTTGAGCTGATGACCGTTTGGGTAAGTGCTTGTAAATAATAATTTTTTTTAAAAAAAAAAATAACTAAAAGTTTCACTTATTATTATTTTTTGTGATTTATTATATACTGTAATAATACAATATACTGTATATACAGTATATTACAGTAGATTAGGCTTTATTTTTAGATACCAGTGCTTGTACTGTATAATAATACAGTAAAACCTATGGTAAGTATATATTTATAAGTTATTAAAAAAAAATTTTATTATTCATTTATAAGTTTTTAATGTTTTATAGTTATTTTAGTAGTTAGTATTTAACAATAGTATATTTATTTATTACAACAATAAAAATAATATTGTTTTAAAAATATTGTTTATATAAAAATAATGTTAATTTTTAATTTGTTTTTTAAATATAGAAAAACACAATTTTTTTAATAACTAAGTTTAGGACATATATACAAAGCACCTATCAATTCAACCCTACCCTATCAAACCTATGGCCAGACAAATAGATACAGTTCCTCACGATAGCATTGATAACACTGGTGTGTCAATCATCGATTCAGAGGCCAGTCAGGTATTGTCAGGTATTATCGATAGGGTAGTCGAGGACAACAACAACAACAACAACACTACACATGAGACAGCCGTCAAACAGGTATTGGCAGATATGGTCGACAAAGTTGTTTCAGATGATAATCACCAGTACATCGATGATCATAGGCCTGAACTGAATGCCACTCTCATACGTCGACCCCGGGCTAGGAATAGGACAAAAACAATTGAAACGGATAGGTATATACCACCACCTCCATCATCACCGGCACCGGTACTTAACAGGACTAAGTCGACCAATCAATTGCCTAATCAATTATCTAATGATTTCTATGGCCAACTGCAGACTAAAACTACTGGACAGCAGCAGCAGCACCTCCTACTGAATCAGCTTAGGATGTTAGCTCCCAGACCACCAACACAACAACAACAAGCATTTATGACTGGTCCCGGGCCACACTTGTTTATGAGTGCACTGGACGGCTATTATCATCATCATCATCAGGGGACGGGAACCGGTAGTCAACAACAAGTGGTCAACAAAGGTGAGCTATTCCAGCACAATGTCGACGACAATAATATTCAGTCCCTAACGGACAATGACTATCAGCTACTGTGCCAGGAGTTGGCCAACTATGGCCTGATTTTAGGCCAGGAAACAATTGGCCAAGGTAGATTTGGATCGGTAGTTATCGGTACGTACGGTCCAAATGTATGTATGAGTTGTTTTTTATTGGGGGGAGGGTGAGGGGAAGGGATGGGTAGTATAGACTATTTGTCGGATAACACTTAATACTGTATTATAATACCATTTTATGTTTTGATTTCAAAACAGTTAAGCAATTTGATGGCCGTCGAGGCCGAGTATCTTAACAGTGGACTAGTAGGCCAACGGTTTGCAGCCAAATACATACACTTTACCGGTAGTACCCGACCGTTTCAACGTGCCCGACTCAATATGGAGAAGCTAGTATGGAAACATTTAGGCCGACATCCCAATTGTCTAACCTATAGACTGGCCATTAGTTTAGGTCCTGCCCAACTGTGTACATATATGGACGACAGTTTCCTAAGTTACGATCATACATTGTTGATTATGGACTATGCTGACCATGGTGATTTATTTGATTTTCTAACCAATGATAAGTCAGTGTATACAGTGGGCACTTGTATCCAGTTTATGCAAGATTTGTTACATGGACTCCAGTATATACATGGTTTAGGTATTACACATAGCGATATACATACGGGTAATGTATTGATTTTTACTACTACTACTACTACCACTACTACTACCAGTTTACTACCAGTGCCGGGTATACCCGGATATGTGGCCAAATGGTCTGATTTTGGATTGTCGCAGATCCAGGAGCTGGCCGGCCATCAGTATCGTACCGATGATCAACATCGACGCTATTTGTGCCGTGATCTGGCCAGTTTGTCCGAATTGTTTACCGATACACTGATCAAATGGGCGACAGCTAAACTACCGTCGGGTGAACACTACAACGACCAGCACCCGGAGCTGCTGCTATTGAAGCCATGGACTCAATTAGCTGATGATCTGCTAAAAATTGACGGCAATATCAATGTAATCTATGACCGATATCCAGATTTAATTTAGGATAGGTTAGTCATAGGATAGGTATAGGTATGTATATATAAGGTATAGGTGTGTATAACTACTACTACCTGGGTAATTTGGTTATTTGTTTTATGATACCCCCCAACCCCTCCCAGTGATGATCTATCTGTTTTTAGTGTAAATAAAATAACTATATCATAACAAATTAAATTTTTATATAATTTTTTAATTATAGTATTATTATTTTTTAAATTACACAATTTTTTACAATTATTTTTTTAATTAATTGATAAACAAAATATCTATTAGTCATAATAAAAATAATGTAAATTTTATTTACTAATAAAAAAATAAACTAGATAATTTTTTATATTTTAAATTTACTTTTACTATGAGTAGTAGTAGTAGTAGTAGTAGTAGTAGTAGTAGTAGTAGTAGTAGTAGTAGTAGTAGTAGTAGTTAGAAAAAAAGTTAGATTTATATATTTTTTTAATTTTTGAGATAATTTAAAAAAAATATTTTTTACTTTATTTTTTATATACAGTATATAAATAATATTTATATAAGAAAAAACTTTAAACATAAACATTTGATAAAATCTAAAATTAAATGATTAAAAATTTTGTAATAAATAAATGATATATATTTATCAACCAAAAAAAATAATTATTATTACGATTATTATCAAAAAAATAGTTACTTTGTTTTAATTATTTATTTTTTTTTTTAAATTAACTCTTTGACTAAAACTTTATTTAGTTAAATAAAAATTTATTAAAAAATCCTAATCTAAATAATAAATTAAATATTTTGGAAAATTTTTTTCAATGTTAATTAAGTGCAAGAAAAAAATTATATATATATATATATATATATATATATATATATTTACTTTATTATAATAATAATAATAATAATCATGTGTAATTTGTAATCATTAATTAGTTAATAATAGTTAATTAATAATAAATAAAATATGTATTATTCATAATAAATACTGTAATTTTTTTTTAATAATAAAAAATGAACTAGACAATTTTTTGTTATTAAATTTACTTTTATAAGTAGTAGTAGTAGTAGTTAGAAAAAAAGTTAGATTTATATTTTAATTATTTTTTTTGAGATAATTTTTTTTTTAAAAAAATAATTTTTACTTTATTTTTTTTTTTAATATAAATACAATACAATACTGTTTGAATATAAGTAAAAGTTTAAACATAAACATTAGATAAAAGTATAATTAAATGATTAAATGATTAAATATTTTCTAATAAATAAATGCTATATATTTTATCATAAAAAAACTTGTTTTTATTATTATTATCAAAAAAAAAATTATTATTTTGTTTATTTATATTTATTTCAAAATTAACCCTTTGAAACTTTATTTAATTAAAATAAAAACTTTAAAAAAAGTAAACTAATTAATAAATTTTTTTTTCAATGTTAATTAAGTGCAATAAAACTTTTTTTTTAATATATAAATTAAATTAAATCATTTATATAATTTATATTTACTATTATAATAATAATCATTATTGTGTAATCATTAATTAGATATTTAAAAAAAACTAAATTTCTATTACTTATGTATATTATATTTTATTTAGATTATATAAATTAATTTTATAACTTTTATAATATAAATAAAAATATTGTTTTACTTAAAAAAAATCAAATCAAATCAACTTAAAATATTAATTAATTAATAATTTTTGATTTTCACTAAAACTTTGCAAATAAATTGCATTATAATATATATATTGTCACAAAATAAATATGTTTAAAATTTATTAACTATAAAAAAAAATTTTTAAAAATATTTTTACCCAGATTTATATGTCTAACTATGTGGTGAGTCTACAAAAAATTAAATAAATAAATAAAATAATTTATATGATTTTAATAAATAATAATAACGATAATAACTAATAAATAATATATATTTTTTTTATAATTATTAATTACATAATATATTTTTTATTTTATTTTATTTTTTTAATTAGTTATTATACTCCAAATTAATTTTTTTTAAAAACTTTTAAATATAAATATAATAATATTGTTTTTATTTTTTTTTTAAAAATTCTACTTAAAATATTTTTAGTTTTTTTCCATATAATAAAATATTTCATTGTAATATATATCGTTTACTATAATAATAATAATAATAATAAATTTGTGCCCAGATTTGATATGATGTGTGAGTTTACAAAAAAAATAATTAATAATATAAAATAATTTATATAAAATTTTATAATACTGTTTAGTATAATATATAACAGTATATATATATTACATATATATGTTTTTTTGTCTATTATATAATTATTTATTAAAATTAAAACAAATTACAACAAAAATACCTAATAATGTCTAATAATAATAATAATAATAATAATTTAGTTAATATGATATCGAAATATATTAACTTAAAATCGGATGAACCGCTAAACATATTCAATGTGGAAACGGTTATCAAAAAACATGAACAATGGCTTAAACTGATGCCCAGAGTCAGGCCCTACTATGCCGTCAAATGTAATCCATTTCAGCCGCTACTTAAGCTATTGATAGCCATGGGCTGCGGCTTTGACTGTGCCAGTCAGGTATGTGTAATCTACCCTATAATATATTTATCTACCAGCCCCCTCCTCTAATGAAAAAAACCTAATCCACTAATCGGTATGTATTACACATATAAAGCATGAAATCGAAACCGTACTGACCATTGGTGCCGATCCCGGCTCTATAGTCTATGCCAATCCAAATAAAACTGAATCATCGATAGTCTACTCCAGGAAAATGGGTATATCATTGGTTACGGTTGATGGCGAGGAAGAGCTATTCAAATTGGAACGTCTACATCCCGGTGCTCGGCTACTGTTACGGCTGAAAGTAGACGAAACCGGATCCTACTATAAGTTGGGCGACAAATTTGGCGCTACTCTACCCGAGTGTAGACAATTGCTTGAACTGTGCCGACAACTGGACTTACGTCCAGTGGGCGTAGCCTTTCATGTCGGCGCCTTTTGCCAGTCGGCACTCACCTACCGGCGGGCCATCGAAATGGCCCGTCAAGTGTTCGACATCAGCCAGCAAATGGGTTTCCCCCGTATGACTGTACTGGATCTGGGCGGCGGTTTTCCCGGCACTGATCGTTGTTATTTTGACCAATTGGTCACGGAAGTGGCCACTTTCGATACGATTGCCCTGGCTATTAACCAGGCACTGGACCTACATTTTCCAGCACCCGAACCTAGTAGTAGTAGAGGTAGTAGTAGTAGTATACAGATAATTGCCGAACCGGGTACCTACTATGCTGCAGCAGCTTTCACATTGTTAACACGTATAATATCCAAACGTGTTGTAGTCAACAAAACTACTGGTGGCACCAACATCACCACCACCACCACTACCACCGATACCAACCATAACCTACCTGACCCTCAACAGCATGTAATGTACTATCTGAACGACGGTATATTCGGCAGTTTTACTGTAGCCAAAATGATTGGCAAACAAATCAGGCCCGTACCGGTGCTTATCGGTGCTAGTAGTAGTAGTAGTAGTAGCGGAGCAGCACCGGTAGATGATAGTTGCACAGTCAAACAATGGTATACTAGTACACTGTGGGGACCAACCTGTACCAGTTTGGATTGTATTGCCAGAGATATAGTGATGCCTGAGCTGCAAATTGGCGATCATATTGTTTTTGAAGATATGGGCGCCTATACGCATAGCTACTGCCCGTACGGTTTCAACGGTATGCCCACTAGCCGACACTGTTTGCATCTAACAGATTATGCGGATAATTATTTGAAAAAAATTTATTATTACCACAACAACAACAATAATAATAATATAATTAAATTAAATTAATTGATGCAAAATATTATTTATGTTTTTTGCAACTATTTTTAACTAAATAGTAAAATATTAACTCAAAATTTTATGATTGATTAATAAAAACAAATAAATTGTTTTCAAAAAATATTAATTTTATGAACAAAAAAAATAGTTTTTTTTTAATAGCATTATTTACAAACACACACATATATATATATATATATAAATAATTATATGGATTTACCAAGCACAGTTACCATTTACACTTACCTGTTTACACATACACAGACACACACACACACACACACACATACAAACAAACATGGACTAACCTAACCTGACTGACTGACAATTTATTATACAGTACAAGCACTGGTATCTAAAATCTAAAATAATCTATAATATACTGTAAATATATATTGTATTAGTACCAGTATATAGTAAATAAAAATTAATAATAATAATAATAAGTGAAACTTTTAGTTTTTTTTATAAATTTATTAATTACAAGCACTTACCCAAACGGTCAGTTCAAACATACCTTACCCTAAGCTGTTCTAACCTTAACCTAACCTAACTGACTGACTATTTATTATATTATACAATACAAGCACTGGTATCTAAAATCAAAAAAAAATAATAAGTTAAACTTTTAGTTATTTTTAATAAATTTATTATTTACAAACACTTACCCAAACGGTCAGCTCAAACATACCTTTACCCTTACCTGTTCTAACCTCAACCTAACCTCAACCTAACCTCAACCTAACCTCAACCTAACCTCAACCTAACCTCAACCTAACCTCAACCTAACCTCAACCTAACCTCAACCTAACCTCAACCTAACCTCAACCTAACCTCAACCTAACCTCAACCTAACCTCAACCTAACCTCAACCTAACCTCAACCTAACCTCAACCTAACCTCAACCTAACCTCAACCTAACCTCAACCTAACCTCAACCTAACCTCAACTTAACCTAACCTAACCTGACTGACTGACTGACTATTTATTATATTACAAGCACGGGTATCAAAAATAAAATAATATAATATACTGTATATATACAGTATATTGTATTAATACCATTATTATTACAGTATATAATAATTAAATCAAAAAAAATAATAATAAGTGAAACTTTTATAGTTTTTTAATAAATTTATTAATTACAAGCACTTACCCAAACGGTCAGTTCAAACATACCTACCCTACCCTTACCTGACTAACTAACTATTCTCCCCTCCCCTCCCTAATAAATATGGATATCGTTGATAGATTACATTGATATCGCCATTGGTAATAGTTAGCAAACAGTCGGCTAACTGTAGCCATTCATTAAGCTCCGGATGATTTTCAATGTCTAATCGATATTTTGGTCTCAATATCATCGATGTCCTAAACAAACGGCTCAAACTGATCAAATCATCAAACAATAGTCTCCGATGTTCACTATCATTGTCCGTATATTGATTGCCGTCGGCCAATACCCTGATCTGTGCAAAACCAAAATCACCCCATTTGGCCACATAGGTTGGTTCGGGTGGTGCTGATGGTGCTGATGGTGCTGATGGTGCTGATGGTGCTGATGGTGCTGATGGTGCTGATGGTATACCTGGCACTGTTGTTATCTGATTATTGTTGGTGTTGGTGTTGATTGGTTGGTCGTAGACTGTAAAAATCAATACATTACCCGTATGTATGTCACCGTGTGTAATGTCTATACTGTGTAGATACCTGAGCCCGGCCAACAGTTCACGCATAAACTGTACGCACAGTTCAGCTGTATATTGACCTGAATCATAAATAAAGTGCAACAGATCACCCTGGTCGGCCCAGTCCATCAACAGTAGGTTATGTTCATAGCTATAGAACTGGTTGCCATTGTAGTCAATCAGTTCCCGATGACCTAACCCGATAGCCATCCTATAGGTAACACAATTCGGGTGACGGCCGATCTGTTTCATTACTAGCTTCTCCATGTTCAGTTGGAAACGCTTATGATTGGTAGAAGTACGGGTATAGTGGGTATATTTAGCGGCAAATTTTTGGCCAACCCGTACTTCCAGGAGTCGGTCGTCACCATTGAGATACTCGGCCTCACTAGACATCAAATTTGTATGAATCTATAAATTATTTGTTTTTTTTAAAAATAAATAATAATTATTAATACTTAATGTCCAACTATACACACACACACACACACACACACACACACACACATAGACATACAGACAAACTACACATACATTTGGTCCATAAGTACCGGTAATTACCAATGCTGTCGATCCCCTGCCAATAATATCCTGATTATCCAAATGAAAACCATAATAAGCCAACTCCAGGGACAGTTGGCTATAGTCATCGACCGATACGGATTCGATAGTATCGGCATTGTGTTGGAATAGTTCACCTTTTCTGCTGTGTTTACCTGGACTACCGCTGCCGCTGCCCTTACCTACATAACCGTCCAGTGCCGACATAAACAAGTGTGGCGGAGATCCTGAACCGGCTTCGGTATCGAAAAACGACGGTAGTCTGGGTGCTAACTGTCTGAGCTGTTGCTGTTGATCAGGTCGTCGGGCTTTGGGTTCAACTAACCGATAGAAATCCGGTGACAACGATTGCTGTGACGACAACCGATAGAGATTGTCTACCGATCCATATCTGCCGCGACGGTGGTCAACAACTACTGGCCTAATCGGTTCAGGTATCTGTGGTGTTACGGGTGGTCTATACCCCAACAATGACTGATGTACTCGATCGAGATTGTCTACCGACCAACTTGTCCTGTCAAGTACTGGTGCCAACGGTTCGGTGGGTATCGATGGTACAGCAGGTACTGGTGCTGGTGGTCTATACCAGCTATCAGTGGGCGTGGGCGTCATCCCAATTGATGATTTGGTTCGCCGTCTAGGTCTGGGCGGACGACTAGTGTCCAAATCGACTACAGTGTCGACCATTTCGGATACTAACTGTCTGACTGCTGCTTCTTCCTGTTGTAAATCCTGTGAATCGGCGGTAGTGTAGGGGTTGTTGTTTACATCCGACTCCTCCTCCTCCTCCGACTCCTCATCGACTACCCTATCGACCATTTCCATCAATAGCCGTCTGGCTTCTGGATCTATACTACTACTACTACTACTATCATCATCGTTGGTATGATTGACTGTTGGTGTTGTTTGTTGTCTGTCCATACCTGTGTGTTGTTGTCCTAAAAAATATCTATATATATATTGTTTGCTTATTGTTTTGGGTGACGGCTAGTGTGATGTTGTTGGATTAGTGGGGGGTATTGAATTGGTAGGTGCTGTGACATGTGTGTGTCCCTAAACCTAATCACTCCTAACCCATTAATTATTATTATTGAAAGTGTTTTCACTATTTAATGAAAATTATAAATTAAATTCATTTTTTTGGTTTTAATTTTTATATAACACTAGTTTTTTTTAAAAAAACTTAAAAAAAACACTAATTAACAAAAATTTAATTTTTGTTGAAATTTATAATTAAAATTTAATTTTTTTATTAAAAATAAAAATTTTCAAAACATGAAAAAGATAGTTTAAAAATATTTTTATTTAAAAAAACAATGTTTTTTTAATTGCAATCAAACAATCAATAGATTTTTAGTTAAAAATAAATTTTTAATTAACAAAAATAAACTAATATTAACTGATAAAACAAACAAACAAACAATACAAGTGAGAACAGATAGGTAGACAGTAAACACACCTCCCCCTCCCCCGAAAAAAACATGGCCTACCAATGGGACAGCAGTGGTGGTAGCGGTAGTAGTGATGACATCGACAACGATGGCAGTAATAAACAAATCAAAGAAGATTACGTACAACTGAATCAGCTAAGGGAACGGTATGCCCGGCTAGGACTGAGACGTAGGTCTACCACTGCACAGATTGTTGTTGACCACCGAAATCAAGGGCCGGCGGCGGCGGCTGGACGACGACTATCAGTACCCATGAAACCGCCGCAACCCGGTTGGCAACCGCCAGCCGAATGGATCCGAGAGGCACCCGAACCGGTACAGGACAGGGACCGGCAGACCCGACAGCAGGCCATCGATAACGATGAAAAACTAAGCGATCCGTTGGATGGACCGGTTACATGGCTCAGTCCGTTTTACGGTCAGCAACCAGATCTGTCGACATTGCCGGCTGGCCAGCGCCGGTATCCGGTCAAAGGTGAACTATTTATGAGACAATGGGATCACTATCGCTTGAAAGATGAATACGATGAATATGATCCGGGTGATTATCTAGATGAACTTAAACAACGATTGGCTAACTATGGCCTAGAATTTCAATCGGGACAGTTAGGTAGGGGTGCACAGGGAGCCATTATTCAAGGTGTATTCAATCAAAAAGTATGTATAGATTTTTTTTTCACACACATAGATATCTAACTTTTTAACTGTTTGTTTGACTACTATAGGCTAAACTGTTGACCAAATGGGAGGGCTATTATCTGCCCAGTGGTAAACCGGATGACAACAACAACCGGACTGACCATCTAACTGGACGACCGTTTGCCGCCAAACTTGTCTATTTCGATCCGGAATGGGATGTCGACAATACCGAACGTAAACGTATTTATTTGGAAAAAGAAATCATGAAACGACTGGCCAGTCACGAACCGCCCGAACCCCCCCATCATCCGAATATTGTCCAATATTTACTGGCCGTCAATCTGGGACCCCGGGTACGTATGCTTACCAAATACCAGGAACCATACTATAGCTATCAATGGTCAATGTTGGTAATGGAGCTCGGGGATCTGGGTGATTTGAAAAATTTCTACTATACTGATCGCTATACGCCCAGGGTTTGTATGAAATTTATCCAACAAATACTATGGGCTATCGATTATCTACATTTGGTTGCACAGGTATGTCACAGGGATATCAAAGTCGATAATGTTGTCGTATTTTCGATCAGTGATGGTGGTGGTGGTGGTGGTAGTCAACAACCAACAACAGCAACAGCAACAGCAACAGCATCAGCAACACCGGCAGCACCAGCACCGGTACCCTATAAGGTTAAACTATGCGATTTTGGTTACGCCGAAATCAAATCGATGGCACCCTATCGACAAATGGCCGATAGGGAATGGTCAGAATATTTGTGTAACGATAAACATAGTACAGCTGTTATGTTGAAGTCAATGTTGCGTAGGGCTGACCCTCAGGGTCGGCACCTGACCGATGATGGACTATCGTTTTTCCGACAATATGCCGATCAGTTAGCCGACCAGCGGTTGCCGGTCGATATGGAGCTGTTGTACGCCCAGAATCGTATGTCTATTAACCGGTATTCAAGTGACGATTATCTGGTTAAGTAATAGTACTGTATTTACAGAGGGGAACAGGTGTTTGTGGTGATAGGGTAGTGGTGATGGTGTTGTTGTGTTGTTATATGTTATGTATAGTAAAGCACAGGTAACAACATATTGAATATATATATATATACAGGTGTAATAAAATTAATTAATTAAATTTATTTTTTTAAAACTTTATTTTCTATGAATAAAACAATTCATATTTAAGTTTGAAATATAATTTTTAGTTAACTTTCTCTCTCTCACTCACTCACTCACTCACTCACTCACTCACTCACTCACTCACTCACAATAAACAAAATCAATTATAAATTGATGAATGATTTTTTTTTTTGAAAACTTAAATTTTAACATTTAAAAAAATTTAATAAATTAAAAATATTTGTAATTTTAGAAAAAAATAACAATAATGTTTTTATTTAAAAAAAATTGATAAAAAAAATTTAATTAATTTGTTTGTTTAAGTGATTAAGTTTAGGATACACAGGTTGATAGCACCTACCAATTCAATACTCCGACTACCCCTCCCCCCCCCAACAATAAGCAAACAGTGTTGGACAATAGGTATGGACAGACAACAACCAGCACCGATAGTCGATGATACCGACAATAATAGTAGTATAGATCCAGAAGCCAGACAGGTATTGATGGAAATGGTCGATAGGGTAGTCGATGAGGAGTCGGATGAAAACAATAACCCCAACAACACTACCGCCGATTCACAACAGGAAGCAGCAGCTATCAGACAGTTAGTATCAGAAATGGTCGACCGAGTAGTTGATTTGGACGCCAACAACAATCCTCAACAACAACAACAACTACCGGACCTACCGGTGCCGGCCGACGAACAACAACAACAGCCAACAGAAACAGATACTATGGATATAGAGTACGAGTGGTCGGCACAGGCGTCGCCATCCGTATGGTCGCCCACGCATTGGGGATCCAATCAAACGGCAGTACATGCAAAATGGGGAATGGATAGACAGGTGCCCGACGATGACGATGATTATGGCAGACATATGCTTGAGGAACGGGCACGATATGTTAGGCTAGGCCGTAGACGTCGGTCGGCCAGTCCATTGATAGTGGACGCCGCCGCCGAAGCTGCCGCAGCCGCTCCCCGTCCTCTGAGACGACTACGTGCCGGCTCGGATCCGGTTAATCCGGAGCTTAGAAAACGACACAAGTATTTCAAACAACCACAACAACAGGCACCGGTAGCCGACATACCAGATCCAGCTGCCGCTGCAGCCGCCTATCAGCTACAGCAGCAGCAGCTGCCGCCCGAACTCCAAGGCCAGCCACCACCCTTGCCGCCAATACCCGACGTACCATTAGGTCGGATAACATGGATGAGTCCGCTTTATGGTCAGCCGTGGCCACCGAGGCAACATCAGGATGGCCAGGGCTATCATCCGGTTATGGGTGAATTGTTTATGCATTATCCGCATTCAGATGATCGGCTACTAAGTCCAGCTAATCTACAACAACTTAGACAACGATTGGCCGACAGTGGCCTACTGTTTAGTCCGAATGTGTTGGGCCAAGGAATTCAAGGACAGGTAATTTTAGGTATATTTGGAGAAAAAGTAAATGTTTTTTTACACACACACACACACACACATAGAGAGAGAGACACTAAAAACTAACTGTCCTATTTAATTACCCACTATCTAATATAGATTAGACTGCTAACCCAATGGGAACGACACTATCTGGGCACTGGACCACTGTATCAGCAGCCGTTTGCCGCCAAAATCGTACACCTGGATCCCAGAGCCGACAACCTATATACATGGGATCGTACACATGTTTATCTGGAAAAAGAAATAATGAAACTGATGGCCAGCCGTCAGCCGCGGCCACACCCGAACATTGTCCACTACAGGTTGGCCGTCAATATGGGACCCAGGGTACGTATAGTCAGCCAATTTGGCGAACATTTCTACAGTTATCAGTATACTATGTTGATTATGGACTATGCTAACCGGGGTAATCTAATGCATTTCTACCTGACCCCCCAGTATACAGCACCTGTATGTGTAAAATTTATACAAGATATACTCCAGGCTATCGACTATTTGCATCGATCAGTTGGTGTAGCGCACAGGGATATCAAAATCGATAACGTAGTCCTATCCGATAGGGAGGTTAGCCAACACCCGCGTATACAATTGGTGGCCAAACTATGCGATTTTGGTATGGCCGAAATTAAATGGTTGCCACCCTATCGTTATATATTGGATGATGTATTCAGGGGGTATTTGACTGGTGATCGCCAACGTACTGGTAAACTATTGGAACAAATGGTTCATAGAGCTGATCCCAATAGGACTAGCCATTTACAAGGTATAGTATTTTTTCGTAATTATGCCCAACAGTTAGCCGATAATCAGGTACCGGTAGATATGGACCAGTTATATGAACAGCAACAACATATAATCAATGGGTTTTTATGAAACAGTTTGTTTTTTTTGTTTGGGTAAGTATAGGTACAGTACTAGTGTGTTGGTATAGTTGTAGGCAATAGCACAGGTAAGGTATATACAGGTGTGTATTAAATAGTATTATAACAGAAAAACTTATTATTTTTTTATATATACAGTAAATATTACAATTAATCAGTAGTTTGTAATATAATGTGTGTAATCAATGTGTGTGTATGTGTGTGTATGTGTATGTGTATGTGTATGTGTATGTGTATGTGTATGTGTGTGTGTATGTGTATGTGTATGTGTATGTGTATGTGTATGTGTATGTGTGTGTATGTGTATGTGTATGTGTATGTGTATGTGTATGTGTATGTGTATGTGTATGTGTATGTGTATGTGTATGTGTATGTGTATGTGTATGTGTATGTGTATGTGTATGTGTATGTGTATATGTGTGTATGTGTGTATGTGTGTATGTGTGTATGTGTGTATGTGTGTATGTGTGTATGTGTGTATGTGTGTATATGTGTATGTGTATGTGTATGTGTATGTGTATGTGTATGTGTATGTGTATGTGTATGTGTATGTGTATGTGTATGTGTATGTGTATGTGTATGTGTATGTGTATGTGTATGTGTATGTGTATGTGTATATGTGTGTATGTGTGTATGTGTGTATGTGTGTATGTGTGTATGTGTGTATGTGTGTATGTGTGTATGTGTGTATGTGTGTATATGTGTATGTGTATGTGTATGTGTATGTGTATGTGTATGTGTATGTGTATGTGTATGTGTATGTGTATGTGTATGTGTGTGTGTGTGTATGTGTATGTGTATGTGTATGTGTATGTGTATGTGTATGTGTATGTGTATGTGTATGTGTATGTGTATGTGTATGTGTATGTGTATGTGTATGTGTATGTGTATGTGTATGTGTATGTGTATATGTGTGTATGTGTGTATGTGTGTATGTGTGTATGTGTGTATGTGTGTATGTGTGTATGTGTGTATGTGTGTATGTGTGTATGTGTGTATGTGTGTATGTGTGTATGTGTGTATATGTGTATGTGTATGTGTATGTGTATGTGTATGTGTATGTGTATGTGTATGTGTATGTGTATGTGTATGTGTATGTGTATGTGTATGTGTATGTGTATGTGTATGTGTATGTGTATGTGTGTGTATGTGTATGTATGTGTGTGTATATGTGTGTGTATATGTGTATGTAACTACATATTAATATTTGATAATCAATTATAGATTAAAAAAACTAATTTTAAATTTTTTTTAATTTTTATTCAATATTTAGTTGAAATAAAATTTATTTAAAAAAAATTGCACACAAATAAAAACTGAGACCAAAATAAAATTTTAGATAAAATTAATAATTAAAAAAAATACAAGTTTAATACATGTATAATAATTATAATACTATTGAATAATTATTATACTAAAAAAAAAATTACAAATAAAACTTATTTGAAATAAAAATGAGAATTTAAATATAAATGTAGAAATATTTTTTTATAAAATTTTAATAAATCTATATTTTTTATATAAAATCAAAAATAATTAATGACTATATAAACTAAAATGACTAAAATCATGTTTTTTGTAAAATTATTAAAAAAATTTTTTTTAAATGCTAAATATTAATATAAACCTTTTAAAAAACCATTATATTATAAAATGTTTGTAAAATTTGTTGTATTTGTAATACTAATAATAAAATGTTATGTAAAATGTTATAATAATAATAATAATAATAACACATTACTATTGTGTTTGTTTGTTAGTTATAAATGTATTAACTTTTTGTTGTTTATAAATAATAATAATAATTATTATTATTATTATTACTATATTATCACTAATTTCTATATAATCTCTTTTAAAAATAAAACCTTTCCTTTTGATAGTGTGTTAGCTTGAAGTCTGGATCATCACTACTACTACTACCGTCTCCTCCATTGTTGTCCTCGTCATCATCACCGGTAGTATCACTTAACAGGGGATAGTTGTACTCATTCTGTATATTAAATTAATTAATTTAAAAAATAAAATAAATATTAATTAAAATTTATTAATTAATTAATTAATATTAATATATATATTACTAGTGAAACGCTAACATCCGAGCTATACATTTGTAAATCGTTTGGCACTTGAAAATCAATAGTACTCTAAATATTATTTATTTAAAAAAAATTAATAAAAAAATTAATTAATTAAATAATTATTTTTAATTGTTGTCTCAATTCATACCTCACTGGAAGTGCTATCGAAAGCATAAATAGTTTTACTATAAGAAGAAGTCATTGTCTCGTCGTCTTCGTCTTCATAGTCATCGGCAGTGGTATTGTTGCTGTTGTTGTTGTTATTAATATCATTCATCGATTTTGACCGCTTCTTAACATTATTATCATTATTATTATTACCCGATTTTGCGGTCGATTTCGTGACGGCCGCCGATAATACCGGTGGTGGTGGTCTGGACTTTGGTTTTGATTCGGATTTACAACGATTTTGATGCAACTTCTTGTTGACAATCGGTGTCGCCGTCAATTGTCGGCTATTGATGGTCACCATAAATGGTGATTGTGGTGATGGTGATGATGATGTCGATGACCTATGCCGCTGCTGCTGACCACCCAAACCCGAACCACTAGCACCTGTATTGGCCAATGCCTGATAGATACGTAACTTTTTCGACGATACACCAAAACTTTGCGGCAACTGTTGTTTGGATGGCTGCGGCGGCAGCCGTTTGTATCGAATTGGTCGATGTGTTCGTTTGGTCGGCCGATTCATGTTCGGCCGTTTGGCCGAATAGAACTTAATGTCGTGAGTTTCCAAATATTCGTCAATATTATGATATAAATCATAGGGATTACGGCAGTCGCGGGTATCGATGAACAGCAGGGCTAAGGCTACGACAAACTTTGTATGATATTTAAGTCGGCGGCCAATCTCGGCGTCAAATCGATAGTCGGGATCGCGGCGGACACTTTTGACCAGTTTGCGAATGTTTGATTCCATAAATTTGATATCGTATTTGATGGCCGAATGGCGGCGATAGTAGCGATTTTCTACCCGTGCTATCAATGTTTTCAGATCGATCGGATAGAGTATCTTTTCCCGATAGCGATTGTCGGTCAGATCGGCCAGTATCGGGAACTCTTGGGTTTTGTCCATCATTAGTATAATTTTCAGACCTAAGACCAGAAATTACCGAAAATTAATTACCGGTAAATAGAATTAATGAATGAATTGAATTGAATGAAAAAAAGTGTTACAACAAACCAGTGGCCAGTCGTTTGAGTTCACGTTTTTCATCGAAATTTGGCCATTCGTTGGGATCGCTGGTAAAAAATCGGTCTCTATCTTCATCGGTGATCGGCACCATTGAGTCCACATCCGATTGGTGGCCAGAGGACGGCTGCTCAGTGTCCTGATCATCATCGTTTTTGTTGTCCTCATTGACAATCATTTCCAGATCCCACGGACTCATCAGACTGACTGTCTGATCGACAAACCACTGGACACGTAGACTACGGAAACGGCTGACCAGATTGTACGGTTGCCAATCAAAACCGACAACAATACCGCGCCAATAGGTTTGGCCGCCGCCGCCGCCGCCACGTACTGCCCGAACCTGATGGCCAATCTTCCAATCTATTCGCTGACCGCATTCGTAGTGTTCTTTGAGTACAACAAAATCGTCGACTACTGGCAGGTCGTGATACTTGACATGAATGACCAGACCGTAGGTCGGGTTCATTGGCCTAAGAGTTATGTAAACACAGCGGACAACTGTCCGATAGTGTTTGGATTCTTTGAATTCAAAATCAATTTTCGCAACTTTCGATTCGATGGCAGCCGTACGCCAATAGCGTAGCGATTGGTTATTGTTGGCCAAACCGTAAATGTTTCGCTTGAGTACTGCCGACCTGTATAGTTCGTGACCATAGGGTATATAGTAGACGGTGTCGTCGTTTTGCGGAAAGTACGGTGTTTTTGTTCGCCGAGTTTCGGTAAACCAGTCTATCAATTATTCGTTAAGTATTTATTGGTAATACTGTATATATCAATAAGTTATACTTAAATAGTTGATATTATGGGACAAATCAATTGAATCGGCAATTGACGACTGGTTGTCATCGTTGCCGACGGCGCCAATGCCGTCGCCGCCAACAACATCGCTATCATCGTTGTTGTCGTCAAATTTATAGACATCACTGGTAGCGGTGGCAGCGGTATTAGACAAACACCAACGTTGTTGTTGTTGTGATTGTTGGCCACTATTATCGGACAATAGTAGTCGTCGTCTCTTTATGGCCGGCGGCGATAGTCTACTGCCTAAACAAAATTGAAAAAAACTATATAAAAGTCCCGATTATCGCCACTTAAAAAAAATTAGTTACCGTTTGCAGTAGTAGTAGTAGTAGTTGAAGTTATCGAGCTATTGGTTACGGCGGGACTACTATTGTTGGTCACTGTAAGGTATCTACGATTTTTCGGTGTTGTTTTAGCGCTGCCGCCGTCGGCAGCCAACAACTGTGGACAGCCATAGATGGCAAACAAGTTGTTGTTGTTCGGGTCGTTATTTTCACGCCAATACAAACCATTGTCTATGTTGTCCGCCGCAGCCGAATGTTTATTATTATTATTATTGGCAAACAGTCCAATGTTGGCCATAAAACAATCGGTACCTTTGACGGCCACTATACCGCAACTGCTGTCCGATTGTTGGCTACCACTATAGGATACTTGAGATAGTGATGGTGTCGGTGATATCGGTGATCCAACAGCAGCAGCAGTGGCCATACATTTGGGATTCAGTGACCGATCGATAAGATCTTCGAGCAAATCGATTGTCTTGTAGTCAAAGTGTTGGCCAATCAGTTCATCAGCCACTGTGTTGTCAAACACTAGACTGTGATCGGATCGCAAGTGATTGGCACTGGACTTGTAAGTGAAATACCGTCGGCCACAGTAGTGACCGCCACCGCTGCCGCCGTCGTCGTCGTCGTCGTCGACGACAAACTGGCAAACAAACGGATAGTACGACAAGTGTTGATAGCAGTGATGCCGTCGGACGTCAAACGGTTCGTCAATTAGTTCAGAGATCTTGAAGGCCGTCGACATCGGCGCCGCCGCCGTTGATGAACACTTTGGACACTCGATGTCTATAAATGCGGACCAAAAAAAAAAAAGGTGGTCAGTCAGTCACCGAACATCACCCGAGATATTTGAATCCCGAAAAAAACAAAAACAATTATATAGATTACCTGATCTTTTGGCAGCAGCGGTAGTCTCGCTGTTGGCCATTACAAAAGCAATGTATCGTTTGTCCGATGAGTTAATGGTTGCCGCCGCCGCCGCAGCCGACGGTGGCCGTGATTTAGTGCGGCGACAACTGCACGACAACTCGTTTGACTGACTATTGGCCGCAAACAACTGATGACATCGGATAATGGCGTCACAAACTGGACAGCCTTTGAATAGGATTTGCGGACCCGATTCGGGCAATCGTTTTATGGACGACGACAACGATCGGCCGCCACCGCCACCGGCGCTTAGACTGCGATTCAATCGGTACTGATATTGAACAAAACGGCCGACAAAATAGTCAACAATTTCGTCGGACAACTCGTTGTCATCGTTGTTGTTGTCATCATCGGCTTCGGCTGCGGTAGTGTCGGTCAACAACACGTGTTGTCGTAAATGTTGGCGCATATCGTCCGCATCAGCGGTAATCGTATCGCATAAGACACAAAAGTATAGGTCATTGTTGTTGTTGTGGTCATTGATTTGGTGGTCATTATCATCATTGGTGGCCAACATTTTTTATGTCCGCCGCCGCCGCCGCCGCTGACTAACTATCGGTTACTTTGAATGTCTTGTTGTTGTTGTCTTTGTTGGATCAGTTGATCGCTTCAATCGATTCAATGGTTAGTTAGATATCAATCAAACAATTGGTTTATTAATTAATTAATTAATTAAAATTAAAACTAATTATAAGTTTTTAATAAAACAAATGAATTATAAATAAATTAATTCAAAAAAAAAAAAAAAAAAAAAACAATTGATTTAATCAATTAATTGATCGATCGATCGATTTGTGTTTGAATTGAATGAATGAATGAATGAATGAATATTACAATAGATTTTTTTTGAATGTATTGATTGATTGATAGATTAATATTCAATACTATTATTATTATTATTCAATATATATATATATTATGTGAATGATATTACAGTTTATTTAAATAATATATTTATTAATCTAAAAAATAATAATAAAATACAATACAATACAATATATATAATCTATAATTGAATGATGATTTTTTTTTACAATATATTAACAATAATTTAAACTATTGATTGCTAATTAATTTAATTATTTATTATTAATAAATAACTACAATTTTTATTAAAAATATTTTGAATAAAATAATTGTTTAATAAATACAGTATACAGTTAATTATTTATTGAGTTAACCAGGTCATATATGTGTATGTATGTGTATATATAAAGATAAATGGGATTTTTTTTATAATTTATCTATTGTAATTTTAACTAATTTACATTTAAATAATTAACTAAAATAATTAATTTAAATTTAATTAGTAATAAAGCTTAATAAATATAGTGATAATAATATTAGTATATATATATATATATATTTAATTAATTATATTTAATAATTTAATTAAATTTAGCTTGTTAAAAATAAATATGTAAGTTTTTAATTATACCTATTATTCGCATAATAAACTTTATAAATTATTATTATTATTATTATACATTTTTTGATGTTAGAGGCGCTTGGTCATTTTATAATAACAACAAAAATAACAAATTAATTTAATTATAAATAACATAATTATTATTTTTTTTTTAATAAAACGTTAATACTTAAAAGAATATATAAGTTTAGTTTAATTTTATTTATTTATTTTTGTCGATTATTAGTCGAAATGCATATTAAATTAAATTAACAATAATTTATTAAAAATTTTAAACAAAAAAAACAAATATTCACATAAAATTGTAGATAAATATTGTTTAACATTATTTAATTATAAAATTATAAAAAATATTTTTAATAGTTTATTATACAGTATCATATTTACTATAAATATAAAATAATTATAGTTATAGTATTGATATTTATAAAAAAATTATATTATATTTTTGTATATTTAATATATATATATACAGTATATATATATAGTGCAGGCGATATCACGATGATTATACGGTCCCTTATTTAAAAACATAATTAATGACCAAGATAAAAAACAAAAAAATTCTAATACACAAATTAAATAACTAATTTTATATACTATTAGATTACATAAAATGTTTAATCAAAATATGAGTAATTAAAAAATATAAAAAATATGTAACAGTGTATTTGAGCTAGATGAAATATATTTTAATAAACCATAAGCTTCGACAGTGCATTTTAATCAAAATAATCAAAAATCACTTTGCTGATCACCAGTGATATAGTGTAATATTTAATACTTTAAAAAAATGAGGTGGATGAAATTTTATATCGTGTTTTCTAAATAAAAAATTTTTATTAATAAATAATATTATTTTTTTTTATTTAAATATTAAGTAATTTAATATTTTAAAATTTTATTTAACTTAAAATTATTTTTATTGTTTTTTATTCATAATATATATTTCACTATTAGCTAAATAAATGTAATAAAATATTAGATATAATATATAATAATATCTAAATAAAATATAACAAAATATATAATAAATACATAAAACAAAAACAAAAAAGATAATTAACTAATGGTAACATTGATTAAAAATAAAGTTTTTTTTAATATTATAAAATATATATTTCATTTAAAATAATATTACATTTTTATATAATTCATAGATTCTATATAAAAATAAATAATAATTAAAAAAAATTTGCAAACATATATATATTAATATCTAATTTTTAAATTAATAAAATTGTTTTAATTGTATTTATAATATTTTTTTATTAATTGAATAAATTTTTAATTCATAACTATTTTTTTATTATATAAAATTAATTGAATTAGTATTAATTATTTCAAGCCATAGATTTTTATATTTAGTTTTAAATAATATAAACGTATAGAAAAATTCCCAATCGTCTCCCGAAGCCCACGATGGCGTATCCACACGTAAATCATATTCCCTGTCCTTTAGTTTATCTAATATTTGCTCAAACATGTTGTTATCGACATTATCGACATTATCGACATTAACGATATTATCGACATTATCGATATTATCGACATTAGTATCAATAGTATCGATAGTATTGACACTATCGACATCATTACCAGTCCCGACAACTATTCGCTTATCGATAGCCCATTCACTGTATCGGTCGATAATCTGTGAACAGGTAGGCCTGTCATAGTAGACTGGTTTCATTGTTTCCAAAATTATATCCAATAGTCTAGTAAATTGTTTATTCCATTCGAGGGTTTTGTATTTATCATGTGATCTTAAAACATGAAAATTTTAATTAAAAAAATAAAAATTATAAAAAAAATAAAAATTATAAAAAAATAATAAACTACTAACACATTAACATCTATTAGAAACAGTTCCTCAATAATAACACCAACGCTATAGACATCGGATTTTGTATTATATTGTCGACCACTGGTAACTTCCGGTGCCATATATTTAGGCGTTCCTACACCTGATGTATGCGATTGCGAACACATGTCCACTGAATCGTTTGTTGTTTGTTGTTGTACGACAACAATTTCGTGGACAGTCATCAAACCCATATCGCATAGCTTAACGAAACGGCCGTTTCTGATATAATTAGCAATCAATATGTTGTCGGGTTTGAGATCCCTGTGAATGACCGGTGGTTTGCAATCTTCGTGCAAATATCGGACACAATCTAACACTTCTAACAGCAGTTCACATGTAATGTAATATTCAATAGAATCCATTGGCTGGTCATCCGATTGCCGATCAAATACCTGTCCACGCATTTTGATTAGTTGTTTCAAATTCAATATACAGTAATCCATTTCAATGTAAATACAATTACCGTATAACCAACTACCGTATACTTCGACTAAATAGTCGGCCTTTATTTTGTTAACTTTTTCAATCTCTTTCAAATAGATTTTATTTAGCGAATCGTTATCTAATGTATAAAAATATATAAAATATTATATAACTATTACTATAACTATAACTACTGTATAACTATAACTATAACTATAACTATAACTATAACTATAACTATAACTATAACTATAACTATAACTATTACTATTACTATTACTATTACTATTACTATAACTATTACTATTACTATTACTATTACCATTACTATTACTATAACTATTACTATTACTATAACTATTACTATTACTATTACTATTACTATAACTATAACTATTACTATAACTATAACTATAACTATTACTATAACTATAACTATAACTATAACTATTACTATTACTATAACTATTACTATTACTATTACTATTACTATAACTATTACTATTACTATTACTATTACTATTACTATTACTATAACTATTACTATTACTATAACTATTACTATAACTATTACTATAACTATTACTATAACTATTACTATTACTATTACTAATTACTAATTACTAATTACTAATTACAATAAATACCTTTTAATTTAATGATTTTTATGGCTCTAATATATTTATAGGTTATATGTTGACATCGATATACTGATCCAAAACTACCCGAACCTAATAGATCCCACTCATCATAATAGACATCATATGGATTATAATTATTATCTGCAAAAAAATATATAATTAATTAATTAAATTAAAAATAAATCTATTATTATAAAAAAAATAAACCTGTAATTAATTGATCCAATTTTATCGATTCAAATCTAATTAAATTCATTGTTAATTCAATAAATTTTGGCATCGATTCCCGAAATTCCCGTAATATATCATATGTTTTATTAGTTATTTGATATATTTCTGTACAATAATCAAAATAATTATTATATTTGCTAATAGTTGTCTGACATTTTAGTAAACTATAAACCATTTTATTATTATTATTATTATCAGATATTAGACAAAAACATGATATGTCTGGCATTGGAAATATATCCGTTTTGGTTGTCTTAATGGATTTAATATCGGAAATTTCCAGGAAATTTTCTACTACTAATATTAATAATAATTTTGGCTCATGTTGTTTAACATAATTATTAGTTTCATCATTGAAATAATTGCCACAAAAATATATATCATTATTATTAGTTAGAAAATATGTATTATTAAAATCCGATTGAATTGATTGAACAGCCGATAGATTACCGATTAATTTCGGTCGACATATCCATTCATAATCATTACAGTTATGACCCAATAGACTGTCCGCGTTTTGACCCCAACTAAATACCTGTCCATCCGATGTCAGTGCAAACGATTGATTTCGGTAACAATAAACCGATTTTATTGGACAACAATTATCATAATCATTGAATTCAATTAGTTCGGGACTAGTAATGGCCTGACATGTATGGTCACGGCTACCGATTTGTCCGCTAGTATTACGACCCCAACCGTACACTTGATTAGTAGTATTAGCGATCAAAACCAATGTATGATATGAACCGCAACTTATATCCCGGATTATCATCGGATTACTGATGCTATTGTTGTCATTGATTACTATACGTTTCGGTATCATATAGTCATTATCATCACTACATCCCTGACCTAACTGTCCCCATCTATTACGTCCACAACTATACACATAGCTATCACTGGTGACGGCTATCATAAATTCGTCGCCATTCAAGAAATTCAAACACTTTTTATCCGATAGTTCAATGATCTCTTGCGGTTCACTAACCCACTGATCGGTAGCCAAACCCAGTGATCCACAACAGTTAGCACCCAATCCGTAGACCCGATCATCGGTAGTCGTAAACACTATATTTATGCCTAAATTGTCGTCAAATACATAAAATCTTTCAATAGTTTCGATCCAATCCATGGGTGTTAACCCTTCATGTGTTTCCATTTTTTTTTTTTATAATTATTATTAATAAACTTATTATAATTAAAAAATTATTATTTAAAGTATGAAAAAATAAAATAAAATAATTTCCACAGATATAAGTAATACTTGAATATTATTCGCAAAAAATAAATAAAATATTTTTATGATTTTAATCTATAGTTTATAATACTGTTATATATATATATAATTAAATTGTTTTGTAGTTATATGATTGTATTATTGTATTATTAATTATGTGTGTTTTTATATACCTGTATAACATAACTAAAACTTATAGTTAAAAAATATATAAATAATTGTTAATCAGTGTTACTATTAGTTTCATTATTTTATTTTTATCTATTTATTATTTATATATATATTTTATTACAATTTTATAATATCTGTATATAATAATACTAATAATATGACCTTAAAATTTTTTTATAGTTTAAAGTAAATTTTACAATTATAAATTACAGCATATTTATAAAATAAAAATTTAAAAAAAAAATCCAATATTTATTTAAATAAAATAAAATATAGTTTTTATTTATAAAACATATTGAAATGTACTAAAGTATTAAATATAATATAATTAATAATAAAAATAAACCATTTTTTTATAAAAATAGTTTTATTAAGTAAATATTTTATACATATATATCAGGGTTAAGCAAGGTTTTGGATTTTAGGGGGGGGTAGACCGGGGTAAAATTTACAAAATTCTCGAAAAATCTTGGGGGGGTATTGGGTGGGGTAAGATTTTTATTGCATTTTTAAACGGCAATTTTTTCAAAAATCCAAAATCAAGGGGGGGTCAAGAGAAAATTCCCTAATATTCCCTTAAATTCCCGAATATTCCCATGTAAATTCGATAAAATTCCCATAAGTTCCCGTATAAATTCCCAGGAAAATAGGTAAAATTTACAAAAATACTAAAAAAAACTTTAACAAAAATAAAAAAAAGTTAAATTTTAACAAAAATAAATATTTTTAAAAAAAAATTTTAAAAATTAATAAAAACTTAAATTTTAGCAAAAAATAAAATAATAATGTATTAAATACTTAAAAATAGGTGATAAAGGCATTAATGATACACTGAGTTTTTTAGTATTTTAGTAATTTTTAACTTTTAAAATAATTTTTTAAATAATACTTAATGCTTATAGTTTATAGATATATATTTTTATTTTTTAATGTTATTTTTATGTAAATACTGATTGAATACTAATTATAAAATTAAAAATATTTTAAATTTTTTAGTTAAAATTTTAAAAATTATTAATAAAAACCTTGTAATATAAGTATTTATTTTTTTATTAACTTCTTAAACTATCTCAAACTTCTATTTATATTGTAATATGATTATTCTTTTCAACAAATTGGTATTTTTTAACTTTTTAGTTTAATATTTTAAGTAAAATTATGTTATTTTTTGATGAGTTTTAACGTTATTTTAACTTTTTTACTTATTTTTAATCAATAATTAGAATCATATAAATTTTAAAAACATAAAAACACTTACTAAAATAGTATTAACTAAAATTAAAATTTTTATAAATCTCAAAAAAATTTTCGGCGCCTTCGGCGCCGAAATTTTAGGGGGGGGTCATTTCTCCTCGTTTTTAAGCGATAATTTTTCCCATTTGGTAAAAAAGTCTGGGGGGGGTAAAATCCCAATTTCTCGATCTTAGGGGGGGGGGTATTTTGGCCTACCCCCCCCCCCCCCCTACCCCCCTTACTTAACCCTGATATATATATATCTAAAATATTTAATAAATTATTAATAATTTTTTTTTGTAGACGAATTTTATTTTTATGTTAAAAATAATTATTTTTATAAATCCAAAAATTTATTAAAAATAATTCCCAAAATTCTAGAGATTTTTTTTTCATTGACAACTAATTTCATTGAAATAAAAAAAACTTAAATAACGATTAACTAAAACACAGTTTAATAATTTTTTAAAAAAAAAGTTTTCGATTTTCAAAAAATATATTATTAATAAATTAAATTTTAAAAAATAAAAATAAATTTGTTTTTCAATCATTAAATTATATTTAATTTACTTATAATAATAATACATATTAATATATAGTTATTAATTTTTGTGTTACATTACATAACATTATATAATATTTTCAAATTAATTAATTAATTAATTAAAATTGTGATAATGATTAATATAATTAAATAAACAAAAATTGAAACTTTTTTTTTTGTTATCAATGTTTATGTATGAAAATAATAATAATAATTATAATACTAAATAAAATATATAATGGTGTAAATGATTAAAATCAAAAAATAAAATAAAATAAAAATAAATACAATTGAAATAATAATTAAATGCATATTAAAAAAATGGTGATAAAATTGGAAAAATACTAAAATAATTATTTTTTTTAAATATAATAATAATAATTAATAAAAATATCAACTAGGTAATATTATTATTTGCCAATATTAATGTATAATATAATTTTTTTTAATGAAGTCTATTATTATTATTATTATTATCTATAAATATTTATAATTAAATTAAATTTAATTATTTTTTCATTTATATAAGAGACTATATATATATATATATAAAAATTAGTAATAATAATAATAATTATAATAATAAATTTCATTAAAAAAAATCTAATGTATGAAAATAGATATCGTATACAATATTTTTCAAAATTTTTAAAAAAATACTAAAAAATAATTATTATTATCCAAAAAATTATTGCACTTTTATGTTGTTGTTGTGTCGGTAGGTCTTAGAAAGTAGTCTTTCCGTTCAAATTGCTAACTGAAAGGTTAGCCCAACTTTTACTATTCTCGGAGCTCAGGGACAGACCGGTAAAACCCATGTGCGTTAGCGAACACTGTTGCCAACGTTGTTGGGCATCGCCGCCAAAAGTGGACAACGATTTGCGAGCTTCCTCTCGGACCCGGGGATCGGGATCTTCGGTCGACACATACAGTAGGGAATCAATCGATGACTGAGCCCGAAGATAGGCTAATGCGTGACACGAGGCTCGGCGTGTGGTTATCGAATTGGACTCCAGACCCGACAGTAGATGCGATAGTATCTAACAATTTAAAATAAAATCGGTTAATAAGTTTCGGGTAATTATATGATACCAACAAACAAACAAACCTCCGATTCGTTGTCGTCTTTCATAATTTTCAGCCACTGTCGGGCAATACGGGTCATCGTTGAATCGGCGGGAGCCGTAATCATAACTCGGATGGCCGTCCAGGTTACTTCATGCGGTGACCAATCGCGGGCAATAAACCTGGACAGTAGGGTCTCGAACGGTGATACCTCACGAGCACGGATAACCCGACTAACATCCAGACTAACTTTGAGGACATCGGCAATGCTTACATGGCGTTCAAATCGTGACCAGAAAGCCCGTACGTGCAGTACGGTTACACAATCGCATTCGGATATCTTGGCGGTCAACCATTGGCTGGAGTCGGCAATAATTTCGTCGGACGACTCGTACGAATGCATCAGAATGTTTAGGCCATCCGAGCAGGCCTTCCAGTCCATGATTATGACATCACGTTTGATACCCGATGCCAATGGCGCCGCCGATGATGTACTGGTGGTCAGACAGTGCCACATATCGCGGGCACGCGGGTCGGAGCCGCAAAATTCGTCGACACTATTTTGGCCGTAACTTTTGGCCAACTCTTGCAGTGCATAGGCATCGTCCCGGAGCCTCCGGAGGGCATCCTTTTCCCGGGCTTTCAGTACCCATTTGCCGCAATGGCTCAGTTGGATGATGGCATCGCGTGTATGATTGATAACACACGCCTCCCATTGGCTCGAAATGGGCGTCGGACTCGAGTTACGGGATATCACAGACTATTATAATAATAATAATAATGTATAATAAATAGCAAAAAATTAATTAATTATTATAATAATTATATAATAAGCAGTTATGTAATCAAAAATAATAATAATAAAAATTATTATATAATAATAATTATTATTATATAATAATAAATTATTCAATTTTATGGTATATTAGAAATGCTAGAAATATTAATTGTTATATTTTGTTTTTTTTGTTAATAAGTATTATTATAATCATAATAAAGTGTTAATACTAAAAACGATAATTATAATAATATAATAATAAAATGTTTTATTAATTTGTATTATAAAATTAATTATGTGTTGCAATAATATTATAATAATAAAATATGTGATGACAACTAAATTATATACAGTATTATAATATTTTTTTTTAAAAAATACAGTAAATAATAATTATTGTTAATTTATTATTATATGGTATTATATGATATAATGTTATATAATTTTTTTAATACTCCCATTAATATTATAATTATATATATATAAAGTTTAACATTTAATAAATTATTTTTATTTTATATATATATATAACTAATGTAATTATACTAAAAACTATTTATTATTATTATTATTTAATTTTAAATAACTTTATTATAATATATATATATAATAATTTATTTGTTTATTACATACATTTTATTATTATTATTTTCCAGATAACTAATCTGGCAAATAGTTTCAAAAAAATTCAAATATAGTAATCATAATAATAATAATAAAATTAAATGACTCATAAAATAAATATATAAATTATATTTAATATATAATTTATATATATATATTAGTTTATATTATTTCCTATATTTACAATATATGACAAAAATATTTACATTACAACATATAGAGAGAGAGAGAGAAAAAAATACATAAATAATTTATTCAATATTTAATATATCAAATATGTGCTAAAATCTAATTAACTTTTTAACTAAAAAAATGCAATTAAATACAAACATGTAATATAACATGTAATAGAAAATTATTAAATAAATATATTATATATAGTATTTTGAATTAAAAAAATGCAAATTATAGCAGTTTTAAACTTTAGAAAAAAAAGTTATAACATTTATGATACATAATATTAATAGAGTATATTATAAACATTTATTATAAAAATAATAAATATATGTATTATTAATATTTATTGCAATTAATAATAATAATAAACATTAAGTTCATGTGATTTCATATCAAAAAAAATAAATAAATAAAATAAAATATTTGTTAAATCATTAATCGCGTCATTGATAAAAAAAATCATTAATACAACTAATAATTGTAATAATAATAATAATTATTATTTAATACATATTTCTATATATATTTTTAAAATAATATTATAATAATATATATCGGATATGAATTGTATTTTTATTATTTTTATTTGTCTATTGACTTCTAGACTAACAAAAAATTAAAACATTAAAAAATAATATATAATAATAATAATAATTAATTCAAAAACAAACAAACACATCGTTATTATAACAAACTAACAAAAAAATAATTACTAAATAAATAAATTAATAAAAATACAAAATCCTTGAATTTTTTTTTATAAAATACTATTTTTTTGATAACTAATTCATTATTAATTTAGTCAAAAAAAAATAAATCTATTTTTTTGACGAAAAAAATTAGTTCAATAATAAACAACAACTAAATAATAATAATAATAATAAGTCAATAAAAATGATGGCTTTATAACAATTACATTAAATTATAATTAACTAAAAAAATCTTATTATAATAATAATAATAAATAACTAAAAAAAATTGTATAAATATGTCTCATTTGGTATTAATCAATGTTAAAATATTTTTAATGACATTTAGAAAAATAAATAACTAAATATTCAAATAAAATAAAATACTAAAAATATTTTTTTTTAACATAACTATTGGCGCCTACAGTATAATTAATAATAATTATTATTATCATTATATAATATACTGGTATAATATATGTATTAATAATTTATTTTATAAAATAAATAAAATAAATAAACTATATATACTGTATATATATATATATATATATATATATATATATGTACTTTAATACAGCAATTTGTTAACACTTAGACATAATAAATACCAATACTTATAATAATAATATCTGATTAAAATAATATATATATTTGTATATATATATATATTTAATAATTAATACCTGTATATAATATATATATATATTTATATTAAGTATTACTATATAACAAACAAAAAATAACTTCATTGTTAAGAGGCCTTAATAGATAACATACTAAACCAAACTTTTAATAATAATAATAATAATAATAATAATATCATAAAAATTACTTAATAGACAGTAATAACTAAAATTAYAAATATATATATATATATATATAGATATAAAATTGATGTCATTTTAAATAATAATAATAATAATAATAATTAAATTGACAATTATTATGTATAAAAAATATTAACTATAATTAAAACTATAATTATTAAGTATTTAGTATTTAAATTTGTATACAAATATTTATATACAACAAAACAAAAACAAAATAAAACTAAAAATCTAAAAAACTATAAAACACTTGACATTAAACTCTCTCTCTCTCTCTCTCTCTCTCTAACTACCAGTAAATTGTAATAATTATTTAATAAATTATATAGGGAACCCCTCCCCTCCACTACTCACACCCACCACAAAAACAAACAATATAAATACCCGTACATTAAATTGGTCATCGGCTGTAGTAGTAGTAGTAGTAATGGTATCGTTGTCCTCGAGAAAGCCGAACTCGGCCAGTGCGGCGTCAATATCCTCAGTATCGGAACCGTTGTCATCAGACTCGTAGTCACCGCCATTACGCGATGACATACTTTTTTGATGATCATCTCTAGTATACAAACGATACAATCGTTGGACAGCCGAAGCCATTGGCAACAGTTCTTCGTACTGGCCCTGAAAGTCTTCGATGACTGACATCAGTTGGGCCAGCGATTCGATGGTATGGTCGCGGCTGCTGCTGCTGCTGATGACGCTATGGTTGGTGTTGTTGGTGGCGGTTGTCGATGAAGACATACGGCTAACGGAACGGTCGGACGACGCAGACGACAATAGATGGTGAAGATCAGTGGTAGTGTTGGCATCGATGGTAGGGCTAGTAGTAGTGATGGCTAGTAGTCGATGGTCATCGATAATCATATTACTATTTAGATCACAATTACTACTATTGTTAACATTATTATTATCGTTATTATGATAACCATTAGTAGTAGTAATCGTATTGTTATTATTATTATTATTATTATTATTGGTTGTAAAATACGAACTGATAGTCGGCGTCCACTTAACCCGGACTTTCAGTTTCAATGTACCCGAACTGTTGGCCATAATTGTCATCAGCTGTGTTCGGGAGCGCATCATATCTTTGGCATCCATGTGCGATACACCCAACGTTACATAACGTTTGGTCCAACCAGATTTAACCTCCCGGACCCTGATGATTATCGAGTCAATGAGGGAGGCTTTGATGGCAAACTCCTGGTGTTGCCATTCCCGATGGCCATCCTTACCGATGCGGACGCGTACGGCGTGTCGTTGGCCACCGTATCGGAACTCAATTTCGTATTGATCTCTGGGACAGATTCGGGCCCAGCCCTCGATTTCTTCGACTTTCAGATGAAAGACACCTAAAAAAATAATAAATAAATCAAAAAACAATTAATACAACCAAAAAAAACAATAATTAATTAATTAATAATTAATTATATTATTATATATTATTATGTATACCATTATCACAAAAACAACAACTACCGGTGCGATTATTATTATTATTAATATTATTATTACTAATAATACTACTATTATTACTTTTACTACTAATACTACTACTAGTATTGTTGAAAAATTTTTGTTTAGATATATTGCGATAATAACTCATTTAAGTAAATCAATTAATTTTTTTGTTAACACAAAAAAGCAACAAAAATTATGATAAATTTCTATATATAAAATAATAATAATAATAAAACTTTTTTAAACAAAAAAATATTTTTGATAAAATAGATAATATATTTTTCAAAAAAAAACTATTAACTATAATTAGGTATGTTTTCACCCACACACTCACTCACTCATCAAAAAACACAACAAAAATATATATTATTAATAATAATAATAATAAATAATAGTTAATAATTGTTTTTTTGAGGGGTAAATAATAATTGTATAATTAGTGGATGAGTTAAGTGACTCATTGGCAGCTAATTATATATACAATAATAAAACAACAAAAAAAACTTGTTTTTTTATTAAAAGTAATATATTATTATAATTATTAGTATTATTACAACTATTTAGTAACTATACTCTCAATAATACACTTTCCGATAATATACTGTATATATATATATATTTATTATTATTATTATTATATATACAGTACAGTATAATTATACTCTCTATTAATATTTATTTATTTGTTTTTTTTTTTTTAAAATAAACGGTTCAATAATTGAGAAAATTATTTTATATATTTATTTTTTAAGTAACAAAAAAAACAACAAAAAACAATAACAAAATTAAAAGTTTCCAAACAATTTCCTAAACACGATATTCACTATTATATTATATATATATATATAATATATACTAAATATTAAATAGTTTTTTAAAACTTTATTTTTTCAAACAAACAAACAAAAAATAAATACACATTACATGCAAACAGCAAAATGTAATCTCTCTCTCTCTCTCTCTCTCTCTCTATCACTGAATATATATAAATAAATAGTAATAATATTCAAAACAATTATAACAAATCAAACATTAAAAAAATAAATATCATATATATATATATATATATATATATATATCAATCACACATATATACAGTACATGTAATACACACACATGTAAAACATTTCACTATAACATTAAAAAAATGAATAATAAAATACTAAAATAAAATATAAAAAATAAATTAAAAGTCTTCAACAACAATAATAAAAAATAAATGATTTGACTAAATAGCAAAAAAAAAATAAATATTAAATAAATTATATATGAAATTTTTCTATCACGTTGATGATTAAATATATATATATATATATATATATATATATATATGGGAATTAATAATAGATATTAATAATAATACAGTAATACTATGGTTTATAATTACAATATACAGTATATATATATATATATAATTTATATCATATCTCTCTCTCTCTCTCTCTCTCTCTCTCTCTCTCTCTCTCTCAGTATTATTACAATTATAATTATTGACTATATTTTTTTTGCTGAGAAAATGAGATTAACTAACAAATAAAATAAAAAGTTTTCTTATATTATATTTTATTAACATTTTTTATWTATATATATATATAAGTACTTTCTGGTAACGATAGGTATGTATCTCTCTCTCTCTCTCTCTCTCTCTCTCTCTCTCTCTCTTTCAAACTATTTTCCATAGTTATAGCGAAATCTATCAATAAATAGATAAATAACTAATACAGTGGTATAGTCTTTAATTAGTATTAGTTATTAATAGTCTATAACTTATATAACTATACAGTATATATATATATAAAAATAATTTCTAATAAATCTAGTTTTTTTTATTAATAATAATAATAATAATAACTAATAATTCAATAAACATATCAAATAATACTAATATCATTATCACTACTACTACTACTACTACGACTAGTAGTAGTGTATTATCAAAATAGGAGCATTGAATTAGTAGCTCATTGATCATCAAAAAAAAAACAAACATAAATCTATTGAAATCGGAGTCGTTGTCAACAAAAAAAAACTACAGGTGCAACACATACATACACGGTATAGACATGTGTTTTTTATTACACACACACACACCACTAACAAATAAAATAAAACAATTATCTCTACTTATAGTAGATGACTCATCCATCAGCAGCAGCAGTAGTAGTAGTAGTAGTAGTGATGATGACATCAGATAACCGCACACACACACAGACACACATTCACATACACATACACACACATACACACACAGACACACATTCACATACATACACACACAGACACACATTCACATACACATACACATACACACACAGACACACACATACACATACATACACACACATACACACACACACAGACATACACACACACATACACACACACACATACACACACACACACACACAGACACACATTCACATACATACACACACAGACACACATTCACATACACATACACACACAGACACACATTCACATACATACACACACAGACACACATTCACATACACATACACATACACACACAGACACACACATACACATACATACACACACATACACACACACACAGACATACACACACACACACACACACACACACACACACACACACACACACACACACACACAGACACACACATACATACACACACACAAAACTACCGGTGCTGCTGCTGTCATACACACACTAAACAAACAAACACAAAAAAACTAACCGATCATTAGTTCCAATTGTTTTTCAAAGGCTACCAATACTCGGGAATTTTCTTTCCATTCCGTATCGCAATCCCTGGATTTCGATATCTTCATCATCTTTACCAGTGCCTCCCGGAGCCGCAAATGTGTCTCATATTCATCCCTGATGTGCCGTACGTGTGACAGTTGATGTCTGAGCGAGTCTTTATGTGTAACGGATAGTATGTACTCTTGTTGTTGTTGTTGGTGGTGTTGTTGTGAGGAATTGTTATTATTATTATTATCTTCAGTACTGGAGCTACCGTTTACTGGAGATCCCGGAGCCGTTGCTGCCGGTGGTGGTAGTGATGGTGATGGAGATCCCGGTGACTGTAGCGGCCAATTGGACAGCGATTTATTCAACGATAGTTCACTTTCGACACTTGATATACATTCACTAATATATTGAAAAAAAAATTTATTAAATAAATTTAATTATTTTTATATATGATATAAACTATTTTTTTGTTTATATAAATAATAATAAAAATTATTATTATTATATATCCTATTTGTATGGTATCTCTCAAAAAACTATTGCAACAATAGTCAACAATATTGTTTAGTACAGTATTATTATTATTATTATTATTACAGGTTAATTAACTAATTATAATAAAATAATTAATATTATTATTACTAGTAAATAAAAATAAAAAAAATCACATTGTTTTTTAACATTTTGTTGTACCGGTACTACAAATATTGACATAAAATAGGTAATAATAATAATAATATAATTATAAATAATAATAATATAATAATAAAATATATAATTACATATACAATTAAACCTACTGTTTAAATAATGTAAAGTAAATAGTAAATAAAAATTTGATTGAAACTATAACTAACTAACTAAAAGGTGATTAAACAACTAAATTAATAATAATAATTTCAATTATTACTGTATTTAATAAATAAAATAAATGCTAATAATATTTTAGTAGTGAAATATTTTTTTATGTATAATAACAACAATCAAACAAAAAACAAAAAATAAAACAAATTGTTTGATTTGATAAGTTTACCGCAAAAATATATTATTATTTAAATATTGAAACAAACAATTTTTTTTTTAAATATATAAATTGTATATAAATATTAAATTTTGTTTTTATATACATATATATATAAAAAGTTATATATAATTTATTGTGTCATCAATATTGATGTCAAACAATAATAATAATAATAATAAATAAATTTTTAAAAAAAAAAATTTCGGGTTTCTGGTAACTATAAATATGTGTCAAAATTACAAAACAACAACAAAATATATGTGAAAAATTATTTTAAATTTTTAAATTTTTAAAACTAAATAAATCAATAAAATTAATTTAAAAAATATGGTAAAATTTTTAACATAACAGTTACGGTAATACAGTAATAATAATAATAATAATAATAAGTTTCGCTAATGATATGCAAAACAATATTTACTGTAATTTTTTGTTTTGTTTTGTGTATCACTTAAACAAAATAATATAAAAAAAATTGTTAAAATAATTTATTTAACAATTATTTTCAATTTTTTTTAATAAATAAATTTCATTGACACCTATCGGTAGTTAAAATAGGGTTATAGTGTGTGTGTGTGTGTATGTATATACAGGTAGTCAACCCAACCCAACCCCTCCCCTACTAAATATATAGGTGACTAAAAACACAAGTGTCCACTAATCACGGGTCATAAATCATTGGACAGGGAGTGTCTGTCACACACACACACAGCGGCTATAACTATGATTTCGGGTATTATTAGTCAATGATTTTTCAATTTAAAAATTAACCGAAAACTTTGTGGTGTTAAAGGATAGGCAACTATGTGTTGTCGGGTTAGGCCAGTCAGTCAGCAGTTGGACACATACCTGAGCCCACGTTCATAATGTTCGGCAATTGCCTTAAACTCGTTGCTGTGTATAATATCGGCCGATGTCTTCAGTCCGGCCGCCGCCGCTGCAGCCGACGAGGACATCATCGACGATAGTGTTGGCCTCGACAGCGATCCCGACGACGACGAACCTACCGATGACTGTGACGACGACCAATCGTTATGACGGCCACTGCCGCTATCGTACGTATTATGACCGCCGCCACCGCCGCTGCCATTGCTTCGGTGGCTACCGTTGGCCGTAGACGAGGCCGAGTGAGACGATTGTGGACTAAATGACATGATTTTTGTTGTTTTAAGTTATGTTGATGTGTTTGGCAGACAATTGATTGACTGATTGATTGAATGAATGAATGTATGGATGGATCAGTTGGTTGTTGTTGTGATGATACTAATGATGACAATGACAGGTGATATGTATGTGTGTCTTGAGATCACTTGATTAGGAGAGAGAGAGAGAGAGAGAGAGAGAGAGAGAGAGAGGCTATCAACAGGTGTGCCGACGATGACGACAATAGGCCAGTGATTACTTCATTCAAAAGTTTGGCGGCGACGGCGGCGATGACCTGGACTAACAACTGGTCAAAATGGTGGTCATCATCATCATCATCATCATCAACAACAGGTCAATAGCATGGGAATCTTTGATAACGGGATCAATTGGTTGGTTGGTTGGTTGGCCAACAATAACAACCATGGGATCAACCAATTGGTTATAATTAACCACTTGTTGGTCAATCAATTGGTGTCATAAAAAATTATATAATTTTGTTGATTAACTGATCCCAAGTAGTAGTAGTAGTAGTAGTAGTAGTAGTAGTAGTAGTAGTAGTGGTGATGATGTCTGTTCACTACAATTGTTGGACACAATTATTATTATTATTATTATTATTATTATTATTATTATTATTATTATTAACTAAACTAATAATTAAATTAAAACCCAATTGTTTTATGTAATCATTTTTGTATTAAACTATTATTACTATTACTTATGATATCTAATATATAATATGATATTATATTAACCATCGATGAGATATCATATTACATATGATATTATCATTCAATATATCACTGTTTTTGTATAATAAAAATAATTATTTAATTTAATTTAATTAATTAATTAAAACATATGTTAAATAAATAAACTTTTTATATGATATAAAAATAATAATTATTATATTTTGATAGCAATTATTTAGTAGTAGAGTATATAAACTATTAATTAATTAATTAATTGATTTTACATTTTATTAGTTATTAGTTATTAGTTATAAAAAATATATGATATTCAACACAATAGTAATAATTATTAAAAAAAAAATTAAAATATATTAATATATATTTATAAACACATTGATTATAATTCAATAATAATAATAATAATAATTAATAATTAGTTGATAACAAACAAACAAACAAATAATAATAATAATGTTTTTATTACTATTAAAAATGTATTGCAATGTCTGCCTCACTATATATATATATGTGTATTAATATTATTATTATTATTATTATTAAAATGTTTTATACAGTAATAATAATAATAATAATAATATAAACGTTAATAAACTATAGATACTTGTTGTATACAACCAGTGGTGTGTTATACAGTGTAGCTAAACATACAGTATGTATGTATAGTATATACAATGCATTTTGAAAATAAAAATATACAACACATGCGCATTGCTTATATAAAAAAATAAACATTTGTAGTGATGTATACATATGTATTGTTTTTGTTGATAAAAAATTTATTTAAAAAATGGATAATTTTTTAAAAATTTTAATTAAGAGAAAACTGGCTTGTATAAATTATTTTTTTAAAATATTATTATATAATAAATGATTAATTTTTAGCTATATTATTTATATTTTTTTGGGAATTAATTTAATTAAATATTATTTTTAAAAAAAAAAGTTTTTTAACTGAAAAAAATATTGTATAGTGACATAATTTTCAGCCCCCCTCCCCTCCTATTACTAATGCTAACCCCTCTCTACAATATTTTTTGTTTCAATAATAACCACTAAGTTTAGTGTATCTAATAATAAAAAAAAAATATTAACTATTTTTTTATATATATATATATATAATTTATAACTTTTTTTCTTTGCTTACATTTAACTTATTACTTAAAAATTATAATTTTTTAAACTTTTTTTATATATATATAGAAGACAACTTGTTTTATATATTTATATATATATATATATATATATTTATGTTTTATTTATTTATTATTAGTTAGATTAATGAAAAATTATATGTTTTTATATACTCTAAAGCCATACTAAATATAAAGTCTATATTATATTAATATCGATGTCATAATTGGGTTAAAAAAAATATTTATATATATTTTTTTGAAAAATATAACTTAAAAACTAACCAAAAAATCAAAAGGTTATAAAATTGGTTTTCATTATTATTATTATTATATTTTATAATAATTTCTAGTTTCCTTACATTTGTTTTTTGTTTATTTGTATTTATTATTATTATTATTTTGCTATAAGTTTAATGACTTGAAAAAAATTAAATGTTTTTGTTTTATTTAAAAACATTAATAATAATAATACTTTTAATAAAAGTTTATACAATAATAATTTAATGTATGGATTATTAGTCACACAGAGAGACAATGTGTGAATTTTATTTTAATTTTTTTAATTTAATTTTTTTAGTTTTTTAATGTTTTTATTGGAAAACTATTACAATTAAAAAATTATAATTTTTTTTATTTTTGTTATTTAATTTTTTTCCTGTACTCTAATATCTAATCAAAATATTAATATACTATATATATTAAAAAACTACATTAAAATAATTGCTGATTTTTTAAAATAATTTTAATGAACTTAACATAAATATTTTTATTTTCTAATATTTTTTCTGATTATTTTAAATGATTAAAAAGTGTAAAAAACATTTTGTTTTGTTGTGTTTTTTTTTAATTTTAAAATTTTTATTTTTTTTTTTAGTTGATAATAATTATAAAATCTATGTCTAACTATATAAAATAAATTCACATTGATTTTAGTATGCATGATTTGCATTTTAGTTTGTATGTAAAATAATATATATATATATTATATAAAAAAAGTATAAAATAAAATTTACATTTATCTACTATTACTTATATATATATATATATATATATACAGTACAAGTATTATAATATATATATATATATATATTATAATATGATATATTGAAATATAATATATAAATTATTAGATATTGAAACTACACTACATGTTGTTGTTAATTATATGTGAATATTATTAATATAAAAAATAATAATAATTTATTAGATGTTTGTATTTATTATATACAGTATATATACTGTATATGTTTATTGTGATTATTAAATAAATTATTAGACTTAAACAAAATGAGAGTCTATTTTATGTTATAATAATAATAATATTAATATATTTGTTATACATTTTAAAATTATATAACATATACTGTATTATACAGTAATATACAGTATATTATTTAGTAATGCAATATACTTTTACCTCATTATAAATATCATAATAATAATAATAATAATAATATGTCTGTCTGTATATTAAATATATAAATAATAATTATATAATACTAGAGTAACTGTAGTTTTGTCTAAATTAAAAAATTAGTTTTTTTTATTATTTTTGTTTTTGTTTATTAAAACAAAAAAAATATGTTATTAACATAAATAATAAATTATATATCAGTTAATATATGATTTTAAAAATAAAATAATGTTAACATAAATTTTATTTAATACTATTTATTTAGTTGTTTTTTTTAAATCAGATAATTAGTGCACTCATATATATATATAATACAGTATATAATAGTATAGTTAGATAATTAGTAATTACATAATATAGTGTATATATTAAAAAAAACATTAATAATTAAAAAAAAATTATTTTACAAATTAATATCTATATATATATAATGTATAATTTTATTATAAAAACATACAAATATATGATAATTAGTATTAGTATTATATATATATAAATAATAATTTAAATTAATAAAGTTATAAATTGACATAAATGTTATGTTTTTTTATGTATAAAAATAATTATTTCATTAATTTATTAAGAAATTAGTAATATATACATTATATATATATTTATATCTATATATTGATAAATTGTAAACAAACAAAAAAATTATTAAAAATAAAAATTTGATAAACTGTGTACTCAACGATTAAATATTTTAAAATAAATTTATTTAATATTTTTTGTTTGTATTAAAAATTGTTTTTAGTTATAAATAGTTTATTAAATTTTTTTTTGTTCAGTACATATTATGATTAGTTAATCAATCAATCAATATATATATATATAAATTTCTTAATAACTCTAATCATTAATTTTTGTTTAAAAAAAACCTGTCATTAAATTAATATATATACATATAAGATATTATGTATATATATATACAGTATATATAAGATAGTGATTATAATACTAATACATATTTGTTTAACCTTTAACCCCACCTCTCAACAAGCAAACAGCCTAACACATCACCTCATCACACCATTATTATTATTATTACCCCCTCCCTCCCTCCCTCCCCCTCTCATCAATATCAATTTTTAAAATATAACTATTAATAATATTAATAATAAAGTTATTGACATAATGTGATCAGTGACAATTATTGTTTGTATGATAATTTATTACTTAAATTGTATAGTTTATAAGCAATAATATTTTTTTTTGTTTAAAAAAGGGTCTAGCTCATTGTCATTATTATTATTATTACTACTATTTATTGTTGTGTTTTAGTGTCATATAATTTTTAAATATACAGTATATATATATAAATATAATTTAATAATTTTATTTATATTTTTAAAGAAATGTTATCCAATTAATAATTATTAATAATTTAATAATAATATTATCAACAATAAAAAAAATCTAAATATTTTGAAGTTTGAGTTATAAAAGTATAAACAAATTTTTATGTTATAATAACTTTATATTAAATATTTTAATTATAAATAAATATATTTTTTGTACTAATTGTGTACACATTTAATAATATTTATGCACTTTTTTTTATTATTTGATTAATTAAAAGTACTTGAATTTATTTATTTTGTAAAAAATATAAAGTTTTTTTTATTTGATTTTGTTTTTTGTTTTATAAGTTATATAAATAACTTTGATTTTATTAACAACAAAATGAAAGTTTATTAAAAAATAATACTTAATTAACTTAAAGTTTTTTTTTAAAAATAAATATTTTTTTTCTTGTATTATAAATTAATTAATTATAATTAATTACAACTATATTTTTGTGGGTCAACAACAACAACAACAACAACAACAATGTTAAACAACTTGTTATTGTTTAATAAGTCTAGACTTTTATTAGATGTCAACAAAAATAATAATTATTTAAATTTATATCATTATTATTATTATCGCAAATGTCATCAAAAACTAAATCAAAACAATTGTTTAGCAAACAGTTGTCGTTATTTCAATACGTTATCAACAAAACAAAGTGTGTTTGACTACAGACAACACCGACAACAAAATATAAGGACCGGTAGGCTGTTGTATAGCGGCACCGGTATGTCAACACTGAGGACAGATAGGAGATTATTATCGACACATCTAAGTGAAGATAAGACACAAACAACGACAACAGTGGGAAACAATAACAACAAAAAGATAACTATTAGAGACATCCGTAAAAAGTGTAGACAACGTCTGCCGATATCGATGGTCACGGCCTACGACTATTGTTCGGCCAAACAGGTAGACCGGGCCGGCATTGACATAGTATTGGTTGGCGATTCACTCGGTATGGTTATGTTAGGCCAATCGGGTACGGCGGATGTAACAATGGATCAAATGGTACATCATTGTCGGGCTGTACGCCAGGGTAGCCGTCGGTCCTTTATAGTGGCCGATATGCCGTTCGGTTCGTACGAGATTAGCCAGAGTCGGGCACTGGCCAATGCCATCCGATTGGTCAAGGAAGGCGGGGCCGAAGCTGTCAAACTGGAAGGTGTTGGCGGCCATCGGCAATTGATGACTATCCGGGCAATCATCGGCGCCGGTATACCCGTTATGGGACATATAGGATTGACACCGCAATCCAGTGGCCAGTTTGGCGGCTTTCGTGTCCAGGGTCGGCTAGCCAGCCAGGCACTCGGCATTGTTGACGATGCACTGGCCCTTCAAGAGGCCGGCTGTTTTGCTGTGGTCATCGAAATGGTACCCCAAGTGGTCGGTACGGAAATTGCCCGTTTGCTGCGTATACCGACCATCGGTATCGGAGCCGGTAACGGTACCGACGGCCAAGTGCTGGTCTATCACGATATGTTGGGCATGTATGCGGATTTTGTACCGAAATTTTGCCGCCAATACGCCCGCTTATCGTCGACCATTCACGAAGCACTGGTCCAGTATAGGTCGGAGGTCGAGAGTCGGCAGTTCCCGGTGGCGGCCGATCATACGTTTGCAATGAAAGACACGGAGGAAATGGACAAGTTTTTGACGGGTGTAGCGGCAAAATGTAGTCATCATAGCAGTGACAGCACCGGTAGTACCTGTAGTAGTAGTAGTGCAAGTGTTTTGCGGGTAACGGACGATAATAAAAGTATTAATCATGCGATTAGTGGTACTGTCAGTGATAGTAGTAATAGTAGTGTCAATGACACTCTAGCACTGGTAGCTGATAGGACTGTCATATCGTCATCAGCAATGAATGATAATAATAGTTGCGATAATAGTAATGATAGACAGTATCTGATAAATAATGTCAAAGTCGGTGATGAACAACAACGACGGGGACCTAAAGTGGTTGTCATCGGTGGCGGAGCAATGGGCAGCCTATTCAGTGCCAAATTGGCTGCTCAGGGATCCAGTGATGTATGGATGGTGTCATCGTGGAGGTAAACCACCCCCCCCCCCCCAAAAAAAAACTGTATATCCATATAAAAAATCCCAAAAAAATATCTATAGAGAGCACGTGGAGGCCATCAATCGGGACGGACTAAAACTGTACAATATTCATGACCAACGGGAAACTGTCCGATCGGTTAGGGCTACACTCGATGGTATGGAAGTGCTCAGTGATGGCCGACAACCCGATGTTTGTCTAGTGTTGGTCAAGAGTCACTCTACCGAAAAGGTATATATATATATCATTTTTGTTTAGACAACCTATTAATTGTTTATATGGTGGGGACAGGCATCTGAAACGGCCAGCACATTGGTCGGCCATAATCCCCAAGCCATAGTAGTAACCTTGCAAAACGGTGTCGGCAATCGGGAACAAATTTCTGCGACACTGGACAAGTGCGGCTATAGTAATCGGGTATGCCAGGGAGTGACCAATAACGGTGCCTTTATGCTAGGCCCGGGTGCTGTCCGGCATACCGGTTCGGGGCTAACCTATTTGGCGTCATCAGCGGTAGCGGCTCCGGGAGGCGCTGATGATGACAATAATAATAATGAACTATCATTTGGTGAGTTTGCTAGTCTACTAACTACGGCCGGCATTGACAGTCAACTATCCACTGATGAGGACAGTCTAGTCTGGAGTAAAGTAGTAGTCAATGCAGCTATCAATCCGCTGACAGCGCTTATGGGTGTTACCAATGGATATCTGCTGAGACACGACTATCCCAGACGTATGATGCGCCGTCTGATCGCCGAAGGTATGCACGTTTGTCGGGCCAAAGGTGTCCAACTGGTCTACGGTGACGATCTGGATCAGGCTTACGATTATGTAGCTCAGGTAGTCGAACGTACCAGTGGTAATCTGTCGAGTATGCTCAGGGATGTACTCAGGGGACAGCCAACTGAAATACAGGCAATCAATGGCCAGATTGTTAAGGAGGGCGAGAGATTGGATGTTAGTGTCGAGTATAATAAACAGGTAATGGATATGTTATTGACCGGACAGTTCATCAATGTATGAGTGTGTATGTGTATGTGTATGTGTATGTGTATGTGTATGTGTATGTGTATGTGTATGTGTATGTGTATGTGTATGTGTATGTGTATGTGTATGTGTATGTGTATGTGTATGTGTATGTGTATGTGTATGTGTATGTGTATGTGTATGTGTATGTGTATGTGTATGTGTATGTGTATGTGTATTTGTATGTGTATGTGTATGTGTATGTGTATGTGTATGTGTATGTGTATGTGTATTTGTATGTGTATGTGTATGTGTATGTGTATGTGTATGTGTATTTGTATGTGTATGTGAGTGTGTGTGTGTGTGTGTGTGTTATATAATGTTAATAATTTATTAAAGCAATAAATATTTAAATTATTATTTAAAATATTATTAAATACTGTATATTATATAATAATATATTTTAAATTGATTTTTATAAAAAAAATAATATCTATTAATAAATATAAAGTTATATATATTTACATAATGATATTGACATAAAAAATATTTGTAATTAAATGTTATTTTTTTAAATAATCATTTTTTTGCTTAATGATAATGTTTTTATTATATTTAACAATACAATAAAAAATAAGCTTGCTCATTAAATAACAATTTATTTTTGTATTTTCATGTGATTAAATAAATGTGAAAAATAAATTAGTAATTAGATAACAGCAGTATATTTAAGTTTAAAATTTTTTTTAAGTATATTTATATTTTATTTTATTATCTATATATTATATTTATATATACTGTATATGTAATTAATTATTAATAGATAAAAATTACTCTATAATAGTGATATTGTTTTGTTTTTATTAAATTTTTCATTATTGTTCAATATACAAATGTATATATAAATACGTTTTATTTGTTTTTTTTGAATAGTTTATTATTAACTACTAATAATTATTATTAAATAATTAAATTGATATATCGTAATAATTATAATAAAAATATCCAACATAAAAATAAAAATTAATTATTAAAAAACAAATATTTTACTTAAGTATAACTTTAATAATTAATTAGTTTATTTTTTTAAATCATAATTTTTTTAATTAGTTGAATATTAATAAATTAAACTAAATGATTATAATGTATATACATATTTTTTAGCATTATTATTATTATGAAAATAATTATTTATTTATATATTTATTATTTAATTAAACCAAACATAACCTAACCTAACCTAACCTAACCTAACCTAAGCTAACCTAACCTAACCTAACCTAACCTAACCTAACCTAATTAAACCTAACCTAATTAAACCTAACCTAACCTAACCTAACCTAACCTAATCCATCAACTATGATGATGATCATTATTATCATCATCATTATCACTGGCATCCCTGTCCCATGATTGACGTTCAGCTGTTCCAAACACCAGGAAAATACAGCCACCAATAATACTGATGGCGGCCGACATATAGAATATATAACTCCATTGTCGGCGGGGTTGGCCGGGACTGGCATCGATTATATAGCCGATGACCAGCGGTGTTATGAAACCGCAACTATAGGCTATGGTATTGGCGATGCCAAACACAGTGGCCGTAAAATTGTTGGTCATATCTATATAAGAAAATAAAATAAAACATATAATATGTCGGTTAATACAGTGTATGATATAATGTTTTAGGTTATAGTTTGAATTTTTTTTTTGGTTAACATATATAAACATAAATTTCCAAATTACAACATAATAATAATAATTATTAGTAATTATTATTATTATTATTATACATTACCTATCACTACAACAATATCACCACCAGCTTGCATACCAAAAAATAGCATACCCTTTAAATTAATAATTTTTAAATTTTAAAAATATAAATAATTAATTAATTTTATGCTTTAATAATGCATATATGTGTGTATGTGTATGTGTATGTGTATGTGTATGTGTATGTGTATGTGTATGTGTATGTGTATGTGTATGTGTATGTGTATGTGTATGTGTATGTGTATGTGTATGTGTATGTGTATGTGTATGTGTATGTGTATGTGTATGTGTATGTGTATGTGTATGTGTATGTGTATGTGTATGTGTATGTGTATGTGTATGTGTATGTGTATGTGTATGTGTATGTGTATGTGTATGTGTATGTGTATGTGTATGTGTATGTGTATGTGTATGTGTATGTGTATGTGTATGTGTATGTGTATGTGTATGTGTATGTGTATGTGTATGTGTATGTGTATGTGTATGTGTATGTGTATGTGTATGTGTATGTGTATGTGTATGTGTATGTGTATGTGTATGTGTATGTGTATGTGTATGTGTATGTGTATGTGTATGTGTATGTGTATGTGTATGTGTATGTGTATGTGTATGTGTATGTGTATGTGTATGTGTATGTGTATGTGTATGTGTATGTGTATGTGTATGTGTATGTGTATGTGTATGTGTATGTGTATGTGTATGTGTATGTGTAGGTGTAGGTGTATGTGTAGGTGTAGGTGTATGTGTATGTGTATGTGTAGGTGTAGGTGTAGGTGTATGTGTATGTGTATGTGTATGTGTATGTGTATGTGTATGTGTATGTGTATGTGTATGTGTATGTGTATGTGTATGTGTATGTGTATGTGTATGTGTATGTGTATGTGTATGTGTATGTGTATGTGTATGTGTATGTGTATGTGTATGTGTATGTGTATGTGTATGTGTATGTGTATGTGTATGTGTATGTGTATGTGTATGTGTATGTGTATGTGTATGTGTATGTGTATGTGTATGTGTATGTGTATGTGTATGTGTATGTGTATGTGTATGTGTATGTGTATGTGTATGTGTATGTGTATGTGTATGTGTATGTGTATGTGTATGTGTATGTGTATGTGTAGGTGTAGGTGTATGTGTAGGTGTAGGTGTATGTGTATGTGTATGTGTAGGTGTAGGTGTAGGTGTAGGTGTATGTGTATGTGTATGTGTATGTGTATGTGTATGTGTATGTGTATGTGTATGTGTATGTGTATGTGTATGTGTATGTGTATGTGTATGTGTATGTGTATGTGTATGTATTTACTAATGTAAATCATTAATTAAGTTAAATATATTATATTATTTTTTAATACTTACAATCATAATCAATGCTATAACTAATGCATTGTTGCATTGAGATAATGGTATAGCTATCAAACATATTGCCGATGCAATAGTAGCTAATTATACAAATTAAAAAAAATTATATTAATATATATATAATAAATTATCTATTATTAAATTTAAATTAAAAAATAAAATAAATATCTTGTTTTTATTTAGTCTACTAACACATTGATACGCATAGTTTTCTCAAAAATGTTTTACTAATCAATTGTTTGCTTAGAATAATATCGGAAATAAATCCAGTTATTATAAAACTAAATAATATTTATAAAAAATAAAATTAAAAAAAATTAAAACCAATTATTAATATTTTATATATAATAATTATGAAAATAATATATATATATATATATTTAAAAAAAATATAAAAAATATTTTAAATTAAAATTAATTAATTAATTTACCTAATTGTCATGATCAAATATATCATTGAGCTTATAAAACCATTCTATAATTATATAAATTAATTGATTGATAATTAATTATTAATTAATTGATTGATAATTAATTAATAATTAATTAAATAAAACTTGTTTGTTGTTGTGTGTATTAATAGATACTATTTTTTTTTTTAAAATAAAAAACATTTATTTATTAAACATATATAATTAAATATACTTTTTTTTTAAATATAGTCACTTAATCCTAATTTTTTTTAATATATCTATTTTTTAAAAAATTTATTTATATAAAAATTCATAGTTTTAAATAATAGTATTATTGATATATATTGATATATAAGAAAAAAAACATTTGTATTTTTAAAAGCATTTTATAAACTTTTTCAAAACATAAATAACCAATAAATAAATAATAATACTAGTCCTATCCCATTAACCCTATCTATAATAAAAATCTATACATTGCTTAGGTAGATAGATAGAAACGTGGTTGTCGGTGGTGGGTGGGTGTGTGGTTAAATTTATAACCTATTACCTACCTGTTCAATGGGATAGTTGAATATTGTTTGCAGATAAGTGGGTAATTTCGATAGAAACAATTGATTGGACCAATTTACACAAAATTTGACAATAATTAAGGCTAAAAATTGTTTAGATAATAGTATGGCTTTCCAGGGAACCGGTAGTTTCGTTTTACTATTAGTATTACCATTAATATTGGTTTTAATATAGAGAAGCTCCCGGTTTGTAATACATGGATGACTAGTTGGTTCGCTAGTGATAAACAATGACCAAACCAGTAGCCATACGCTGCATATGATTGCTATTTATTTATTTAATTATTTATTTAATAATAATAATTATTAGTATTATTATAAAATTATAAACAAATTAAATAAAAATATATTAATACAATATATAATACAATATATATATATATATATATATATATATATATATACTAATTACCCGATACATAGAAAACCGATGGCCACCCACCGGCAAACCCGTGTTCAGCTAAATAACCGGATAATGCATTTGTGGTAACTGTGCCGACATTACTGCCGGCCACCATAAACGCTAGGAAAGTACTGTTTTTTATAATAATAATAATAATTAATATAACATTTAGAGTTAGGGGTCGGGATGTGGTAGGGGAGAGGGGGTACAACTTGAATATTTGGCTACTTTAAATTGAAAAGGTATTATATAGTATGTATGACAGTGTATGGGTATGTTTGTTTGTGTGTGTGTGTATGTTTGTTTTTTATGTGTGTGTTTGTGTGTGTGTATGTGTGTGTGTGTGTGTGTGAATACTATATAATAAGTTATTATGTGTGTGTATGTGTGTGTATGTGTGTGTATGTGGGTGTATGTGGGTGTATGTGGGTGTATGTGGGTGTATGTGGGTGTATGTGGGTGTATGTGGGTGTATGTGGGTGTATGTGTATTTATGTATGTGTATGTTTGTATATTTATGTTTGTGTTTGTATATAAACATTATGTGTGTGTTAGTGTTTGTATTATGTTTATATGTTTGTATGTGTGACTACTATATAATAATATACCTGCGCTCGTGATCGGGTACCCATTTGGAAAACAATGCATACAATGATGGAAGTATAAATGCCTGAAACATACCGAGCACTACACGACTGGCCACAAGTAGCCAATAGATTCGGGTTCGGGCTATCACAGGTGTCAGTACGTTGATTAACATTGAACCGGCCTGACCTCCGGCACACAACCATTTGGCGCCAAACATTTCGGCCAGTCGTCCGCCAACTATTTGAAACACTAGATAGCCGTAGAAAAATGCACCCAATATTTGACTTTGGGTTGATTCGGACCAATCAAATTCACCATGATGATTTTGTTGTTGTTGTTGATTATTATTATCAGTAATATGACCATGTTCATTAAATATATTGCAAGCATCACTACTATATTTACTATTACTATTGTTATTGTTGCTTGATGATTTTATTGTAGTAGTAGTAGCTGACATAGCTACTATGGCTATACTTAAATTGACCCGGCATATATAGATATTGAATGTAGCCCATACTGTCAGGGCTAGTACTATGTAGCGCACTGGTAGTCTAATTGTTTTAAACAATTTACAACAATTATTATTATTATTATTATTTTGAACATGACTACTACTACTAATTATTATGTTGCTATGATTAATATTACCATGATCAATTTTGTTACTAACATTAGTAGCACTAGACATAATTAATTAATTGAATAAATATTACCTAATAATAATTATAATACTATTATAATAGTAATTATTATTAACTAATTAGATATATATCTATATATATATAATAATAAAATAATTTTTTTTTAATTTTTCAATACAACAAACAAACAATTATATAAATAAAACTTTTAATAATAATAATATTATTATATAAAGAAAATATCATATATATATATAATAAATAATTTATATATTTTTTATTAAGTTTATTACCTGAATACCTATTTACCTATATATTTATATACAGTATATATATATAAACTAGAAATTATCAATAAACTTAAAAAAAATATATATTTTTTATTATTATTTTATTTTCTAGTATATCAATGATTAAGCAAATAATTTTCTAAATAATAAATATATGTATATATATTTGTTTTTATATTATATGATAAAAGTACTTAAAAAACAATAATTTATGAAATAATGTTTAATATAAAAAATGTTTTTTTTCACAATATTAAGTTTTCATAATAAGTTATTCAATTAACTAAATAATTATTAAAATGTATTAAGTAATAATAGTTATACTAATTAAAATTAATTATTATAAATTATACGATTAGTATACAAAAAAAAATATATATATATATATAATATATACAAATAACAATTTGTGATGATATTTAATTAATCAAAATAAATTTTTATTTTATTTATTTATTATTTTGCATTATTAATAATAATAATAATAATTTTGATAAAAAACATAAAAATTATACTTTAAATAACAGTTATAACAATTAGTATGTATTATAAATATGTTTAAATAAATATTTTTGAAAAAAATTATAATTAATTATAATATTATAATCAAATGTTATTAATGCCTACTAATTACTACTGATACTACTAGTCCCTGTCCTACAAACCTTACTGTCCTTACTATTGACGATTAGTTGCCAGTGTTGACGTTTCAGGCCGAACCGATGGCCAGGAAAACACAGCCGCCGCCAACTAAACTGATAGCCGCCGCCGACATATAGAAAGCCCGTAAAGCCCATTGTCGACGGGAACGATCGTATCTGTGTTAGTATCTATGACTTCTACTACTACTACATCCCTGTCCTCAACTACTACCTCCTCCTCCTCCTCGTCAACCACCACTACGACCACATCATCCCTATCCCATGGTTGCCGATCGGCCGATCCAAACACCAGGAAAACAATACCACCCAAAACACTGACAGCGGCCGACATATAGAATATATAACTCCATTGCCGACGGGGTCGGTCGGGACTGGCCTCCACTATGTAGCCGATGACCAGCGGTGTTATGAAACCGCAAACCGTTGCCAGAGTGTTGGCGATGGCAAACACAGTGGCCGTAAAATTGTTGGTCATATCTATTATTATAATAAATATTTTTAAAAAAAAAATATAAATAAAAATAATTTATTAACAAAAATAAATATTATTATTTTTTAAATAGTTTATTAATATGCAAAAAAATTAACTAAAAAAATTAATTAATTAATTTTTATTTAGATATATAATACCTGCAACTATAGCTATATCACCGCCAGCTTGCGTACCAAACAATAGCATAGCCTATGATTACAACAAAAAATTAATTAAATTAAATTAATTAATTTAGTTAATAGTTATTTATAGATATAAAATGTATTACAAAAAAAAACATAATAATAATAATTAATATTATTAAACAAAAAATAATTACAATTAATATTAAAGCAATCACTAGACTATTGTTACATTGAGCCCATGGTATGGCTGCCAAACATATTGCCGATCCAATAGTAGCTGAAAAATAAACAATAAAAATTGTTTGTATTAAACAAACAAAAAATTAAAATTAAAAACATTTATAGATTTATAATATAAAATTTTTTTTATTAAATAAAAAAATAGTTTACAAACAAATTGATTCAAATAGTTTTCTCAACAATGTTTTGCTAATCAACTGTTGGCGTAAAATAAAATCGGCAATTAATCCGCTAAATAATAGACTTAACGCAAAAGTTTAGATTAAATAATAATTTTAAAATAAATAATATTAATTTATATAAATTTTATTTTATAAATTTATTTAATTACCTGATTGTCAACATTACATATACCATAGAATTTATAAAACCATTCTATATTAGATAATAAAGTACAGGTAATTACAGGTATATAGTATATATATATATAAGCTAACTAATTTACCGTGCTATTAACTAAATGTACTGTATTTTATAATAATAATAATAATAATAATAGCTATGTAAATATGATATTTATAACTGTATTTTATTTAAATATATATTAATATACCTGTATTTTATAATCTAATACATATTTATATTACAGGTATATTACAGGTATAGCTAATACCTAATATATATATATATATATATTAAAATAAAATATAGTAATAAATATCATATTTAAATAGCTATTATTATTATAAAATACAGTACATTTAGTCAATAGCACGCTTAGTTAGCTTATTATTATTATTATTATTATTATTATTATTATTATTATTATTATTATTATTATTATTATTATTATTATTATTATTTAGTTATTAAATGGGTACATACATAACTGTAACATAACATACCGGTATAGTACCGGAACAGTACATACCTGATCGATAGGATAGTTGTATACTGTTTTCAAATATGATGGCAATTTCGATAGGAATAGCTGATAGTTCCAACATATACACCATTTGACTATAATTACTGACCAAACCGGTTTGGACATTAGGATAGCCAACCAGGGAACCGGTAGTTTTTTCTGATTACTATCACCACTACCATCAACAGTATTAGATGGCTTAATATAGAGAAGCTCCCGATGTGTAATACATGGATGATCGCGGGGTTCACTAGTTATTAGCAATGACCACATCAGTAGCCATACGCTACATATGATTGCTATTTATTTATTTATTAATAATTAATATTATTTTTTAATTTATTACAATAAATATATATCATAGTAAAAGCTGTACTGTAAAAAAATATACAACTAATTACCCGATACATAGAAAACTGATGGCCAACCGCCGGCAAACCCGTGTCGGGCCAAATAGCCGGACATTGCGTTTGCGGCAATAGTGCCGGCATTGCCGCCGACCGACAGTAACGATAGAAATGTACTTGATAAATTATTTAAATTTATTTTTTTTTTGATTAACAAATGTTAGTAGTAATGTGGAAATCAGGTATACTGTATGTCTATATACTGTATATATAATTTACAGTATTATATAGTGTATGTGTGTGTATGTGTGTATGTGTGTATATGTATGTGTATGTATGTGTGTGTATGTGTGTATGTGTGTATGTGTGTATGTGTGTATGTGTGTATGTGTGTATGTGTGTATGTGTGTATGTGTGTATGTGTGTATGTGTGTATGTGTGTATGTGTGTATGTGTGTATGTGTGTATGTGTGTATGTGTGTATGTGTGTATGTGTGTATGTGTGTATGTGTGTATGTGTGTATGTGTGTATGTGTGTATGTGTGTATGTGTGTATGTGTGTATGTGTGTATGTGTGTATGTGTGTATGTGTGTATGTGTGTATGTGTGTATGTGTGTATGTGTGTATGTGTGTATGTGTGTATGTGTGTATGTGTGTATGTGTGTATGTGTGTATGTGTGTATGTGTGTATGTGTGTATGTGTGTATGTGTGTATGTGTGTATGTGTGTATGTGTGTATGTGTGTATGTGTGTGTGTKTGTGTGTGTGTGTGTATGTGTGTATGTGTGTATGTGTGTATGTGTGTATGTGTGTATGTGTGTATGTGTGTATGTGTGTATGTGTGTATGTGTGTATGTGTATGTGTATGTGTACGTTTGTGTATGTGTGAGAGTATGTGTGTGTATGTGTTTGTATGTGTTTGTATGTGTTTGTATGTGTTTGTATGTGTTTGTATGTGTTTGTATGTGTTTGTATGTGTTTGTATGTGTTTGTATGTGTTTGTATGTGTTTGTATGTGTTTGTATGTGTTTGTATGTGTTTGTATTTGTCTGTATGTGTATATGTATGTGTGTATATGTATGTATGTGTGTGTGTGTGTATGTGTGTGTGTGTGTGTGTGTGTGTGTGTGTGTGTATGTGTATGTTTTTGTGTGTATATGTAATTACTAAATAATAATATACCTGCGCTCATTATCGGGTGCCCATTTAGAAAACAATGCATACAACGATGGAAATATGAATGCCTGAAACATACCGAGCACTACACGACTGCCAATCAATAGCCAATAGATTCGGGTTCGGGCTATCAATGGTGTCAGTGCGTTGATCATCAGCGATACGGTCATACCTCCGGCGCACAACCATTTGGCGCCAAACATTTCGGCCAGTCGTCCGCCAACTATTTGAAACACTAGATAGCCGTAGAAAAATGCGCCCAATATTTGACTTTGGGTTGATTCGGACCAATCAAATTCACCATGATGATTTTGTTGATAATTATTATTAGTATCACCATGGTCATCAAATATATTACAAGCATCGCTACTAATATTATCATGGTGTTTAATAATATTAATAATACTATTGTTGCTAGATGATTGTTTACTATTAGTAGATTTGGACATGGCCACTATGGTTATGCTCAAATTGAACCGGCACATATACAAATTGAATGTAGCTAGTACTGACAGGCCTAGTACTATGTAGCGCACAGGTATTGGGGGCATAAAACATCCAGTACCTTTATTATTATTATTATTATTATTAACTGGATCATTTAAATTATTATTGTTATCAAAATTATTAACATTGTTATCAATTATTGATAAATTGTTTTTATTTACAACATTCATAATTATTAATTTAATATATATTTATAATTTTATTTCTATTAAAAATTAATACAATAACTTTTAAAAAAATTTATTTAGTAATAATTATTTTTAAAATTAAAAATTATATTATTTTTTTTTATTATAATTGTATTAATTAGCTTGATATCAAATAAAATATGATACGATTAAAATATTTTTAAAGTATATAAAAAAAATAAATTATTATTAAATTACTTCATAGTATTATATTTTTATAATTATTATTATTACTATTATTTAAATTTCTGTAATTTAAACTTTTCAATAGTAATAGTAATAATATTTAATATAAACTATTAATAATGTATAATATTTATATAACAATTAGTAATAAAATAAATTTAAAGTTTAATTTATTAAATATGAATTTCATATTAATATATTTTTTTTAATATAATAGACTAAATTTAATATACAATAATACAATGTATAAACAATTTAATAATTATAATAATAAAACAATAAAATAATACTACAATTAACAACTAAATTATTTTTAAAAAACAATAAAATAAAGTAATTAATTATTTACTTATTTTAAAAACAATTAATTGCTATAATAACTTATTATACAGTATATTAGATATATAATATATATATTATTAATAAAAAAAAGTATATTTAATTTAATTAATTAATTAATTATTACAAAAAAAAAATTGTTTATGCATTTTATCTATATTTTTAAATTTATAGTATGATTTTACTTTAATTATACTTAATGGTTAACATTTAATTTATTATTATTATTATTATTAATAAATCTAATATAATTTATATAATAGCAAATAAAAATTGCATTGAATTTAATTATTTGAAAAAAATAAATAAATATTTATTGAATTGTTTGTGTAATTAAAAACAAAAACAAAAATGATTTTCAAAAAATTAAAAAACATGTATAAATAATATAATTAATATAATTTAAATAATATATATACAGTCATATTATTTATAATCAAAGTTTGGTTACATTGTTATTATCTATGACTTCTACTACCTCCCTGTCCTCTACTACTGACCCCTCCTCATCGTCCATCACCACCACCACTACATCATCCCTATCCCATGGTTGCCGATCGGCCGATCCAAACACCAGGAAAACAATACCACCCAAAACACTGATGGCGGCCGATATATAGAATATATAACTCCATTGCCGACGGGGTCGTTGGTCGGGACTGGCCTCGACTATGTAGCCGATGACCAGCGGTGTTATGAAACCGCATGTAAACGCTATGGTGTTGGCGATGGCAAACACAGTGGCCGTAAAATTGTTGGTCATATCTATATATATATATATATATATATATATATATATAATATATATATATATATAACAAACATATATAATTTTATTACATTTATTACATTATTTAACAATTATTATTATTATTATTATTAATATTTAATATTACATTTTATTTGGGGAAATAAAAAGTTATTTTTTAAAAAAATATTAAAATAATAAAATAAATTTGTTCACATAATTTCTAACTATTAATAGAAATTTTTTGTTGTTGAAAATAATAATAATTATAATAAAATCAATATAAAGTATATATATATATATATATATAATAATAATAAATAGTTATTACCTGAAACTATAGCTACATCACCGCCAGCTTGCATACCATAAAATATCATACCCTTTATAATAAATACAATATATATATATATAATATTAATTAAAAAAAAAAAAAAATTTATATAATTAATAATATACTTGAAATTATTAGAAAATATTTGGTATATAATAATATATTTTTAAAAAATTTTGATTGAAAAAATTTCACATACAATCATAAACAATACAATTACTATAGTATTGTTACATTGAGCCCATGGTATGGCTGCCAAACATATTGCCGATCCTATGGTAGCTAAACAACAACAACAACAACAACAACAATAATAATAATAATAAAAACACAAAAAATTTTAATAATAAGTTATAAATATATATATATATATATATATTTAAAAAAAAATTAATTATTGAATCTTAAAAAACAAACCAAATGATTCAAATAATTTTCTTGAAAATGTTTTACTAATTAATTTTCGGCGTTCAATAAAATCGGCAACTAATCCACTTAATAGCATACTAAAGCAATTAATAATAATTAATTAATTAATTAATTAAATTAAATAAATAAAATAAAATAATTAATTTTTTAACAAAAAAAAATAATTATAGTATTACCTGATTGTCAACACTACATAAACTATTGAATTTATAAAACCATTCTAATATTAATAAATAATTTTTTTTTTTTAAATTAAATATTAAAATTTAAAATAAATTATATTTATAATAGTTATTATAATATATTAAAAAAAAATATTTTTTTTATTATATATGAAATAATAATAATAGTAATTATCAATATATATATATATGTATAATAATTTTTTTTTAAAAAAACTAATATACTTATAAATAAATAAATTATAAATAATTTTTCTACAATGCTTGGGTAGTTTTTTTTGTTATTATTATACTAGTAATAGTAATAGTAGTGATATCCTTAAAAAACAAACAAACATACCTGTTCAATGGGATAATTGAATACTGTTTTCAAATATGATGGCAATTTCGATAGGAACAGCTGATAGTTCCAACATATACACCATTTGACTATAATTGTAGACCAAATTGGTTTGGATAGTAGAATAGCCAACCAGGGAACCGGTAGTTTATTTTTACTACTATTATTACTACTACTACTACTACTACCACCACCACCACCACCACCACCACTACTACTACCATTAGCACCGATATTTGATTCAATGTACAGAAGCTCTCGCTGAGTAATACATGGATGACTAGTTGGTTCGCTAGTGATAAACAATGACCAAACCAGTAGCCATACGCTGCATATGATTGCTATTTATTTATTTAATTAATTATTATGATTATAAAATTTAATACTTTTATATATATTATATATTATATAATAGTATATTGTATATACAGTATAGTGATATCATAATAATATGTAGTGTTAATAAAAAAATAAATAATAATAATTACTAATTACCCGATACATAGAAAATCGATGGCCATCCACCGGCAAACCCGTGTTCAGCTAAATAACCGGATAATGCATTTGTGGTAACTGTACCCAAATGGCCGCCTATGCATGTAACCGCCAGGAAAGTACTAAATTAAAAATAGTTTGTAATTTTTTTATGTTTTTTTTAATAATAATAATGAAAATGTGGAAAATAATGTGTATGTGTGTGTATGTGTGTGTATGTGTGTGTATGTGTGTGTATGTGTGTGTATGTGTGTGTATGTGTGTGTATGTGTGTGTATGTGTGTGTATGTGTGTGTATGTATGTGTATGTGTGTGTATGTGTGTATGTGTGTATGTGTGTGTATGTGTGTGTATGTGTGTGTATGTGTGTGTATGTGTGTGTATGTGTGTGTGTATGTGTGTGTATGTGTGTGTATGTGTGTGTATGTGTGTGTATGTGTGTGTATGTGTGTGTATGTGTGTGTATGTGTGTGTATGTGTGTGTATGTGTGTGTATGTGTGTGTATGTGTGTGTATGTGTGTGTGTGTGTGTGTGTATGTGTGTATGTTTGTGTGTCTACTAAATGATAACATACCTGCGCTCGTGATCGGGCGCCCATTTAGAACACAGTGCATACAATGATGGAAGTATAAATGCCTGAAACATACCGAGCACTACACGACTGGCCACTAGTAGCCAATAGATTTGGGTTCGGGCTATCAATGGTGTCATGGCGTTGATCATCAGCGACACTGCCATACCTGCAGCGCACAACCATTTGGCGCCAAACAGTTCGGCCAGTCGTCCGCCAACTATTTGAAACACTAGATAGCCGTAGAAAAATGCGCCCAATATTTGACTCTGTGTTGATTCCGACCAATCAAATTCACCATGATGATTTTGTTGTTGTTGTTGATTATTATTATCAATATGACCATGTTCATTAAATATATTGCAAGCATCGCTACTATGATCATTGTTGTTGGTGTTGTTGCTTGATGAGTTATTAAATTTGGACATGGCCACTATGGCTATACTCAAATTGATCCGGCACATGTACATAATAAACATAATCAACAGTGCCATACTAAGTACTAGATAGCGTACAGGTATAATTGATCTAAAACACCCAGTACCATTATTATTATTATTATTATTATTATTATTATTAAATTTAAAATTGTTGCTTGTTAAGTTATTATTATTATTATTATTATTATTATTGTTGTTGTTTACAATATTCATAATTTTTTATTATTAAAATAAAAATTATTATCTAATTGATTGATAATAATTATTAAAAAAAAATTACAAAAAAATATTTGTTAATATTTTAATTTTAATAATAATAATAATTATTATTATATATTATTATAGTTATATTGAAGTTAAACATTAATAATAATATAACTATTGTATGACTAATCAAAACAACAACAGAAAAATGTTTTTCATTTTGTTAATAATTAAATTGAAAAAAAACTTTCAAAAAAAAAATATTAATATATACATAAAAAAAAGTTTATTAACTATTAAATTGATTTATTATAACATTTTAATTAATAATATTATAATTAATAATTATATGTAATTTGCAAATAAATTATGAATTGTTTGTATAAGTAAATTAAAATAATAATAATTTTAATTTTGTTAGTAATTTTTTTTAAATACATAAAAATATGACTAAACAAATTTTTTTTAGTAATTAAAAAAATTAATGAATTAATATAAATATTATATTAAAATCATATCATATTATGTTTAAAATCAAATTTTGGTTACACTGTTAGTATCTATGACTTCTTCTACTACTACATGCCTGTCCTCTACTATTACCTCCTCCTCGTCCACCACTACCACCACCACATCATCCCTATCCCATGGTTGCCGATCGGCTGATCCAAACACCAGGAATACAATGCCACCCAAAACACTGATGGCGGCCGACATATAGAATATATAACTCCATTGCCGACGGGGTTGGCCGGGACTGGCCTCGACAATGTAGCCGATGACCAGCGGTGTTATGAAACCGCATGTAAATGCTATGGTGTTGGCGATGGCAAACACAGTGGCCGTAAAATTGTTGGTCATATCTATTATTATTATTATTATTATTATTAATATTTAATATTACATTTTATTTAGAAATTAATAATAAATAAATAATAATATTTGCATATAATTTCTAACAAATTAATTTTTTAATAATTACTTATGATATATATATGAAAAATACAAAAAAATAAAATAATTAATAATATCAATATATATGGTATTACCTGACACTATAGCTATATCACCGCCAGCTTGAGTACCAAAAAATATCATACCCTTTATAATATTAATATATTAAAAATTAATTTTATAAACAAAAATAATACAAATAAATATAGTATACATGAAATTATATATATATATATATATATATATATATATATATACTGTATTATTGGTTAAAAATAATAAACTAAAAAAATAAATTTTCACTTACAATCATAATCAATGCAATTACTATAGTATTGTTACATTGAGCCCATGGTATGGCTGCCAAACATATTGCCGATACAAATGCAGCTAAAAATTTAATAATAATTTAATAAATATTTTTTATACAAAATACAGTAATATATATATATATGTCTAAAACACAAACCTAACGATTCAAATATTTTTCTTAACAATGTTTTGCTAATTAATTTTTTGCGTACAATAAAATCGGCAACTAATCCACTTAATAGTATACTATGAAAATAATAATAATAATAACAACAACAAATTATAATTAATTAATTAATTTTAATTATACTATTTTTAATAATTTACCTGATAGTCAACACTACATATACCATAGAGTTTATAAAACCATTCTATTAAATACAATATAAATATATATATAAAAGTTATTATAATATTTATCATATATTTAATCCAAAACAAAAATAAATAAATAAATAAAAACTAAATAATATATAATATTTAGTTAATAAATATATATATAATAAATAAAATTTAATAATATAACATTTAATAGTAATTATAATATAATATTTAATAATAATTATAATATAATATTTAATAGTAATTATAATATAATATTTAATAATAATTATAATATAATATTTAATAATAATTATAATATAATATTTAATAGTAATTATAATATAATATTTAATAATAATTATAATATAATATTTAATAATAATTATAATATAATATTTAATAATAATTATAATATAATATTTAATAATAATTATAATATAATATTTAATAATAATTATAATATAATATTTAATAATAATTATAATATAATATTTAATAATAATTATAATATAATATATTGTAAATTAATTTTTTAATGTATAAATTCAAAACAAATCAGTTATCTAGCATATGCTTAGGTAGTTTTTTTTTAATTAGCGATTGACCTTAAAAACAACATACCTGTTCAATGGGATACTTGAATACTGTTTTCAAATATGATGGCAATTTTGACAGTAATAGCTGATAGTTCCAACACATACACCATTTGACTATAATTATCGACCAAATTGGTTTCGATCTGAATATAGCCAACCAGGGAACCGGTAGTTTTTTTAGTTTACTACCATCACCATCACCAGCATCAGCAGCAGCTATGGCATCGATATTTGATTCAATGTACTGAAGCTCTCGGTGTGTAATACATGGCTGATCTCTGGGATCACTACGTATAAACACTGTCCATATCAGTAGCCATGCGCTACATATGATTGCTATTATGATATTTATTTATTTGTAAACCAAAAAAATAACTGTATATTATATATATTTTATATATAAAATTATATATGTTGTATATGTAATTACCCGATACATAGAAAACCGATGGCCAACCGCCAGCAAACCCGTGTTCAGCTAAATAGCCGGATAGGGCATTGGTTGCAATGGTGCCGACATTACTGCCAATTGATAGAAACGATAGGAAAGTACTAATAATATATATTAATAAAAGATTAGTTATTAAACAATCAATTTAGTATTGGATTTAAGTGTATGTGTATGTATGTATATATGTATGTGTATGTGTATGTGTATGTGTATGTGTATGTGTATGTGTATGTGTATGTGTATGTGTGTGTGTGTATGTGTGTATGTGTATGTGTATGTGTATGTGTATGTGTATGTGTATGTGTATGTGTATGTGTATGTGTATGTGTATGTGTATGTGTATGTGTATGTGTATGTGTATGTGTATGTGTATGTGTATGTGTATGTGTATGTGTATGTGTATGTGTATGTGTATGTGTATGTGTATGTGTATGTGTATGTGTATGTGTATGTGTATGTGTATGTGTATGTGTATGTGTATGTGTATGTGTATGTGTATGTGTATGTGTATGTGTATGTGTATGTGTATGTGTGTATGTATGTATAAGTGAGTGTGTATGTATATATGTATGTGTTTGTATATATGTGTGTATGTGTTTGTATGTATGTGTATAAATATGTGTGTAAATATGTGTGTGTGTATATATGTATGTATAAGTGTGTRTGTGTGTGTGTGTATATGTATGTCTGTCTACTGTACGATAACATACCTGCGCTCGTGATCGGGCGCCCATTTAGAACACAATGCATACAACGCTGGAAATATGAATGCCTGAAACATACCGAGCACTACACGACTGGCCACTAGTAGCCAATAGATTTGTGTTCGGGCTATCAATGGTGTCATGGCGTTGATCATCAGCGACACTGCCATACCTGCAGCGCACAACCATTTGGCGCCAAACAGTTCGGCCAGTCGTCCGCCAACTATTTGAAACACTAGATAGCCGTAGAAAAATGCGCCCAATATTTGACTCTGTGTTGATTCCGACCAATCAAATTCACCATGATGATTTTGTTGATTATTTGTATTATTATTATTATTATCACCATGGTCATCAAATATATTACAAGCATCGCTAGTACTACTACTACTATCATGTTTACTACTATTGTTGCTTGATGATTTATTATATTTGGACATGGCCACTATGGCTATACTCAAATTGACCCGGCATAAATACAAATTGAATGTTGCTAGCATTGCCATTGCTATTACTATATAGCGTACAGGTATAATTGATAAAAAACATCCAGTTCCATTATTATTATTATTAGTATCATTGTTGCTTGATGTTTTATTGTTATGTTTATTTATGACACTCATAATTATTTTTAATATTATTATTAAAAAATATAATTAATTATATTTAATAGTTAAAACAAAAACAAACAAAACTAATTAAAAAGTTTATTTTAATTAATTATTAATATTTTAATATAAATTTACTAAATAAAATTGTGTTTAAATTTTTCAATAATAAAATATTTATTGTTATAAGCATTTTTTATTTTAAAAAAATATACTAGGTAATAATTAGTATTGTACAAACAACAACAACAACAAAAATAAACAATTAACAATTTATTAAAACAATTTATTTTATTTTATTAATAAAATTCTAATTTAATATATAAATATTAAAATAATATAATTATATATATTTTTAATTAGAAATATATTTATTATGTCTACACTTGAAATATGTAATAAATAAAACTAATGTAAAAATGCAATAGTAATTAGTTATTGCTTAATTAGTTATTAATAAATTTATCAATTATTATGATAACCTTTAAATATATTTATATATAGATAATAGTTTATAATACTATAACTTTTTTTTTATATATTATTAATATTTTATTTTATTTAGTATTCTATCAACATGTACTTTTAAAAAAATTATTACAGTTAATTATTTATAAATATATACAGGTAGTACTGTATATATTTATATATAAAATATTTATCTATTTATACTAGTATAATAGCTTAATTGATTTTAATTTTACAAATTAACAAAAATGTTGTTTTTTACAAATTGTTTAATTTAATTAACTTTTTATTAAATTGTCTAGTATAATTATTATTTTTTAAAAATAAATAAATAATATTATTTAATTGCTCTATTAATAAATTTAAATACTAATTTTTTAAAAATAATAAAAATAATTATTATATTTGTTATTATATAATACTATCATAAATAACATATATATCAGTACTGTATAAATGAAAATTAATTAATTAATATTTATAATTAATTAATGCAACAAAAAATAACAACTAAATCGTGGACACTGTGCCGTCGGTAGCTGTTACGGGACTACTGTTGGCCTCAGTTACCGCAACCAGTAGTGGCTGCCGATCCCAGTGTTGTTGTCTGGCCGATGCAAACACAATGAATACTAGACCGCCGGCAACGTTGATGGCCGCCGATATGTAGAATACGTACGACCATTGGCGTCGCGGGTGATCGGGACCGCCGGCCGACACTATCGAGCCGATGGTCAACGGTGTTACAAAACCGCATATAAATGCTATTGTATTGCCGATAGCGAAAACAGTGGCCGCAAATCGGTTAGTCATATCTATTAGTAATAGTAGTWGTATTTAAAATAMTTATTAAGGAACTGGAGTTTTTTTTGTGTGGCTTATGGATGCTATGATACTACTACTACTACTGTCTACTTTACCGGCAACTATGGGTACGTCACCTCCCGAGTAGAAGCCAAACATAAACATACCCTTTAAATATAAATAATTGTAAAAAATTAAATAAAATAATAAAAAATAATTGTGAAAAAATAATAGTAAAAAATATAATAATTGTAAAAAATAAATGTATAAAAATAATTGTGAAAAATAATTGTGAAAAATAATTGTGAAAAAATAATAGTAAAAAATATAATAATTGTAAAAAATAATTGTATAAAAATAATTGTGAAAAATAATTGTGAAAAATAATAGTAAAAAATAATTGTGAAAAATAATAAAAAATAATTATGAAAAAAATAATTATGAAAWAAATAATTGTAAAAAATATTAGTAAAAAATAATAGTTAAAAAAATAATAGTTAAAAATAATAGTCAAAAATATTAGCAAAAAATAATAGTAAATAATAATAATAATAATTACACAAAATTTTTAGCAATAAATAAAAAATAATTAATTAATTTAATTAATTAAATTAAAAAACACATACAACTAATAACAATATTATGACAATCGTATCGTTACATTGGGCTAATGGTATGGTTGCCAAACACACTGATGAACCAATTGATGCTATTGTTTAATAACAACAATAACAACAAAATATAACAAATTAATTATCAAATATTAGTTTTTATTTCAAAAAAAAAAAAATAAAATTATTTGTAATTTATTTTATACCTATACTTTGAAATATTTTTCTCAAAATTGTTTTATCCAAAACACGTTTGCGGACCAAAATGTCGGCTAAAAATCCGGCCACAAATTGACTTAATTTTTTAAAAATAAAATAATTATTATTATAAAAAATAATAATTATTTATAAATTACATAAAATTATTGTCAAACCTTATTGTCAATACAACATAGACCAGGGAACTAATWAGTCCATTCTATATATAGATAATAATAATAATAATTAATTAATTAATTAATTAATAAAATTATCTAGCTTGATTTAGTTTAARTTATTARAAATTTTACAGTTAAACAAACAACAACAACAAATAAGTTTARSTAAAATTWARATKTTTTTATATATTATTTATATATTATTTATAATTAGCAATAAATAMATTATTTTTWAATTTTAGTAATTATTATTTTTGTTTAAAACTATTATTATAATAACTTAATAATATTGTTTTGATAATTTTTTTTAATAAAMAAAWTTACCTTGGACACTGGATATTTTATATAATATTATTTACAAATTAATTTTAAAATTTTAAATAATATTAGTGTATTAGTATATATATATATATATATATATGTTTTTTATTTAATTATTATTCAAAATTAATAAAAATAATAAACTTTAAAAAAAAATAATAGTTAAGTAATCTAATATTTTTWWWAAAAAACAATCTAATAATAACTTTATTTAATAATAATATTATTTTTTTATATAAAAAATGTACCTTGGACACTGGATGTTTTATAAAAAAGTTAATTATTTTTTTTATATAATATTATTTACAAATTAATTTTAAAGTTTTAAATAATATTAGTGTATTATTATATATATGTTTTTTATTTAATTATTATTCAAAATTAATAAAAATAATAATTTTTTTTTTTAAAAAGTAATAGTTAAGTAATCTAATTTAAAAAAAACAATCTAATAATAACTTAATATTATTATAATTTTTTTATATATAAAAAATGTACCTTGGACACTGGATATTTGAATACAGTAGAAAAATATGATGGTAATTTCAATAATAATAGTATATAGTTCCAGTTTATAGTAAATTTGGCTACAAAACAGGCCCAAACTGGTACCGATGAAAATATGCTAAGCCAGGGAACTGGTGGTTTGGTACCATCACTGGCACCACTGGCACCACCGCCGCTAATATTTGATTTAATATACCGGAGCTCTGAACGGGTAATCCATGGATGATCGTTGGGTTCGCTTTTGACTACAATTGTCCATATGATTAGCCAAACAGTGGCCAGTATTGCTGTTGTAATAATTAGTTTTAATGGGTTAGTACAGTGACAGCACAGGTAGTATTAGAAGGACTGGACTGTGATTGTAACTGACCAGAAACATAGAAAACCGATGGCCAGCCGCCGGCAAACCCGTGTTCGGCCAGATAGCCGGACAGTGCGGTCGACGCAATTGAGCCGATGTTGCCGCCGATATACGGTAGCGATAGACATGTGCTTTAATTATAAATTAAATATATATATATTTATTTATTTATTTATAATAAAAATAAATATTATAGTTATTGAATTAATAGTTTTTAAAATTAAAACAAACATACACACACACACACACAAAATAAATAACAATTTATTTTAGTATTTTAAATACATTATACAGTATATATATATCAGTATATACAGGTATATATTTATATACAGGTGTATATATACAGGTATATATATAAAGGTATATATATATACAGGTATATATATATACAGGTATATATATACAGGTATATATTTTTATACAGATATATATATATATATATATATATATATATATATATATATATATATAGGTATGTATAAATATATAGATAATAGTGTATATTATTTGATACCAGTTTATTATAAACTTTTAAATCAAAGTTAGTTTAAAATTATTAGAAACTTTTTTTATTTATTTTTTAAAAAAATAGACTGTCATATAAAATAATACTAAATAATACTAATAATAAATTAGCTAGCAGATTTATATTTATTGCAAAATACAGTATATTTTTAAAAAAATATTAATTAATTGATTTAATAAAATTAAATAATAAAATTAAAACTACTAACAAACAAAAGTATCCTTTATTTTTATTATATATTTTTCCCCCTATTTTTTCAAGTATTATATGATATCATATATACAATATAGTTAACCATAGAGTGGATAGTGTATGGTTATAAGTTAGGAAGTGGGGGGGGGGATAGGATGGACAGTTAGTCATATCAAACATACATACCTGCGCTCATGATCGGGTGCCCACTTAGAAAACAGGGCATACGTCGATGGAAATACAAAACTCTGGAATATACCCAACAAAATACGACTGGCCAACAATAGCCAGTATTGATTGGATCGGGCTATGACCGGTGTCAGGGCATTGATCACTATGGACATACCGATACCGGCCGAACACAGCCATTTGGCACCGAACAGTTCGGATAGTCGACCGCCGACCACAAGGAACAGTATGTAGCCATAGAAAAATGATCCCAATATCATGCCCTGGGTTTTATCGTCCCAATCAAATTCACCCAACATTATCGTATGGTCAGCACTGGTAGATGATGGTGTTGTTGGTGATGATGTATTACTACTACCAGTGCTGCTGCTGCTGCTGGTATCGCAAACATCACTGGCCATTGATGATGTGGTCCCGGTGCTTGATTTGTTTGCCGATGATGATGATGATGATGATGGCCTAGACATTGCAACAATAGCTATGCTCATGTTATAGCGGCACATATACAGATTGACTGTACTAAACATAACCAATAGGGCAACAATATAGCGCACAGGTAGGCAACATTTAATTGATGATACATGAGCACCATTATCTGATGATGATGATGATGATGATTGTTTAGTTAAATCAAATCTACCTTTTGCTGCACACATAGATAGTTAGGTTATTAATTAATTAATTAAACTTAGCTAGTTAAAATATAGTGTTATTATTATTATTATTATTATTATTATTATTATTAATTAATTAATTTTGATATTAATTAAATTAACTAAATTAACAATAGTTTATATTTAGTATACATTTTATTATTATTATTATTATTATTATTATAAATTCCAAATTAAAAAAACTAAATTTACTAAATAATAAATAAATATATGATATATTTATTTTTGTAAAAATTATTATTATTATTAATAAAAAGTTTTAATTTACAATTAATACTTTTTTAAAAAAAAAATTAAATAAAAATATTTTTGTTTTATTTAACCTGATTTTTTTGGATTAAATAACTATTAAAAAAAACTATTAAGTGATTGTCAATTAATTTTTTTTTGTAAAATTAAAATGTTATGTTATAAATATAGTATTTTAATTATACAATAGCATATACTAGCAATACATTGTTTTAATTATATACTAAATTATTGTTTTTATGTTTAGGCATAATATTTATTAATTTATTAACATTGATATATTGACTTACAAATTGATATTATATTTTTTTTAAATAATTTAATTTCATCTCAAATTGCGTCTATGGTTTAGTTTTTTTTTTTATTTTAATAATAATATTATCAATAATTAATAAAATTGCAAATTCATTGATTTTTGATTTAAAATAATTTTTAGCTCAAATTCATTATATATTTATATATATCAATATATTAAATAATTTAATATTTGTAATGTTAACTAATAATTAGTATATCAACAAAAATATTATAGTAATAATATTTTATTTAATTATTTTATTTTATTTGCCTAAAATTTTTCACCATAAAAATAATTTTAATTATATTATATGTATATATTATTTTATTATAAGTATATTTATTATTATATTATAAGTATATATATTATTATATTATAAGTATATATATTATTATATTATAAGTATATATATTATTATATTATAAGTATATATATATTATTATATTATAAGTATATACTATTATATTATAAGTATTTATTATTATATAAATATTATAACATATATGCAATAAATTAAATATTATATAATATAAAAAATAATTGCATTAAATTTATTTACTTTAATATAATATTTAGTACACAAAAAAATTGATTTTTTAAAAATCTAATTATTATATTTTATTTTTATTATTGAATATTTTTTTCAAAAAATAAATGTTTGCATACATAAATATTTAATATAATTAAAAAAACATAATTAATAATTATAATGTTATTTACATAATAGTATTTGCCAATAATAATAATAATAATAATAATAAATAAAAATATTTATATGAAAGGTACATTTACATTTATTATGCAAAAAAAACAAATAGTTTATTGATTTTTTTATATATTAAATAAAAAATACTTATAAACTTATTAAACTTTTTTTTTAAAAAAATGTTTGGTATTTTTTATATATATATATATATACAGGTTATATAGTTTTATATGAAAACATTTTAGTTATTTTGTTTTAAAAAAAACTAAAAAGATAAATGAGTTAACAAAAAATATTTCCCATTATTACTAATATTATTATAAAAAACCTAATAATTATAATAAAACAGTTTTTTTTAATCATTATCAAGTAGTGTTAGCAAAAACAAAAAGAAATTTATAAAATAATAGAGAAATTTCTAGAAAGTTTCTAAAAGAAATTTTTTTATTAATGATATCTATTTTTTTATTAATTAAATTAAATATTAATTATCTTTAATTTTCGATAGTTGTTATCTTTAACATTGTTTTTATAATTAATATTTAATTATTATTATTAGTAGTAGTAGTATTTTTTATTATTAATTAAAGTAAATTTTTTTCAAAATTAATTTAATTATATTAAACTATTATATATAATAAAATAATTAATTAAAACTTTACAAAAACTGATTATTATTATTATTATTAAATAATTATAATTATTTATATATAGGTATCCCATTTTGTACATAATAATATTATACAATAATCTATATTATATATATTATAATATTATATGTATAGTATATTAGTAATGTTTTATTAATATATAATATATTAGTTTTACAATATATCTATAGATAGGTTAGGTATTTATAGATAGTATAACAAAAAAAAGTTAAATTTCTATAGAAATTTATTCCTTGAGAAATTTTCTAGAATTTTTTTTTTAAAAGAAAATTTATTAGAAACTTTCTAACTAGTCCATAACTCTATCCATCAAGGTAAAATACTAGTAGTTTATTTGTGTCTATGTCACAATCAATCAATAAAAATGTTTTCAATAAAAAAATTTTAAATACTTTATATAATAAATATATTGTATAAACAAGTTATTTTCAACAACAAAATATTAAATTGTTTTGTTTAATTGTAAAATACATTTAAGTTTTTTGCTTGTTGTTTAATGAAACAAAATATATTGAGTATTATAAATATATTAATTATTTTTTATAAATAATACTTTTTTGTGTGTTATATAAACTAATCGTTTTTGTTAAACGAAAAATATTATTATTAAATCATTATTTAAGTTAAAAAGTAATATATTATTATTATTATTACTATTACTATTAATATTATTATTACTATTAATATTATTATTACTATTAATATTATTATTACTATTAATATAATTTTTACTATTAATAATATTATTATTATTACTATTATTATTATTAATAATATTATTATAATTATTACTAAAACATAAAATTTATATATATATATATAAAATTAGATATAAACAATTATGGCTAACAAAATGAGCATGGCAACTATAATTTTGATTATTTTAACAATATTATTATCAACCTGGCTAATTAATTTAACCTATTGTTATGATTGTCAATCAGTCAAAGATTGTCACCATGATTACCATGATCAATTAATGTTTAATTGTGTCTATGGATTTTGTGTATTGATATGAAATATATATAGTTTTAATTTTTTTTAATAATAATAAAAAAAGTAAGCAGTATATGTTTTTATAAAAATTAAATATATATATATATAAATGTTTAAATTATTAATTTTTTCTAGCTTGAACAAAAAAGTTAATTAATTATTTTTATGTATAATATTATTTACAAATTAATTTTAAGTTTTAAATAATATTGTAAACCATAAATAACAATAATAATTTTTATGTATTATTATATATGTTTTTTATTTAATTATTATTAAAAAAAACAATAAAAATAAACTTTTTTTTAAAAAGTAATAGATAAGTAATCTAATTTTTTTTAATAATAATAATAATTATTATATTTTAGTTTATTTCATACTAAATAATTTTAGGATTAATTTAAAATAAAAACAAATTATTGTAATTTAATGTATTAATTTGTTTAATTAATATTTTAATTAATAAATGGCGATTAAAAATTTAATAAATAATAAATAATTTTTTTTCTAAATTAATTAAATATTTATTTATTTATTTAATAACTTAGTTGGTAAATATAATTTTTGTTAGGTTATACCTATGATTTTTTTTAACATTTTATTTAATTATAATTATTTTAATTAATAATAAAAATTTGGTTAAATCTATTTTTTTTGCAAAAATATTAAATAATTTAATAGTATTTTTGATTTTTAAAAAAAATAATAATAACATATGTACAGTAAGTTATATTAATAAAAAATAAATAAACTTATTAATTATAATTGTTAACTATTATTATTATTAGATGATGATAATAATATTATCGACAAAAATGATGATGGTAATTTTTACAACAATTATTTTAATGACAATAATGAAGTCATGGATGATTCCCGGCAGTCAGGGTAGGGGTTGCCTATCGGATGCCGACTGTCCTCAACTAGTTGTACACTATTATTGTCAATCAGGTTATTGTAAGGCCATTTGAGATAACCTCCACCCCCCAGCACCTGAGCCCACACACACACACATACATATATTTTTTTTAAATAATGTTATTTTTTATATTAACTATATCTATAATAATTTTGTAATTTTGTAAAATACAAGTATTTTTTTAGTTTTATTTATAAAATAAAATCAATAATTATAGATAAAATAATTTTTTAATTAATTTTTTAGTTAATATAAATTATTTGTATATAAATATCAATAATATCATTATAATAACAACTATTATGATATTTTTAATTACAACAAAAAATAAAAATAAATAATGCCTAATAATTATTTAAATTTAATATAATATATATAATAATAATTATTATTACTATATATTTGTTAATTAATTTAACAATAATAATGAATACTTAATACCTAAAAAAAAATACATTTAAAAAAAATTCAAATAAAAAACTAATACACAATAAATATTAAATAAATATTTTTTTTTATATATATAATTAAATTAAATTAATTTTTTAAAATAAAATAATACTCTATATTATCCTTTAAAAAAAATAAACTTATATTTTAGTGACCACTTGTTGTTGTTGTTGTTGTTGTCGGCTATGAGAGGAGGAGGACTGGCCGTCAAGTTTGTCCCAATGTTGTTGTTTGGCTGAACCGAAAGCTATGAATACCAGTCCGCCGACAGTGTTGATAGCGGCGGACATATAGAAAACATAACCCCATTGGCGGCGTACGTGATGGCCGTCGCCGCCGGCCTCGACAATATGGCCGACGACCAGCGGCGTTACGAAACCGCATATAAACGCTATGGTATTGCCTATCGAGTAGACAGTGGCCGCAAATTTGGTGGTCATATCTAAAAAAAAAACAAACAAATATTTTTTTAGTAATTAATTTTTTTTTAAATGTTATGTTGTGTTTCATCCCATTACCGGCCACTATAGGTATGTCCCCACCGGAGTTAAAGCCAAACATAAACATTCCCTTTAAATTAAAACATTAAATGTTTAATTGATTTATTTTTTTTATAAATAATATATTTTTATAGATTTTGTTTTTTTGTAAACTTTCTGTCTCTCTCTGTCTCTCTCTCTGTCTCTCTCTCTGTCTCTCTCTGTCTCTCTCTGTCTCTCTCTGTCTCTCTCTGTCTCTCTCTGTCTCTCTCTGTCTCTCTCTGTCTCTCTCTGTCTCTCTCTGTCTCTCTCTGTCTCTCTCTGTCTCTCTCTGTCTCTCTCTGTCTCTCTCTGTCTCTCTCTGTCTCTCTCTGTCTCTCTCTGTCTCTCTCTGTCTCTCTCTGTCTCTCTCTGTCTCTCTCTGTCTCTCTCTGTCTCTCTCTGTCTCTCTCTGTCTCTCTCTGTCTCTCTCTGTCTCTCTCTGTCTCTCTCTGTCTCTCTCTGTCTCTCTCTGTCTCTCTCTGTCTCTCTCTGTCTCTCTCTGTCTCTCTCTGTCTCTCTCTGTCTCTCTCTCTCTCTCTCTCTCTGTCTCTCTCTGTCTCTCTCTGTCTCTCTCTGTCTCTCTCTCTCTCTCTCTCTGTCTCTCTCTCTCTCTCTCTGTCTCTCTCTGTCTCTCTCTGTCTCTCTCTGTCTCTCTCTGTCTCTCTCTGTCTCTCTCTGTCTCTCTCTCTCTCTCTCTCTCTCTCTCTSTCTCTCTCTGTCTCTCTCTGTCTCTCTCTGTCTCTCTCTGTCTCTCTCTGTCTCTCTCTCTCTSTCTCTCTCTCTTACTCTGTCTATACTTACAATTATTAACAATACGATAACAATTGTATCATTGCATTGGACCAGTGGTATAGCTGCCAAACAAATTGATGAACCAATTGATGCTAAAATTTATTTTTTGAAAAAAAAACAATTTATATGAATTTATTTATCTTTTTATAAAAATAATAAATAATTTATAAATTTTATATTTAAAAATAAAAAACTATTAAATAACTTACAAACTGATTGAAAACATTTTCTAAGTATTGTTTTGTCCATTATTTTCTTGCGGACCAAATAGTCGGCCGCAAAACCCGACATAAATAAACTATATTTTTTTAAATATAATTAATTTAATTAATTAATTAAATTTTTTTAAATATAATTACCTAATAGTTAGTACAGCATATATTGATGAACTAATTAAACCATTCTATATGTGTTTAAAAAAAATTAATTAAATTTTAAAGTTTAAAAAAATTTTGACAAAATAAATATAAATTTTATAGATATATACTTTAGATATTGAAAAATTGAAAACTGTCGAAAAATATGAGGGAAGTTTCAATAGTAAAAATACAAAATTCCAGTTATAGGTAAACTTGACAACGATTGCCGCCCATACGGGTATTGATGTCAGTATTGCCAACCAGGGAACGGGAGGTACAGTTGACTTATTTGTATTATTATTATGGCTATCACTATCATCATCGCCATCATCATCATTAGCAATGTAATTATCATTATTATCATTACTACTATTAGTTTTATTTAAATTATTAGCCGATATATTTGATTGAATAAACTCCAGTTCCCCACTGGATATCCATCGATGATCTTTCGGATCGCTTTTGATAAACATTATCCAAACAATTAGCCAAACACTGGCTATTATGGCTACACACAGACAAAAATATGTATATTTATTATATATATATATATATATATATCTATAATTTATAGGTATATAACCCCAAACATACCGGGCGTATAGAAAGCCGATGGCCAGCCACCGGCGTAGCCGTGTTCGCACAGATAGCCAGACAGGGCTGTAGTGGCAATGGATCCCAGATTGGAGCCAATAGTGGGAAACGATAGGAAAGTACTGTTTTTTTTATTCAAACAATTAAAATATCAAATAAAAAAATAAGTTAACCTACGATCAACATACCTGCGCTCGTGATCGGGTACCCAACGAGACAACAGTGCATAAGTGGATGGAAATATAAAAGCTTGCGATAGACCGAGTACTACACGACTGGCCAATAGTAGCCAATAGATATGGGAACGAGCTATCACCGGGGTACAGGCATTGATTAGTATGGATACGGCTATACCGCCGGCGCACATCCATTTGGCACCGAACAGCTCCGATAGCCGGCCGCCGACCACCTGAAGCATTATATAGCCGTAGAAAAAGGCGCCCAATATATCGCTCTGAGTAGACTCGTCCCAATCAAACTCACCGCTACCGGTGCTGCTGTTGTTTGTAGACGACTGTCCACTATGTTTGACAACATCACTAGTATAGCATAGATCGTTGTCTATTACCGATGATGATGAGTGGCCACCACCACTGCCAGTGGCCGGTTTGGCCATCGATACAATAGATATGCTTAGATTATATCGGCACATGTATAGGTTGAATGTTGATAACAGTGCCAGTATGGCCACTATCCAGCGCACTGGTATGCATGTAATACCCCCACCCCCACCTCCTCCTCCTMGGCTATAATCGATACTTTTGATATTAATATCATTAGTATTATAATTATTATTATTATTATTATTATCCATCACATAATTATTTGATTTTAAACTCATAATTATTAAAAAAAACTAAATAAATAATTAATTTATAATTTTTTTGCTGTAATTTATTTTTTAATTTAATAATAACTTAATCCTTAAATTAGGTATTAATTGATTTATAAATGATTTTTTTTGTGTGCACTTAATTTTTTTATTGTTATCAACTAATTATTAGTTTTTAATTATTATTATTATTATCTGTATTTATTTTTATTGTGATATTTTCAATATTACTACTATTTTTTTAATCGCTATAAATTTTTTAGTTATCAAAAACTAATAATAATTGCAAACTTTTTTCTATATTAATAGTAATAATGATTTTTTTGTTTTAAATATCATTTATTATCAATACATTGTAGTAAAATATATATATATTTATAAATGCAATATTTATTTTGTTAAGTAAATTTGATTTAATAATAATAGTATATTTTTGATAAAAAAAAATTTAAATTTAAAACAATAATTATCAACAATCTATTAATTATGATCTCATTATTTTTGTTGTTGATTATCTAATCTATAAATATATATTTATGTTTTATTTTAGTTAATTATATAATCCTAATATTATAATAACCTAATATTATTATATATATATATTATATTTGATTTTTTTTAAAAAAAAACTACTAATAAATTAAATATGTTTGAAAAATAATAGATAATTTATTTTTATTTATTTATCAATAAATGGACAATTTTTCCATAAGTACTACAGTATAATATATATAATTTAAAAAATAAAATTACAATTATCATTAAATAAATATTGATATTGATTTAATTAATTAATTCATCTAGTACATTTACGTACGTCAATCAATCAATTAAAAATTATTAATCATAATAGGATGATTGATAACAAAATTATATAAATATATTTTTTTAAAACAAAATATATGCTACCGTTAACTATAGATAAGTTAATCAATACAGTATAATTGAAACAAAAAATTAATGTCAATTATTATGCAATTATTTTATTTTCAATTATAAATACTAATAAAAAAATATTTTTTGAATTTTAATTGATAATAAAATAAAAATATTATTTTTTTGTTTGTAAAAACTAATAATAATAATAATAATAACTTAATTAGTGTTAAATGTTAATTTATATAAATATAATTAATAATATTAAAAATAATTTACCAATAATATACTGTATATAATATTTAATATATTTTTATTTACACTATTTTACAGTATAAAAAAATATAACAATTAAATTATTGTTAATAATAAACAAACAACAAAAATCTAATTTAATAAAAAAATATTTTCAAAAAAACAATTTATTTGTCAATATATAAACGTAAGTTAATATTTGATTCAATAAAAAAATTATAACTATTTTCATCAATTATATATGTGATTAATAACAAAATTAAAATATATATAATTTATAATAACTATTAATAAACATACAAATCATTATAATTATTTAACCACAAAAAAATCATAATCAATAAATATTTAAATGATAATTATTGTTAGATTTATATATATTTAAATTACAAAATATTGAATAATGAAAATAATTAATGAATTTGTTTACTACTAATGATTGATATACAAAAATTTTTTTTTATGAAATGTTTGTTTTGTTGATATAATAATATATTTATGATATTTAACATAAAAAACACATTTTCAATAATTATTATATAATATATTTTGTTCAATAAATCATCAAAAAAATAAAGATAAACAAAAAAATCATATATATATATATATATATCTATATATAACACAAATATAGTTATAATTATTAATTTATTGCTGTATATATATATATAACTAAATCAATGATTATAAAGTTTATAATGCAATTAAACCAACAACAAAAATCTGCATTTAAAAAAAATCTAATTTCTATGACACCCCTCCCTCCCCACCACACAATCACCTCCTATATTATACATGCATTTATGTGTGTATGGGTAGGGTAGGAACGGTAGGTATATATATATATATATAGTGATCATCTATTATCAAGTATCTGATCGCTAAACTGTTGTTTCAGACGCTGATTGCGCGATCGTTCGCGCGAACGGGTAGTCTCCAAAAACTGGTTATCCTTACGGAGTTCCCTAATATATTTGATAGCCGTAGTCAATATGGATATTTTCGGTGCACAATCACGCGATCGGCGCCGCTGGCCGCCCATAAAACCCGATTTGGTTAACCAAGGTATCTGTGCGCCCAATCGGACAAACTGGGCGGTCATTTGTTGTCGCCGTAAACGTTCCGTACCGTTATGTTTGGATCGGAGATCGTTGTCATCGGCGGCTATGCAATAGTTTCGGCCAACACTTTCAAACTTATTATTATTATTATCGGTGACGGCATCAGAGGTTGTTGCGGCAGTACTACTACGACTACGACTACTACCAGTGGCCAAACGTATCCGTTTGAGCGACAATTTGCTTGATTTAATGCTAAAGTTTTGCATATTATTATTATTATTATTATTGTCATTAATGTTTAGCCGACGGGTAAATGGACCCTTGTGTTTGATAATAGATTTGCTGCCAACAGTACTACTACTACCGGTACCGCTAATAATTTTGCCGCCGCCGACGGCTCCCGGTGTGGCCAACAATGATGTTCCGCTGCCGCCGCCTCCGTCAACAGTATTGTCTATTTAAAAAAAAATATCAAAATTATTATTAAAAGACAGTCAACGAGGAGTCAATAAAGTCAATGAACGGTACCGTTAGCTTTGTCATCGCCGCCGCCGCTGCCGCCGACTCCGTGTCTCTTAACCACTAATAGTGTAATCTTTGGTCGTTTTTGTGGACTATCACTATCGCTGCCGCCGACACCAACACCGCCGGTCAATGGCACCGGCAGTTTTTTTACGGTAATCAACTGTTGGCCACCAACACTACTACTACTAGTAGTAGTTGCCGTCGACGACTGACGATGACTAGCGGCGGCTGCGGTTGTGTTTGTGGTAAGCATTTCAGTGACAAACGCAAAGCCATTGGTTGTAGGCTTTTGTCGGCGGCCACTATCATCTAATTGCCGATCAGTTTTCTGCCGGACGTCCTCTTTGCCAACAATGTCTTCTCCTTCTTCATCGACTTCTTCTTCTTCGGCCATAAGATCGTCAATAATGTCGTCGTAGTCATAGTCGTCGCCGCCGTCGTCGCCGCCGTCGTCGACGTCATTGTCGTCGCCGTCTTCGCGATCAATATCGACAGCTATGGCTCTCTCTTCAGTTTTGACGACTTGGGAAGTGATGAAAGACATAATAATAATAATAATTTTAAACAAAATAAAATCAAAAATCAGTGGTCAGTACCGCATATATTAGCCAACGATGACGCCGATGACGGCGCAGACGGATCGACTAATTGGCCGCCAATAGTATCGCCCGTATTGTTGTTGTTGTTGGCGTTGTTGGTGTGGTTATCATCGGCTGTACGGCTGCTGCAGCGGCGGCTAAGTTTCAGTGCGTCCAACTCGTCGCACGATCGGACAATATTGTCGTACAGTTTCTTCCGCAACAATCGGCGGTTACGCTGATTGTGGCGGCGATAGTTGTCGATTAATTCCCGTGAATCGCGGCGGACGTCCTCCAGGATTGAGTTCAATAGCCGAACAAATACAAGTTCGTCGGCCAGTCGGCGATTTTCGGCATACAAATCGTCGACCAGATCGGTGACCACTAGTTGAGACATCGGCGATATCGGCGATCGGCGGCGACAACAGTGGCGGCGGCGGTAAAGTTCGGGCAATGCTTTTGACGGACAACAACAACAATAATAACAAAATTATGTGATTATAAGTAATGTTACAAAAGTTAGTTTAGATTTAAATTACATTTTTTTAGTTCAATTGAATTATTTATTAATTTTTTTTTTTGAATGCAATATAAAAATGTTTTGTTTATTATTATTATTATTATTATTGAATGCAATGTTTATATTAATATTATACACAATGTTTATATTGTTATCTTAAATAGTACATAATTTACATTATATATAGTTAGTATAGAATTCTATACGAAAATTTTATGTATAAATTGGTACTATTTATAAGTATATGAGTATTATTTGATTATTTTTTTTGGTAAACTATAGTGACTCCTATTGATTAATAGATTAATTATTAGTTAAATATTTAAAAAAAAGTTTATTAAAAAACTTTTATTTTTTTTTGTTTTTTTGTTTATTATTTATTTATAATGAATCAATTATAATTATATTTTGTACCTGGAACATAATTAATTAATAGTTAATTATTTGGTGATATTTAAAAATAAAATAATATTTTATTTGTTAAAGTTTGAAATACTTTTTTTTATAAACTATTTATAATAAAAAAAATAAGTTAATTAAAGTGATTAAACTAAAAAAAATTATATAAAAAAATCTAATAGTTATTAAACTATTATTATCTAAATAGCATTAAAAAATAAGTGAAAAAATAATATTTTAATCAATTAATTAATTAATCCTAATTAATAACTTCCTAAAACTAATAATTTATTTATTAAATAATTTTTCATAAATAATTGAAATATAAAAATAGATAAAAATATAATTATTGAATTATGTTAAAAAATAAAAAAAAATCAATAATAAAACATGTAATAAAGCAATCAATTTAAAAGTCAAAAATCTTTTTATTTCTATATTAGAAATATATAAAAAATAAATCAAATAAAAAATAATAATTTATAAATAATTAAAAAAATATAATTATTTGTAACTAAAATAAATACAATATAAAAATCTATACATTTATATTTCATTCAAAATTTATGATCAGTTTGTCTTAGTTGTAGAAAAACTTTTTTCTTACGATAACTATTACTACTACTACTACTACTATCACTACCGACACCACAACTACTACGACTACCACTACTACTACTACTACTACTAACAGTAGTATCGCTGGACTGTCCGCTACCGTCATCGATGGCCGCCACGGCCGTCGCCATCAACACTACTGATACATCCATCCTATGTTTGATGTCGACTCCGGTAATCTGTCCGTCCATTTGATATCCATTGGACGCTACGGTCAACTGTGGAGACAACGGTGCTGTTGATGTCAGTGTCGGTGTTGTTGTCGGCATCGGCTGCTGTTGTTTAGCCAATAGCGACGGACACTTGTGCTGATTGTATTCGTGAATCCTGAGATTACGGTAATCGACAAAATAGTCGCCACAAAACTGACAGACAAATCGTTTGCCTTTAATCGCCGAATGTTTGGACGATTCGTGCGAATAGAGGCCACTCAGCTGTTTGTATCGTTTGCCGCACAGACCGCACTGAAATCGCCGATCATCCGAATGGACTAAACGATGATTTTCCAGTGCCGACCGAAACCGAAATTGTTTGCCACAATCGCGTTGGTCGCAGACATACGGTTGTCGATGATGTGGATGATTGGCGGCGGCACCGGTAGTAGTCGTCGACACCGGCGGCGGCGAACAACAACCGGCCATTTGTTGCTGTTGTTTCGGTAATATAACCGGCGCGGGTACGGTAGCTACTGGTCCTATAATAACAGTGTTGTTGGTCACCGGGTTTACCGTAGTATTAATAATATTATTATTATTAACAATAGCTATATTACTGCCGCACAGATGATTGGCCAGTCTAGTAGTATTATTGCTTATCCAAACACCACCACCACCACCACCATCATCTACCTGTCCACCACCACCATTGGCTACTACCGGTTCCCTATTATTAGTACTATTGGGATAATATGGTGGTTGCATAATAGTCATCGGAGGACAGTTAGCATACGTTTTGCTGACTACTGTACCGGTGGTGATGGCGATGACAGTATTAGACGACACGTTATGTGTCACGTAGTCATCATTGTTATCACGGGTGTGGTGTTGGCGGTGGTGGTGGACATCAAATGGCCGCCAAATGTGTCCATTATTATTATAATTATTATTACCGCCGATATTATTGTCGCCCATAATTGCCGATTGACTTATAGATTATTTTAAAAATATAAAAATATAATTTATATTGAATTTATTTTTTGTGGTCAAAAAATAAAATAATTAAAACAAAAATAATATATAAATTACTTGTTATTAGTATAATAGTAATTATCAATAATTTTTAAATAAAAACCAGTATAATAATATCATATTGTTTATTTTAAAAATTTATTTATTTATTTAATAGATTTAATAATAATAATAATTTTTTGTTTGTTGGGTATATTATATACCCAACAAACAAAAAATTATTATTATTATTAAATCTATTAATAAATTTATACCGTATATATATATATTTGAGTTTTAATCCCAATTTTATAGTTTATTATTATTATTATTATTATTGACTATTAATCTACAAATGAATGTATCAAATAATAAGGTATTTATTATTTCTAGTGAAAAATAAATTAGATTATTATTATTATTAAACAGTAAATGATTTTAAATTATTATTATTATATTGATATTAAATTGTAATAAAATTTTTGCTATATTTATCAACAAAAAAAATATTATACTTAATTAATTAAGATAATCTTTTAATTTTTTTTATTAATAAATTTCATTTCTATATATATATATATTAAATACACAGTTTGTATATTTGTTGTACATATAATAATTAAAAATTTAATATTAAAAAAATTACTTTATTATTATTATTATTAGTTTAAAAGCAAAATAAAAACACATTTAAAAAAAATTATATATTTATTTATAATAAACTTATTATAACTGAAAATAATAACATTTTGTTTATAAACCTATTATTAATTGTAATAATTTTTAATAACAAAAATTAATTAACATTTATTTTTTTAAATTTAAAGTGCATTTTTTAATAATGTTTATTTAATAATCATAAAATTTTTAAAAATTTCTAAACTATAATTAGATAATTGATATTATATTTATATACCGTATCTAAAATATATACTAATATTTGTATTAATATTATAGTATTAAAAAAAATTAATATAACTATTGCTATAAAAGCTAATGTATTAAAACTTTAATTAATAGTTTAAAATTATTATTATTTTTTTTAATATAAAAAACATTATATATGTTTAGTTTTAAAAAAAAATTAATTTTTAGACTTCAATATAATTGTATATTTTTGTGGACTAGTTGTGACAACTGAATTGGGATCGGTATCTAAACCCAGATGACTGTCCAAAACAATATCATAGTTTTGTGTCGACTGTAGAAATCGGATCAAAACTAGAAACAGGTCAGCGATGGCCAACTTTTCGCCTAAACAAACACGACGTCCGACACCGAACGGTATGAATGCTTGGGAACGGGTTGTCATATAATGGCCGTCACTGTCGAGAAAGCGCTCGGGTTTGAAAGTGTCGGCATTTTCCCAATATTTGTCGTCACGTAATATAAATCCTTGATATACACTAACAGCCATACCTTCGGGTATTGTATAGTCGCCTAAATTATTAATTATATAAATAGACTGTTAATATACTATGTGTTTGTATGTATGTGTGTGTATGCGTGTGTGTGTATGTATGTGTATGTATGTGTATGTGTATGTGTATGTGTATGTGTATGTGTATGTGTATGTGTATGTGTATGTGTATGTGTATGTGTGTGTRTGTGTATGTGTGTGTATGTGTGTGTATGTGTGTGTATGCGTGTGTATGTGTGTGTATGCGTGTGTGTGTGTGTGTATGTATGTGTATGTATGTATGTATATGTGTATGTGTGTGTATATGTATGTGTATGTGTATGTGTATGTGTATGTGTATGTGTATGTGTATGTGTATGTGTATGTGTRTGTGTATGTGTGTGTGTGTGTGTATGTGTATGTGTATGTGTATGTGTGTGTGTATGTRTGTGTATGTGTATGTGTATGTGTATGTGTATGTGTATGTGTATGTGTATGTGTATGTGTATGTGTATGTGTATGTGTATTTGTGTGTTTATGTGTGTGTGTGTATGTATGTCTATACACATGTATGTATTGCATAATCCATTTCAATACCTATATTACTAGTAGTCATTGTCTTATGAAATACACCACTCGGGACAACATTCCTGAATCTTAATGTTTCGGCAATGAATGCCATCGTATAATGACATTGTTGTCTATCGGCATGTGTTGGCAATCGGTCACCGATTTTCGACTCAATTTCCCGGCGCATACGTGTTTGCATCAGAGGATAATACCCAACAAACAACAGCAACCATAGGAACGTATTCTGTGAGGTATCGGTTCCCGCAAAAAACAGATCCAATATAGACATAGCAATGTTTTCAACGGTCAGATACTGTTGTTGACCGGATGATCCAAACTCCCGGTGCAGCCGATCATCGTTTCGGGCAATGATTAGTGAATCGCAAAAATCTCGTTGAATATTCTCATCAAAATCTTTGTAATGATTTTTATATTTATTGATTAATAATTTTTTCAAATCACTAAAAACTTTCTGATATTTATCTACTGTTTTCTTATCAATCCATCGGATAATTGCGGAAAATTCCCATAATATGGTTCGCGGACCGAATWCATCGTTCAAATCTTTTAATACATATTTGATTTGTTTGAATTCCGGATCATCAATATTATAGCTATCATAAAATTTTCATTAATATAATATATATATAGTTTATTTCATAAGATCTAAACTTATGATCTAACCTAACCTAACCTTAACTTACCTAACCTAACCTAACCTAACCTAACCTAACCTAACCTAACCTAACCTAACCTAACCTAACCTAACCTAAACTAACCTAAACTAACCTAACCTAACCTAACCTAACCTAACCTAAATCATGTAACCCAAATCATGTGACCCAAATCATGTGATTTAAATGATTTTACCCAAACTTATTAAACCCAAATACTTATTATTATATTTTTTTGATTCATATTAATTTAATATTATAAAACAGATATTAAATTATTATAAATAAAATAATTATATTTAAATTAGCATTTATAAATGCTAAATTAATAAAGTATTTAGTAATTAGTTCAATATAATTTTTAAAAAAATAATTTAACATTACTTATTTATTTTGAATATATGTTTTATAATTTTTTTTAAAATTTATACGAATCATAATAAAAATAATAAATATTTTGTGTCAAAATGAGTTTAGATCTTATTGAATATCATATTTAAAAATTATTATTATCAAAAACTTGTTTTTTGTTTTGTTTTTGTTATTATATACTTAAATACATACTTTTCACCGAAAGTACTGTTTGCCAAAATGTTAAGAAACATTAGATAAACATAATTGAATGGATCGATTGGTTTGTTTGGACCCTCTCTTTCCAATATTGTTTGAACCGTTTTGTCCACACAATCGACCGCTACGTTAACTAATCGTTCATTAGTCGAGTATTTTCTGAAATTAAAAACAATTTTAATAAAAAAAAATTATTTATATTTAGTTTTATTAATTATTATTATTATTATTATTAATTAATAATTAATAATATTAATTATTATTACTATTAATAATTATTACTATTAATAATTATTACTATTAATTATTAATAATAATAAATAATAGTAATAATAAATAATAGTAATAATAAATAATAGTAATAATAAATAATAGTAATAATAAATAATAGTAATAATAAATAATAGTAATAATAAATAATAGTAATAATAAATAATAGTAATAATAAATAATATGAATAATAAATAATAGTAATAATAAATAATAGTAATAATAAATAATAGTAATAATAAATAATAGTAATAATAAATAATAGTAATAATAAATAATAGTAATAATAATTATTAATAATTAATAATATTAATTATTAATAATAATATTTATTATTATATTACTATACGTACTGTACGGCCGCGTGCGCCACACGTCTCAGGGTTTCCCAATGAGGGCCATAATCGGCAAAAATAATATCATTTGTAAATGCTTTTCCTTTTTTTTCATTATTAATAATTAATAATAATAATAAATCAATAAAAATATTAGAAAAATACTAAAAAAAATATTTTTTTAAAAATAATACCAAAATAACTTTCAGGTCGTCCAGAAAATTCATTTTTACAAAAAACTTCTCTAGCAATGACCGCATCGCTTATCATAATGTATGGACTGTTACCTAAATGTATGGTAAATACTGGACCATATTTTTTGGCCATTTTATTCAAAATCATTTCCCAATGATGTTTACTACGGAAAGCTATATATATATATATAATTTCAAACAACAACAACAATAAAATTATAATTATATCTATAATATGTAATTAATATTTTTTTTTTAAAAAAAGTTAATTAAGATATATATGAATATATAATTAATAGTTATTATTACAAACCAAACAAATTATTTCTAAAAACTATTTTTAATCATCAAGTTTAGTTTTGGCAAAAAATAAATATAAAATATTAATTTAAGTAAAATTGATTAAGTTATATATATATAATAATAATAATAATAATTTTGTTTTTTTAATAAATAGTTATTATTACAAACCTAACAAATTGCCGATCAATGGCAATGGAAATGGACCGGGAGGTAGACAGTAGTAGTAACGGTAATAAAATGCCACCAATTTATAGACTACTAATGCAATTAGTAAACTGGTTATTGTTGACCATATATTATCCGATATGATTGATATCAATAACTGTGTCAATACAGACATGATTTTATTGTGTATATGTGTCTGAGTTAAAAAAAATAAATAAATATATTTTAAATAAAAATTAATATTTAAGTTTAGAATAATTATTTTTTTTAAATTAATTTTAAATTTAAGATATATAAAAAATTAGCTATTTTTTTAAATGATAATATAGTAATATTTAGTATAGTATAGTTAAACTGTTACTGTTACTTATTTATTATGTTTGAAATAATTATTTTTGAAAAAAAATAATAATAAAATATAATAATAATTTTGTTTAAATATTTTATACTTTCAAAAAAAGCAAAAAAAAAATATTATTTTATCTGCAATTTAAATACTAATGTAAAATATTTAAACATATATTTTTTATATTTTATCTGCAAAATGATTAATCAATTTTTCGAAAATTTATTAAAAAATTATTAAAATTTATTTATTTAAGTTTTTTTATTAAACTATTTTTCTTTTAATAATTTTTATAAAATTTAGATTTATTAATATTAAACATAAATTTTATTAAAAACATAAATATTTTTAAAATATATATTTAAAAAGATTCAATAKAGTAGCGTATAGTAAATTTTTAGCAGTATTATTATTATTATTTTATTTATTATAAAGCTAATCATTAATAATTTTAAGCTAAAATAATATTGTTAATACAACAAAAAAAACTATGTTAATWAWCTCATAGGAGGTAATAAATTTCAGTTAAAATAATATTTATTTATTTTTTGAAATAACTTAATGACAAGAAAATATTTATTATTACAGTAATTTAGTGGCTCTATCTTAAAATCAGACCAAAAGCGACTCATGTTTCAAGTCTGATGGATCATACTATTATTATAGATTGGCATCAGACTCGTATAAAACCCCATAAGAACCCCCCCTCCACCCCCATCAGAACCATTAGATTTTAAAAAAATTAATTAAGAGTTAAAGTAGCAAGGACGGCTAAACAAATTTTGGATATTTTAATTGATATATTTTAATATATATTATAATTTTACATATATATATATATATTAAATTTTATATCAATCAATATTAATTAAATTGATATTTTTTAAATTTAATTTAATTATTTTTTAAATCTATTGGCTATGTTGGAGGTCTAATGGGGGTGGGTCTTATGAGGGGGGTCTTATGAAGGGTTTTATACGAGTCAGATACAACTCCGATGCCGATCTAATAAGGGTCTGATGATCCATTAGACATACAGTCTGGAGTCGATTTTGGTCTGATTTTAAGATAGAGCCTAATATATAATAGTTAGAAATATGTCATGGTTTTAATTGAATACTACTATCTTATTAGAAAATTATTTAAATAAATAAAAAAAAGAACAATTTTATAGAAAATTCTATACTATTTCATAGATGTATATTAAAGTTTTTAATTTTTATTTATTATAAACATTAAACAGCATTATTTTAACTATTTATATTAGCATTTTTTTAGATAAAATATTACACAACAACAAAAAAAATAATCTTAAAATCAAAATTTACTCAAATATTTAAGAACTCATATATAAGAATTCAGTTTACGTATACATCTTTTAGAAGTTGGGTTAAAATATTTTTTTTTATAAAAAAATCTATATTAAAAAAATAAAATATATACTAATATAAGTAACTAATACTAACTATCACTATTTGGTATATTATTGTAACAATAATTAAATATATATTAAAATTGATAATTTTGTTATATATATTAAATTTCAAAAATATAAATAATTATTCTAAACTTAAATTTTATTATTTATTTATTTTTTATAAATAAGGAAATATTTTTGTTGTATTATTTTCTTATTTTATTTTTAAATTAAAAACCTAATTTTAATTATTCTTAACTTACTAATAATATTTTATTTTTATATTATTATATAAAAAAAAATAAAATATTTTTGTAATCACACAAACAAAAATCATGTCTGTATTAACAGAACTATTGATTTCAATTATTTACGATAATATATGGTCAACAATAACCAGTTTACTAATTGCATTAGTAGTCTATAAATTGGTAGCATTTTATTACCGTTACTACTACTGTCTACCTCCCGGTCCATTTCCATTGCCATTGATCGGCAATTTGTTGGGTTTGTAATAATAATTAATAATTTTTTTTAAATAATTTATTTTATATGCACTTACATATATTATTATTATATATTAAAATATATATTAATTAATTTTACTCAAAATTAATATTTTGATTTTTTTAAAAAACAAAACTAAACTTGATGATTAAAAAATAGCATTTAGAACTAAAGATTTTTGGGAGACTAGTATGAGAAGTATTGCCAAAAAATATGGTCCAGTATTTACATTACATTTGGGTAATACTCCGTACATATTAATAACAGACGTAGACATTGGTAGAGAAGCGTTTGGTAAACAAAATTTTTTGGGAAGACCTGACAGTTATTTTGGTAATTAATTTTAGTAATTTTTTTATTATTATTAATATTATTTTTAATTATTTTTAATATTATTTTTAATTATTATTAATATTATTTTTAATTATTATTAATATTATTTTTAATTATTATTAATATTATTTTTAATTATTATTAATATTATTTTTAATTATTATTATTTTTTTATTAGGCACATTTTTTAAAAACGATATCATTTTTGCCGATTACAGTCAACATTGGGAAGTACTTAGACGTGTGGCGCACTCGGCCGTACAGTACGTGTGATAAGATAATAATTAATAATAATTATTAATAATTAATAATAATTATTAATAATTAATAATAATTATTAATAATTAATAATAATTAATAATAATTAATTATAAAAGTTATAAAAATTATTTTAAATATTATACTTTATGATTAAATTGTTTCAGAAAATATTCAACTAATGAACGATTAGTTAACGTAGCCGTCGATTGTGTGGACAAAACGGTGAAAAAAATTTTAGAAAAAGAGGGTCCAAACAAACCAATCGATCCATTCAATTATGTATATCTAATGTATCTAAATATATTGGCAACCAGTTGTTTCGGTCAAAAGTATATTTAAATCAACAACAAAAATCACGAAATATCTATATAATAAAAATTATTATTTATATTATTAATAGCTATAATAATGATGATCCGGAATTCAAACAAATCAAATACGTTTTCAAAGATTTTAGCGAATCGTTTGGACCGAGAGCTATGTTATGGGAATTTTCGGCAATTATCCGATGGATTGATAGGAAAACTGTTAAAAAATATACAAAACTAACTAAAGATTTAATTCAATTATTGGTCGATAAATATTTAGCACATTTTAATGATTACGATTCCGGCATTGAACGTGACTTTTGCGACGCTCTAATAGCCGCCAAAAACGATGCCATACGTGAGGCTAAAGATTCGGCAACGTATCTGACCGATGATAATATTGTTATGGCTGTATTTGACTTGTTTTATGCCGGTACCGATACATCGTTGACCACATTTCTATGGTCACTGATGTTATTAGCCTATTATCCGGACGTTCAGCAAAAGTTACGCAAAGAAATTGAGTCCTTAATTGGCGACCGAATTCCAACGCATGACGATAGACAACGATGTCATTATGTGATGGCATTTATGTCCGAAACGTTGAGATACAAAAATGTCGGACCAATGGGTGTCTTTCATAAGACAATGACTACCAGTAAAATTGGTAATCATTAATAGAGTACATACACACATATATATATATATATATATATACACATACAAACACATAAACACACATAAACACACAAACACATAAACACACATACAAACACATAAACACACATACAAACACACACATACAAACACATAAACACATACAAACACATACAAACACATAAACACACATACAAACACATAAACACACATACAAACACATAAACACTCATACAAACACATACACAACAACACACATACAACATAAACACACATACAAACACATAAACACACATACAAACACATACAAACACATAAACACACATACAAACACATAAACACACATACAAACACATAAACACTCATACAAACACATACAAACACATAAACACACATACAAACACATAAACACACATACAAACACATAAACACACATACAAACACATAAACACACATACAAACACACACATACAAACACATAAACACTCATACAAACACATACAAACACATAAACACACATACAAACACATAAACACACATACAAACACATAAACACACATACAAACACATACAAACACATAAACACACATACAAACACATAAACACACATACAAACACATAAACACACATACAAACACATAAACACACATACAAACACATAAACACACATACAAACACACACATACAAACACATAAACACTCATACAAACACATACAAACACATAAACACACATACAAACACATAAACACACATACAAACACATAAACACTCATACAAACACATACAAACACATAAACACACATACAAACACATAAACACACATACAAACACATAAACACACATACAAACACATAAACACACATACAAACACATAAACACACATACAAACACATAAACACACATACAAACACATAAACACACATACAAACACACACATACAAACACATAAACACACATACAAACACATAAACACWCATACAAACACATACAAACACATAAACACACATACAAACACATAAACACACATACAAACACACACATACAAACACATAAACACTCATACAAACACATACATACAAACACATACATACAAACACATACATACAAACACATAAACAAATATACAAACACACACACACACACAAATACACACAAATACACACAAATACACACATACACACATACACACATACACACATACACACATACACACATACACACACATACACACACATACACACATATACACACACATACACACACATACACACACATACACACACATACACACACATACACACACATACACACACATACACACACATACACACACATACACACACATACATACAAATACATACAGTATAGATAAATATACATTAATTAAATGATAAAATTTATTTTAAATAAATATAACCAGTATATTAACAGTATTTATTTTTAAAAAAATATATAATTTAGGCGACTATACTATACCTAAAGGTATGGCAGTGTTTGTATATCAAGGATTTATTTTATTAGACGACAAAAATTTTGAAAATCCCGACACTTTCAAACCCGAACGTTTCATCGACAGTGACGGCCATTATATGACAACCCGTTCCCCAGCATTCATACCGTTCGGTGTCGGACGTCGTTCATGTGTTGGCGAAAAGTTGGCAATCGCTGACTTTTTTCTGGTTTTGGTCCGATTTCTACAATTAACACAAAACTATGACATTGTTTTGGACAGTCATCACGGTTTTGATGGCGACTCTAATTCCGTTTTAGTAGTCAATCCACAAAAATTTACAATTATTTTAAAACCGAAATAAATATAAATAATAATCACGTATAATATCATATATAGTTTTATTATTATACAGTATATATATATATATATATATAACTTATATATCAATGATTAACTTTATATTATATATATATATATATGAATTTTTTAGTTATTATAATAATAATATGAATAAGTACCATGATAAATATAATAACACATATAGACTAGTAGAAATAAAATAAATAAAATATTATAATGTATAACAAAGCAATAATTGTTTAATATAACAAGTTAATATATATATATTATACAAATTTAATTTTACATTATTAAAACTATTTATTATAAATTTAAAAAATTAAATAAATAAAACCAAAAAAATTTTTATCAAGCTAAAATTTTTAATTATATAGTATTAAATTATTTGATTATCTTTAAATTCCAAATATTCAATTCAATTATATACTCTATATGTACAGTATATTAAATGTATATATATATATATATAWAAAATTATCTGGGTAATTGATCATCAATTGTGGCCAACACATAGACAATGGCCGTCCATACGGCTGTACATAAGTCCAGTTCCCGGGTGTTCAGCACTTGCATAGTGTCGCCGATCGAGTGATGATAGCGATAGTATTGGTCGTTAGGTGTGTCCAGACTTAGGCCGGGTATATCTTTTTCCATCAAATATCTAATATCTAGAGCACCGTCAATGTTGTCGTCGATCAGCAATTGTGTTGCATTTATTGGTTTCATGGACTGCAATATTTCATTTAGTATACACTTGGCGGTCGTATTTTGGCCCCTATAGGTCAGGCCAGTTGGTTTGAACGTACCGCTAACCGATTCCATAGCTACACTGATTTTGTTTAACTCATTTATGTGTTTCTATAAATACCGTATATATATATATATATAAATATTTATAAATAAATAAATATTGAATATATAGATATATACAAAATATAGATATATTCAATATATTCAATATATTCAATATATTCAATATATTCAATATATTCAATATATTCAATATATTCAATATATTCAATATATTCAATATATTCAAATATTATATCAATATAATATATTCAATATATTCAATATATTCAATATATTCAATATATTCAATATATTCAATATATTCAATATATTCAATATATTCAATATATTCAATATATTCAATATATTCAATATATTCAATATATTCAATATATTCAATATATTCAATATATTCAATATATTCAATATATATATAGATATATAACTTATTATCATTTAATTAATTTGTTTAGTTTTAAAAAAGTAGAAAATAGTGTAACGGGATATACAGTATATACTATATATACAGTATATATATATATATATATATACCTGACTATACTGTTTAACCCCGTAGTAACCCATTTCTTCGCCCGTCCACAGCACCGACCGTACCGTACGTTTAGGTCTCAAACCGAGTTTTTTGATGACCGACAGTGCCCGCCACGCGATGAATGCCGCTCCTCCGTTATCCATGGCTCCCTGTCCTACGTCCCATGAGTCTAGTTGTCCCGTTACAAGTACTATCTATAATTTAGGTTAGTTTACATATGCTTTTATAATAACCCCCTCCCCTCCCATTCCCCACGCAAACCTCATCCGGTTTGGTTGAACCGGTAATCTCGCTGACAGTATTCCGGGACATACCGTCCGAACCATCAATACGGGCCTCCATTGACAGACTGACCGTAATGTTGACTCCACGGGCGGCCAATCGACCAAACAGTTCGGCATCTTCTACCGTAATACTAGCCGACGGTATTTTCGGTAAACTATTAGTATTATTATCGTAGGCTTTTTAATTAAAAAACATTTCAATTATTATTTTTTATTTTTTTTAATAAAAAATTATTAATAATTATTGTCATATATTGATAGCTGTATTATAATATCATTTTTTTACTTACATAGACAGCCAGTGTGCGGTACGTCACCTGAAAACGGTGTTACCGATCGTATCTATTGATTAGTAATTTATTAATAAATATAAAATTATATATATACTGTTTAGGCGTGGTTCGCATATTACGTTCGAACTTGAGGGGAGTGGGGGGGGGGGTTGGCCAAAGCGAACTTTTGCGAACGAGGGGGAGGGGTGGGGTAGAGTCTTTAAGAACGTTCGCATTTAGATAATATTTTATTTTTTGTGGTGGGGGAGGGGGTAGCGGTTAGTGACATGCGAAACAATTGCTAGCATAGGGGAGGGAGGGTGTCTAGATCTCTTAAAAAGTGCAAACGTAATATGTGAACCACGCCTTATACTATAGTATATAGTACAGTACATACCAGTGCACCGATAGCACCTAATTGTTCAGCTAGACTGGCACCTAGTTTACGATATTTGACTGCATCCGGAAAACTAATCCAATCATAATTATAGACAACAAACTTTCCCATCACTTCACACGATCTAAGCTCTAGTTCATCAAACGATTTGACAACAATAACATCACCGGTAAGTACTGATCCATTGGTACCCAAACTGAAACCACTGCTTAATATTTTTAATGGTTTTTCATAAGGACTAACCAATTTTGCCCATTCCTTGCCACGTGTCTGTATGTATGTGTAGATATATGTATGTATGTGTAGATATATGTATGTATGTGTAGATATATGTATGTATGTGTAGATATTTTTCGAAAATTTATTAAAAAATTATTAAAATTTATTTATTTAAGTTTTTTTATTAAACTATTTTTCTTTTAATAATTTTTATAAAATTTAGATTTATTAATATTAAACATAAATTTTATTAAAAACATAAATATTTTTAAAATATATATTTAAAAAGATTCAAAGAGTAGCGTATAGTAAATTTTTAACAGTATTATTATTATTATTTTATTTATTATAAAGCTAATCATTAATAATTTTAAGCTAAAATAATATTGTTAATACAACAAAAAAACTATGTTAATTAACTCATAGGAGGTAATAAATTTCAGTTAAAATAATATTTATTTATTTTTTGAAATAACTTAATGACAAGAAAATATTTATTATTACAGTAATTTAGTGGCTCTATCTTAAAATCASACCAAACGCGACTCATGTTTCAAGTCTGATGGATCATACTATTATTATAGATTGGCATCAGACTCGTATAAAACCCCATAAGAACCCCCCCTCCACCCCCATCAGAACCATTAGATTTTAAAAAAATTAATTAAGAGTTAAAGTAGCAAGGACGGCTAAACAAATTTTGGATATTTTAATTGATATATTTTAATATATATTATAATTTTACATATATATATATATATTAAATTTTATATCAATCAATATTAATTAAATTGATATTTTTTAAATTTAATTTAATTATTTTTTAAATCTATTGGCTATGTTGGAGGTCTAATGGGGGTGGGTCTTATGAGGGGGGTCTTATGAAGGGTTTTATACGAGTCAGATACAACTCCGATGCCGATCTAATAAGGGTCTGATGATCCATTAGACATACAGTCTGGAGTCGATTTTGGTCTGATTTTAAGATAGAGCCTAATATATAATAGTTAGAAATATGTCATGGTTTTAATTGAATACTACTATCTTATTAGAAAATTATTTAAATAAATAAAAAAAAAGAACAATTTTATAGAAAATTCTATACTATTTCATAGATGTATATTAAAGTTTTTAATTTTTATTTATTATAAACATTAAACAGCATTATTTTAACTATTTATATTAGCATTTTTTTAGATAAAATATTACACAACAACAAAAAAAATAATCTTAAAATCAAAATTTACTCAAATATTTAAGAACTCATATATAAGAATTCAGTTTACGTATACATCTTTTAGAAGTTGGGTTAAAATATTTTTTTTTATAAAAAAATCTATATTAAAAAAATAAAATATATACTAATATAAGTAACTAATACTAACTATCACTATTTGGTATATTATTGTAACAATAATTAAATATATATTAAAATTGATAATTTTGTTATATATATTAAATTTCAAAAATATAAATAATTATTCTAAACTTAAATTTTATTATTTATTTTTTTGTATAAATAAGGAAATATTTTTGTTGTCAAACACACACAAACAAAAATCATGTCTGTATTAACAGAACTATTGATTTCAATTATTTACGATAATATATGGTCAACAATAACCAGTTTACTAATTGCATTAGTAGTCTATAAATTGGTAGCATTTTATTACCGTTACTACTACTGTCTACCTCCCGGTCCATTTCCATTGCCATTGATCGGCAATTTGTTGGGTTTGTAATAATAATTAATAATTTTTTTTTAAATAATTTATTTTATATGCACTTACATATATTATTATTATATATTAAAATATATATTAATTAATTTTACTCAAAATTAATATTTTGATTTTTTTTAAAAAACAAAACTAAACTTGATGATTAAAAAATAGCATTTAGAACTAAAGATTTTTGGGAGACTAGTATGAGAAGTATTGCCAAAAAATATGGTCCAGTATTTACATTACATTTGGGTAATACTCCGTACATATTAATAACAGACGTAGACATTGGTAGAGAAGCGTTTGGTAAACAAAATTTTTTGGGAAGACCTGACAGTTATTTTGGTAATTAATTTTAGTAATTTTTTTATTATTATTAATATTATTTTTAATTATTTTTAATATTATTTTTAATTATTATTAATATTATTTTTAATTATTATTAATATTATTTTTAATTATTATTAATATTATTTTTAATTATTATTAATATTATTTTTAATTATTATTATTTTTTTATTAGGCACATTTTTTAAAAACGATATCATTTTTGCCGATTACAGTCAACATTGGGAAGTACTTAGACGTGTGGCGCACTCGGCCGTACAGTACGTGTGATAAGATAATAATTAATAATAATTATTAATAATTAATAATAATTATTAATAATTAATAATAATTATTAATAATTAATAATAATTAATAATAATTAATTATAAAAGTTATAAAAATTATTTTAAATATTATACTTTATGATTAAATTGTTTCAGAAAATATTCAACTAATGAACGATTAGTTAACGTAGCCGTCGATTGTGTGGACAAAACGGTGAAAAAAATTTTAGAAAAAGAGGGTCCAAACAAACCAATCGATCCATTCAATTATGTATATCTAATGTATCTAAATATATTGGCAACCAGTTGTTTCGGTCAAAAGTATATTTAAATCAACAACAAAAATCACGAAATATCTATATAATAAAAATTATTATTTATATTATTAATAGCTATAATAATGATGATCCGGAATTCAAACAAATCAAATACGTTTTCAAAGATTTTAGCGAATCGTTTGGACCGAGAGCTATGTTATGGGAATTTTCGGCAATTATCCGATGGATTGATAGGAAAACTGTTAAAAAATATACAAAACTAACTAAAGATTTAATTCAATTATTGGTCGATAAATATTTAGCACATTTTAATGATTACGATTCCGGCATTGAACGTGACTTTTGCGACGCTCTAATAGCCGCCAAAAACGATGCCATACGTGAGGCTAAAGATTCGGCAACGTATCTGACCGATGATAATATTGTTATGGCTGTATTTGACTTGTTTTATGCCGGTACCGATACATCGTTGACCACATTTCTATGGTCACTGATGTTATTAGCCTATTATCCGGACGTTCAGCAAAAGTTACGCAAAGAAATTGAGTCCTTAATTGGCGACCGAATTCCAACGCATGACGATAGACAACGATGTCATTATGTGATGGCATTTATGTCCGAAACGTTGAGATACAAAAATGTCGGACCAATGGGTGTCTTTCATAAGACAATGACTACCAGTAAAATTGGTAATCATTAATAGAGTACATACACACAAATATATATATATATATATACACATACAAACACATAAACACACATACAAACACATAAACACACATACAAACACATAAACACACATACAAACACACACATACAAACACATAAACACTCATACAAACACATACAAACACATAAACACACATACAAACACATAAACACACATACAAACACATAAACACTCATACAAACACATACAAACACATAAACACACATACAAACACATAAACACTCATACAAACACATACAAACACATAAACACACATACAAACACATAAACACACATACAAACACATAAACACTCATACAAACACATACAAACACATAAACACACATACAAACACATAAACACACATACAAACACATAAACACACATACAAACACATAAACACACATACAAACACATAAACACACATACAAACACACACATACAAACACATAAACACTCATACAAACACATACAAACACATAAACACACATACAAACACATAAACACACATACAAACACATAAACACACATACAAACACATACAAACACATAAACACACATACAAACACATAAACACACATACAAACACATAAACACACATACAAACACATAAACACACATACAAACACATAAACACACATACAAACACACACATACAAACACATAAACACTCATACAAACACATACAAACACATAAACACACATACAAACACATAAACACACATACAAACACATAAACACTCATACAAACACATACAAACACATAAACACACATACAAACACATAAACACACATACAAACACATAAACACACATACAAACACATAAACACACATACAAACACATAAACACACATACAAACACATAAACACACATACAAACACATAAACACACATACAAACACACACATACAAACACATAAACACACATACAAACACATAMACACTCATACAAACACATACAAACACATAAACACACATACAAACACATAAACACACATACAAACACACACATACAAACACATAAACACTCATACAAACACATACATACAAACACATACATACAAACACATACATACAAACACATAAACAAATATACAAACACACACACACACACAAATACACACAAATACACACAAATACACACATACACACATACACACATACACACATACACACATACACACATACACACACATACACACACATACACACATATACACACACATACACACACATACACACACATACACACACATACACACACATACACACACATACACACACATACACACACACACACACATACACACACATACACACACATACATACAAATACATACAGTATAGATAAATATACATTAATTAAATGATAAAATTTATTTTAAATAAATATAACCAGTATATTAACAGTATTTATTTTTAAAAAAATATATAATTTAGGCGACTATACTATACCTAAAGGTATGGCAGTGTTTGTATATCAAGGATTTATTTTATTAGACGACAAAAATTTTGAAAATCCCGACACTTTCAAACCCGAACGTTTCATCGACAGTGACGGCCATTATATGACAACCCGTTCCCCAGCATTCATACCGTTCGGTGTCGGACGTCGTTCATGTGTTGGCGAAAAGTTGGCAATCGCTGACTTTTTTCTGGTTTTGGTCCGATTTCTACAATTAACACAAAACTATGACATTGTTTTGGACAGTCATCACGGTTTTGATGGCGACTCTAATTCCGTTTTAGTAGTCAATCCACAAAAATTTACAATTATTTTAAAACCGAAATAAATATAAATAATAATCACGTATAATATCATATATAGTTTTATTATTATACAGTATATATATATATATATATAACTTATATATCAATGATTAACTTTATATTATATATATATATATATGAATTTTTTAGTTATTATAATAATAATATGAATAAGTACCATGATAAATATAATAACACATATAGACTAGTAGAAATAAAATAAATAAAATATTATAATGTATAACAAAGCAATAATTGTTTAATATAACAAGTTAATATATATATATTATACAATATTTAATTTTACATTATTAGAATATTTATTATAAATTTAAAAAATTAAATAAATAAAACCAAAAAAAAAATTTATCAAGCTAAAATTTTTAATTATATAGTATTAAATTATTAAATTATCTTTAAATTCCAAATATTCAATTCAATTATATAATCTATATGTACAGTATATTATATGTATATATATAAAATTATCTGGGTAATTGATCATCAATTGTGGCCAACACATAGACAATGGCCGTCCATACGGCTGTACATAAGTCCAGTTCCCTGGTGTTCAGCACTTGCATAGTGTCGCCGATCGAGTGATGATAGCGATAGTATTGGTCGTTAGGTGTGTCCAGACTTAGGCCGGGTATATCTTTTTCCATCAAATATCTAATATCTAGAGCACCGTCAATGTTGTCGTCGATCAGCAATTGTGTTGCATTTATTGGTTTCATGGACTGCAATATTTCATTTAGTATACACTTGGCGGTCGTATTTTGGCCCCTATAGGTCAGGCCAGTTGGCTTGAACGTACCGCTAACCGATTCCATAGCTACACTGATTTTGTTTAACTCATTTATGTGTTTCTATATATACCGTATATATATATATATATATATATAAATATTTATAAATAAATAAATATTGAATATATAGATATATACAAAATATAGATATATTCAATAGATATATTCAATAGATATATTCAATATATATTCATTAGATATATTGAATATATTCAATATATATATAGATATAATACATAACTTTTTATCATTTAATTAATTTGTTTAGTTTTAAAAAAGTAGAAAATAGTGTAACGGGATATACAGTATATACTATATATACAGTATATATATATATATATATATACCTGACTATACTGTTTAACCCCGTAGTAACCCATTTCTTCGCCCGTCCACAGCACCGACCGTACCGTACGTTTAGGTCTCAAACCGAGTTTTTTGATGACCGACAGTGCCCGCCACGCGATGAATGCCGCTCCTCCGTTATCCATGGCTCCCTGTCCTACGTCCCATGAGTCTAGTTGTCCCGTTACAAGTACTATCTATAATTTAGGTTAGTTTACATATGCTTTTATAATAACCCCCTCCCCCTCCCATTCCCCACGCAAACCTCATCCGGTTTGGTTGAACCGGTAATCTCGCTGACAGTATTCCGGGACATACCGTCCGAACCATCAATACGGGCCTCCATTGACAGACTGACCGTAATGTTGACTCCACGGGCGGCCAATCGACCAAACAGTTCGGCATCTTCTACCGTAATACTAGCCGACGGTATTTTCGGTAAACTATTAGTATTATTATCGTAGGCTTTTTAATTAAAAAACATTTCAATTATTATTTTTTATTTTTTTTAATAAAAAATTATTAATAATTATTGTCATATATTGATAGCTGTATTATAATATCATTTTTTTACTTACATAGACAGCCAGTGTGCGGTACGTCACCTGAAAACGGTGTTACCGATCGTATCTATTGATTAGTAATTTATTAATAAATATAAAATTATATATATACTGTTTAGGCGTGGTTCGCATATTACGTTCGAACTTGAGGGGTGTGGGGGGGGGTTGGCCAAAGCGAACTTTTGCGAACGAGGGGGAGGGGTGGGGTAGAGTCTTTAAGAACGTTCGCATTTAGATAATATTTTATTTTTTGTGGTGGGGGAGGGGGTAGCGGTTAGTGACATGCGAAACAATTGCTAGCATAGGGGAGGGAGGGTGTCTAGATCTCTTAAAAAGTGCAAACGTAATATGTGAACCACGCCTTATACTATAGTATATAGTACAGTACATACCAGTGCACCGATAGCACCTAATTGTTCAGCTAGACTGGCACCTAGTTTACGATATTTGACTGCATCCGGAAAACTAATCCAATCATAATTATAGACAACAAACTTTCCCATCACTTCACACGATCTAAGCTCTAGTTCATCAAACGATTTGACAACAATAACATCACCGGTAAGTACTGATCCATTGGTACCCAAACTGAAACCACTGCTTAATATTTTTAATGGTTTTTCATAAGGACTAACCAATTTTGCCCATTCCTTGCCACGTGTCTGTATGTATGTGTAGATATATGTATGTATGTGTAGATATATGTATGTATGTGTAGATATATGTATGTATGTGTAGATATATGTATGTATGTGTAGATATATGTATGTATGTGTAGATATATGTATGTATGTGTAGATATATGTATGTATGTGTGTTTGCATGTGTGTTTGTATGTGTATTTTTATGTGTGTTTGTATTTGTATTTGTATGTGTGTTTGTATGGTGTGTATGTATGTGTGTATATATGTGTGTTTGTGTGCATGTATGTGTGTATGTTTGTATGAATGTATGTACAGTATGTATGTATGTATGTAATAAAAATCAATAGACAATCAAAAACCAAAAACCAAAAAACATGTGTCAAATATTATACAAATATAATTAATTTTTGAGGACAGTTTTATATACTATATATATTGTATAAAGTATAAATATAATATACCCAAATAGGAACGGTAACATTTTCCGTATAGACTCTATCATGTTTTTCCTGTTTCAATAGATGGTCGACCATATAGTCAATTGATTTTTCCAGTGTAGGGCTACCAGTAAATCGATGGGCAAATTGGTCGACAAATTTAGCCAACTCTTTATAGGTTACGCCACTGTCCCGACCATTGACTACATAGTCAATGATTTTCTGGATATCAGCGGACAGGGATGTAATCTGTTGCCGGACTCGACCATTGAAATCGGGCAATGATTTACATATTAATGAATCAAATGGATGTATTGGATGATCAGTACTATTATTGGTGACTAAGACATTGGATTTGACTGTAATTATTAGTAAACTTATTAAAACAATTAATTTCATTATTATTTTTATTGTTAAAAAATGTTTAATATTTGTATAATAATAATAATAATATTAAGGAAAATACTAATTATTTAAAAAAATTAATTAATTAATAGTTTTATTAGATATTTATGTATTTTAATTACGATATAAATTCAAAATGAAAGTTAGATTTTATTAAATATTTTTTCTTTTACTAAATTATATGTAAATTAATATAATCTTTATTTTTTGTTTAATTAATAATATAATTATTAAATTAATTTTTAAAAATATAGTCAAATTATTAATAATAATAAAATAATTATATACATGTATTATTAATAAACAAAAAATTACTATAAATTAATTAAATATTTTTGTTTTTAAAATATAAATTAGATATAACTAAATTCTTACATATATTGTAATTAAATAAATTTATTAAACATTAATTGTTAATGAATTTGTATTGTATTTAAATAAAAAAAAAATTATTAATAAAATCTGTAGCTTTAACTAAATATTATATTATAAAATAATTAAAATATATTTAAAAATAAATAAATTAGGTAACAAAATAAATAACTTAAAATAATTTTTATTATTATATATAATAATATTTTTTAAAATTAAATAATTTACAATATACAAAAAAAATAAATTTATTTTATTTAAAAATTTTATTATTAATTTAAACACTTATAATAATTATATAATTATTTAGTTATTATTGAAACTTAAAACGCTAAAAGTAATTGAACAAAAAATATTTAAAAAAAATAACTTAAAAAAATAAAATAATAATAAAATTATAACTTAATAGTAGTATTATTTTATTGTGTATAAAAAATCAATGTAAGATTTATTACGGTTATTACTATCGGGGCAATTGGTCATCGATTGAGGCCAACCCGTAGGCAATGGCCGCCCAAACAGCCGTACATAAGTCCAGTTGTCGGGTCGACATCATCGACATCGTATCGCCCGACGAGTGATGATAGTAAAAGTATCGGTCATTACTAGTGTCCAGACTAGCGCCGGGAACACCCTTATCGACCAATAGTTCAATATCTATACCATCAATGCCACCAATTGTCAACTGACTGGCGTTTATGGGTTTCAATAGTCTAAGCAATTCGTTGACAATACACTGTGCGGTCGGGTTTCGGCCCGAATAGGTTATACCCGTCGGCGCAAATGTTCCGCTATCCGACTCCATAGCTATACTTATTTTGTTTAACTCATTGATATGTTTCTATTATTATTAATAATAATTATAATAATAATAATAATAATAATAATAATAATAATAATAATAATAATAATAATAATAATAATAATAATAATAATAATAATAATAATAATAATTTAATTATTAATATATACAGTATAATAAAGTAGATGTACAGTATATTATAAATACATAATTTATTATAAATTTTATTGAACACTGAGTGTGTATGTATACAGTATGTATGTTTATATATATATATGCATGTATGTAGGTGTGTATATGTATGTGTCTGTATGTGTATGTATGTGTATGTATGTGTATGTGTATGTGTATGTGTATGTGTATGTGTATGTGTATGTGTATGTGTATGTGTATGTGTATGTGTATGTGTATGTGTATGTGTATGTGTATGTGTATGTGTATGTGTATGTGTATGTGTATGTATGTGTATGTATATGTATGTATATGTATGTATATATGTATGTTTATATGTGTATATATATATATATATATATATATATATATATATATGTATGTGTTTGTTTGTGTGTATGTAGGTGTGTATATGTATGTTTATGTGTGTATATATACTATATATATGTATTTATATATATGTGTGTATGTATGTATGTGTGTATATGTGTTATTATTATTATTATATAAGATTTACTAACGATTTATTTGACAGTTTTTGTTTGTTTGTTGTTGATTACATACCTGTGTGTATTGTTGAACACCTATGAGTCCCATTTCCTCTCCCGTCCACAAAACCGATTGTACCGTACGTTTGGGTCGTAGACCAAGTTTTTTGATGACCGACAGTGCCCGCCACGATATGAATGCACCGCCGCCGTCATCCATGGCTCCCTGTCCTACGTCCCATGAGTCCAGATGACCCGATACTAGTACTACCTATTTATATACAGAACTATTAATAACGGGTGGCTCATCAAGAGTTATTTTCAAAATACACCATTTATTTCAAAAATTATTAATTGAAATTTATTTTAAAAATATATATCTTATTTATGAATACATGGGATTTCATATTTTATTAAATTTAATTTTTAAATTGGCGCCATTTTATGGCAATAAATTTACAAAGTTGCAAGTCAATTTTTTTCGAAACTTTTCTAACATATTCTATAGAATATTTGTGTAGTTTTTCACGAAAAAGTTATACTATATATTTTTAATAAAATTTTAATTATTGTTAAAAATACAATTAGTTTCTTAAACATTATCATTAAAACTAGAAAGAACTTAAAAATTTTTAATTAATAATAAAATTTAAAATTTTGTAAATTATAATATTTTTAAAAATTCATAACTAAACATTGGCTTAATTTTTGACAAATTTTTTTCTATTTATCAAACAAGTATCTATATCCATTTACACTGACATGATAACCAAAATTTTTTAAATAGAATATTTATACCTATTTAACTTTTAGTATAATTTTAGTTATGTTATGTACAGCCGCAATTTTGATTTTTTAAAATTTATTTTTTAAAAATAATAAACGCCAACTACCCCACACTAAATCTACATTAAAATATTTTTGCTTTTATTTAAAGTATAGAAATAGCGTTATTTTTAAAAAGATAATAGGTGTTGGGCCAGTCGTTATTATAGTACAGTATCTCTATCTCTATCTCTATCTCTATCTCTATCTCTATCTCTATCTCTATCTCTATCTCTATCTCTATCTCTATCTCTATCTCTATCTCTATCTCTATCTCTATCTCTATCTCTATCTCTATCTCTATCTCTATCTCTATCTCTATCTCTATCTCTATCTCTATCTCTATCTCTATCTCTATCTCTATCTCTATCTCTATCTCTATCTCTATCTCTATCTCTATCTCTATCTCTATCTCTATCTATCTCTAACCTCATCTGGTTTAGTTGAACCGGTAATTTCGCTGACAGTATTTCTCGATACCCGATCCGCATCCATACGGGCCTCCATTGATAGACTGACCGTAATGTTGACTCCACGGCCAGCCAGTCGACCAAACAGTTCGGCATCTTCTACGGTAATACTGACGGCCGGTATTTTCCGTACATTATTATCGTAAGCTAAACAATAAATATATATATTTTTTAAATTAATTAATCTAAAACTAGTAGTAGTAGTAGTAGTAGTAGTTGTAATAGTAGTAGTAGTTGTAGTAGTAGTAATAGTAGTAGTAGTAGTAGTATATAATAATAATAATACTATACTTACATTGAGCACCCGTATGCGGTGAGTTAATTGAAAATGGTGTAACCGATCGGATCTATTAGTAAAAAATTATTATTTAAATTAAAAAAAATAAATCTAAACTAATTTATATAATAAAGTCCAATAATTACATACCAGTGCACCGATAGCACCGTACTTTGAGGCACGACTGGCTCCATGAACTCTATAATCAATTGATTTATCATAACTATTGAAATCATAGTTATAGACAACAAACTTTCCCCTGATTTCATGCGATCGTCTATTTAGTTCAGCAAACGATTTGACAACAATAACATCACCGGTAAGTACTGATCCATTGGTACCGATACTTGAGCCCAAACTCAATATGTTTAGCGTTTGGATTCGCGGACTAACCATTTGTGCCCATTCCCGGCCACGTGTCTATGTATAACAAACATAGTGTGTTTAGTATTTGTATTATATATAAAATTTAGAGGACAGTTAGTATTAGTACCCAAACAGGAACGATAACATTTTCCGTATAAACTTTATCATGTCGTTCCCGTTTCAATCGGTCAACCATATAGTCGATAGACGACTCTAGACTACTGGTACCGACCAGTCTCGGTCCAAACCAGTCGACAAACTTTGCTAACTCGGCATACGTTTGGCCACTATCCCGACCATTGACCACATAGTCGATGATCCGTTGAATATCACTGGACAGGGATCTAATCTGTTGACGCAGTTTACCATTGAAATGGGGCAATGATTTACATATTTTTGGATTAAATAATTTTGAATTATTAATTAATTCAACAACACTAGTGTCATAATAGCTGAATATGACTGTTATAATTAGTAAACTATAAAATATTGTTTGCATTTTTTTAACAAAATAAAAAAATATCTTAATATTACTGTATATTAAAATTATTTAAAAAAAAATAAAATAATTATTACTTAACTAATATCTTAATAATAAAAATTTATTATTATTTCTTAAATAATATAAATTAAATAGTTTTGTAATTTAATTTAATTTTATTGTATTTTAATTATATAATAATATATATAAATTACTGAATAATTGAATGACATGTCTTAATTTAATTTAAAAAATAATTTATAATGCATTTTATAAAAAAAAACAAGTTATTATAGAGAAAATAAAATAATAATTGTATATTTCATAATTAGTTATTAGTTTTTTTTATAAAAAATAAAATAAAATAACATACTGTAAATTACAAAGTTAAATAAGTTATAGTTATAAATAAATAAGTATAACACAAAACAATCAAATTAAAGATTAATTATTATTTAATCAAATGTTTTATTTTTATTATAATTTATAAATAATATAATAATAATTTTATACAATTAAAAAACTTATTGATTAAAAATTTTATTGTATAATTATATTCATAATATTTTACTGTATATTATACATCTATATAATTGTTTAAATATATTATATATTGAGATATATTTAAAATCTATTTTTATTATTTTGTATATCATGTTATTATTTTTGATATCTTTAAAAATAAAATACTTTATTTAAAATTATAATAAAATTTATATTTGAAAAATGTTTTATAATTATTTTTAAAAAATTTATTTATTTATTGTGCTATACTACTATCATATGTAAATAATTATAAATAAAAAATAAAAATTTTAATCATTTATATAATAAACGGATTACTGTATAATAATAATTATTATTAATAATAATATTTAGTATTTATCTTATATATCATTTATTATTTAATTTCGGCTTCAAAATAATTGTATATTTTTTAGGATTGACATATAGATTGGAATTGTAGTTACCATCCAAACCGTGATGACTGTCCAAAACAATGTCATAGTTTTGTGTTAATTGTAGAAATCGGACTAAAACAAGAAAATAGTCAGCGATTGCCAACTTTTCGCCAACACATGAACGACGTCCGACACCGAACGGTATGAATGCTGGGGAACGGGTAGTCATATAATGGCCGTCACTGTCGATGAAACGTTCGGGTTTGAAAGTGTCGGGATTTTCAAAATTTTTGTCGTCTAATAAAATAAATCCTTGATATACAAACACAGCCATACCTTCAGGTATTGTATAGTCGCCTAAAATACATTTAATATAATTAATATACTGAGTATKTGTATGTGTATGTGTATGTGTATGTGTATGTGTATGTGTATGTGTATGTGTATGTGTATGTGTATGTGTATGTGTATGTGTATGTGTATGTGTATGTGTATGTGTATGTGTATGTGTATGTGTATGTGTATGTGTATGTGTATGTGTATGTGTATGTGTATGTGTATGTGTATGTGTATGTGTATGTGTATGTGTATGTGTATGTGTATGTGTATGTGTATGTGTATGTGTATGTGTATGTGTATGTGTATGTGTATGTGTATGTGTATGTGTATGTGTATGTGTATGTGTATGTGTATGTGTATGTGTATGTGTATGTGTATGTGTATGTATGTRTTTGTATGTGTGTTAATGATTACCTATTTTACAGGTAGTCATTGCCTTATGAAAGAAACCGGTTGGTCCAGGATTTTTGTATCTCAATATTTCGGCCATAAATGCCATCACATAATGACATCGTTGTCTATCGTCATGGGATGGCATTCGGTCGCCAATTATGGACTCAATTTCTTTGCGTAACTTTTGCTGAACGTCCGGATAGTAGGCTAATAACAACAGTGACCATAATAAAGTCAGATATGACGAGTCGGTACCGGCAATAAACAAATCAAATACAGCCATAACTAGATTATCATCGGTCAGATACGTTGCCGATTGTTTAGCCTCACGTATTGAATCGTTTTTGGCGCCAATCAGGGCATCGCAAAAGTCACGTTCAATTTGGGAATCGTAATCATTCAAATGTAACAAATAGTTATATCTAAATAATTGACGTAAATCTGTAAATATTTTATCATATTTTTGAACAGATTTCCTATCAAACCATCGGATAATTGCGGAAATTTCCCATAAGAATGATCGCAAACCAAATTCAATGCCAAAATCTTTGAAACCGTATTTGATTTGTTGGAATTCCGGGTCATCAATATTATAGCTATTAATAAATTATTATTATTATATAAATATATTGTGATTTTTAAAAAAAATTTTAATTATACTTTTGACTGAAACAACTGGTTGCCATTATATTTAGATACATTAGATATAGATAATTGAATGGATCGATTGGTTTGTTTGGACCCTCGGTTTCCAAAATTGTTTGCACTGTTTTGTCCACACAATCGACCGCTACGTTAACTAATCGTTCATTAACTGAATATTTTCTACGAATCAATTTAATAATAAATTGATAATATTTAAAAGTATTTATATACGGTAGATAATATATAATAATAATTATTATAATTTATTATTATTATTATTAATTATTATTAATTATTATTAATTTTATTATATTATACGTACTGTACGGCCGAGTGCGCCACACGCCTAAGTACTTCCCAATGTTGACTGTAATCGGCAAAAATGATATCGTTTTTAAAAAATTTGCCTGACAATAATAATATTAGTAATAATTAATAATAATAATTAATAATAATAATTAATAATAATAATTAATAATAATAATTAATAATAATAATTAATAATAATAATTAATAATAATAATTAATAATAATAATTAATAATAATAATTAATAATAATAATTAATAATAATAATTAATAATAATAATTAATAATAATAATTAATAATAATAATTAATAATAATAATTAATAATAATAATTAATAATAATAATTAATAATAATAATTAATAATAATAATTAATAATAATAATTAATTACGTAAATAACTGTCAGGTCTTCCCAAAACACTTTGTTTACCAAACGTTTGTCTACCAATGTCTACGTCTGTTATTATTATGTACGGAGTATTACCCAAATGTAATGTAAAAACTGGACCATAATTTTTGGCAATATTTCTCAAACTAATCTCCCAAAATTGTTTAGATCTAAATGCTATCAATCATCAAGTTTATTATTATTCAAAAATAAAATAATAATTTAAGTAAAATTAATTAAGATATGTATGTATATGTGAAATTTATTGGGAAATTATTAGAAAACTATTGGGATTTTATTCGGAATTTTTAGGGAATTTAGTGAGAATTTAGTGAGAATTTAGTGAGAATTTAGTGAGAATTTAGTGAGAATTTAGTGAGAATTTAGTGAGAATTTAGTGAGAATTTAGTGAGAATTTAGTGAGAATTTAGTGAGAATTTAGTGAGAATTTAGTGAGAATTTAGTGAGAATTTAGTGAGAATTTAGTGAGAATTTAGTGAGAAAAATGCAATAAAAATTTTCACCCCCACTCCCATATCCCCTAAGCTTTTTCTAAAATTTTGTCATTTTACACTCCCTATACCCCCACCCTGAAAACTATTAGCAACCCTGGTATAAACTAGTCTCCCAAAATTGTTTAGATCTAAATGCTATTTTCAATATTAGTTTAGTTTTGTAAAAAAAATAATAAATAAAATATTAATTTAAGTAAAACTAATTAAGATGTATAACATGTATAATGTTTGTGCATGTAATATAAATTATTATAAAAAAAATAAGTACAGTATTTATTATACAAACCTAACAAATTGCCGACAATCGGTAATGGAAATGGACCGGGAGGTAGACTGTAGTAGCGATAATAAAATTTTGCCAATTTATAGACTACTAATACAATTAGTAAACTGGTTATTGTTGTCCATATATTATCCGATATGATTGACATCAATAATTGTGTTAATACGGACATTATTTTTTAGTATTTGATTACAAAAATATTTCGTATTTTTTTATGTAAATAAAAATAAAATAGTATTTAAGCTTAGAATAAATTAAATTTATATTTTTAATTTTTATAAAAAAATAAGATAATAATTTATTTTTAACAATACTATACTACTAATAATTTTATATTAGTTAGTATCAGTAACTTATATATTATGTTAGATTTTTTTTTAAAAAATATAAAATGTAATGTAAACTTAAAATCATACAGTATATGTCAATCAATATACGTCAACACAATTTTTGAATTGTATTTAATTTGAATAAAAAACAATCTGGGCAATTTCATAGATTTTTAATTAAATTGTTAAGAATTTTTGATTTTTTTATTTAAAAAAAAAAATAATGTATTAATTTCAAATTTCAGAAATATTAAAGCTATTAGTTTTTTTTTGTATAATAAAAATTACAGTTTTATATTAACTTCAATTAATGTCGAGAAAATAAAATTAAATAATAATAATTTTTTATAGATATATAATAAAATAATACTTTTTTAATAAAAAAATAAAATATATTATAAATAAATAAGTATAACTGAATCGTAATTAGGTTAAATAATTATTATTTAACCAAATGTTTTTATTTTTATTGTAATTATAAATAATTTTAATAATAATTTTATACAATTAAAAATTATTGATTCAAAATTTAATTGTATAATTATAGTTATAAAATAAAATTTTTAATAATTAATACAATTTATTTTTATAAAAATATTTATTAGAAAATTATAAATATTGAACTCCATAGGCCATGATTTAGTTTATTTGTTTAAATATAATATTTATTTGTAAAAATCATATGAAACTAATTATAGATAAAAAATAAAAATTTTAATCAGTTATATTAATTACATTATTAAATATATTAATGTATAATAATTATTATTATTAATGATAATATTTAGCATTTATCTTATTTATCAATTATTATTAAATTTTAGGCTTTAAAATAATTGTATATTTTTGTGGATTGACTAATAGAGTAGAATTGTAGTCGCCATCCAAACCGTGATGACTGTCCAAAACAATGTCATAGTTTTGTGTTAATTGTAGAAATCGGACAAAAACCAGAAAAAACTCAGCGATTGCCAACTTTTCACCAACACATGAACGACGTCCGACACTGAACGGTATGAATGCTGGGGAACGGGTAGTCATATAATGGCCGTCACTGTCGATGAAACGTTCGGGTTTGAAAGTGTCTGGATTTTCAAAATTTTTGTCGTCTAATAAAATAAATCCTTGATATACAAACACTGCCATACCTTCAGGTATTGTATAATCGCCTAAATTATATTTATAAGTAATGGTAATAAACAATATATGTTTTTTTCGAAATATATGTATATGTATATGTAATGTATATGTATATGTATATGTATATGTATATGTATATGTATATGTATATGTATATGTATATGTATATGTATATGTATATGTATATGTATATGTATATGTATATGTATATGTATATGTATATGTATATGTATATGTATATGTATATGTATATGTATATGTATATGTATATGTATATGTATATGTATATGTATATGTATATGTATATGTATATGTATATGTATATGTATATGTATATGTATATGTATATGTATATGTATATGTATATGTATATGTATATGTATATGTATATGTATATGTATATGTATATGTATATGTATATGTATATGTATATGTATATGTATATGTATATGTATATGTATATGTATATGTATATGTATATGTATATGTATATGTATATGTATATGTATATGTATATGTATATGTATATGTATATGTATATGTATATGTATATGTATATGTATATGTATATGTATATATATATGTATATGTATATGTATATGTATATGTATATGTATATGTATATGTATATGTATATGTATATGTATATGTATATGTATATGTATATGTATATGTATATGTATATGTATATGTATATGTATATGTATATGTATATGTATATGTATATGTATATGTATATATGTATATGTATATGTATATGTATATGTATATGTATATGTATATGTATATGTATATGTATATGTATATGTATATGTATATGTATATGTATATGTATATGTATATGTATATGTATATGTATATGTATATGTATATGTATATGTATATGTATATGTATATGTATATGTATATGTATATGTATATGTATATGTATATGTATATGTATATGTATATGTATATGTATATGTATATGTATATGTATATGTGTGTTAATGCTTACCTATTTTACCGGTAGTCATTGCCTTATGAAAAAAACCAGTTGGTCCGGGATTTTTGTATCTCAATGTTTCGGCCATAAATGCCATCACATAATGACATCGTTGTCTATCGTCATGCGTTGGGATTCGGTCGCCAATTATGGACTCAATTTCTTTGCGTAACTTTTGCTGAACGTCCGGATAATAGGCTAATAGGAGTAGTGACCATAAAAATACAATATACGATGAATCGGTACCGGCAATAAACAAATCAAATACAGCCATAACTAGATTATCATCGGTCAGATAGGCGGCCGTATGTTTAGCTTCACGTATGGCATCGTTTTTGGCCGCAATTAGTGCATCGCAAAAGTCACGTTCAATACCCGAATCGTAATCATTCAAATGTATCAGATATTTATCTTTCATCAGTTGCTGTAAATCTTTAATTATTTTTTTATATCTTTGAATAAATTTCCTATCAAACCATCGTATGATTTGAGAAGATTCCCATAAGAAAGATCGCGAACCAATTTCAAGACTAAAATCTTTGAAACCGTATTTGATTTGTTTGAATTCCTGGTCATCAATATTATAACTATTAAAATGTTAATAATTATAATCTTATTATTATAATTATATATTTAATTCATATATTTAATTTAATTTTAACTATACTATTGACTGAAACAACTGGTTGCCATTATATTTAGATACGTTAGATATAGATAATTGAATGGATCGATTGGTTTGTTTGGACCCTCTCTTTCTAACATTGTTTGAACCATTTTGTCCACACAATCGACCGCTACGTTAACTAATCGTTCATTAACTGAATATTTTCTGAATAATAAATTTTATTATTTAACAGTATTTTTATAAAGTATTTTTATTATTTGATACGTACTGTACGGCCGATAGCGCCACACGTCTAAGTACTTCCCAATGTTGACTGTAATCGGCAAAAATGATATCGTTTTTAAAAAATGTACCTATAATAATATTAGTAATAATAATTAATAATAATTATTAATAATAATATTAGTAATAATAATTAATAATAATTATTAATAATATAATTATTAATAATATAATTAATAATAATATAATTAATAATATAATTAATAATAATATAATTAATAATAATATAATTAATAATAATTAATAATAATATAATTAATAATAATTAATAATAATATAATTAATAATAATTAATAATAATTAATAATAATTAATAACCTAAAAAACTGTCAGGTCTTCCCAAAAAATTTTGTTTACCAAACGTTTGTCTACCAATGTCTACGTCTGTTATTATTATGTACGGAGTATTACCCAAATGTAATGTAAAAACTGGACCATTATTTTTGGCAATATTTCTCAAACTAGTCTCCCAAAATTGTTTAAATCTAAATGCTATCAATCATCAAGTTTATATATATATATATATATATATTATATTATATTATATGTATAACATGTATAACATAATGTTTGTGCATATAATATAATTTATTATAAAATAGTAATTATTATACGAACATAACAAATTGCCGATAATAGGTAATGGAAATGGACCGGGAGGTAGACAGTAGTAGTAGCGGTAATAAAATTTTGCCAATTTATAGATTACTAATGCCATTAGTAAACTGGTTATTGTTGTCCATATATTATCGTATATGATTGACATCAATAATTGTGTCAATACAGACATTATTTTTGTTTGTGTGATTACAATAAATATTTCGTATTTTTTTTAAATAAAATAGTATTTAAGTTTAGAATAATTAAGATTTTATTTTTAATTTAAAAAAAAATAAGAAAATAATTTATTTTAACAATACTATAACTAATAATTTTATGTTAGTTAGTATCAGTAACTTTTAAATTATGTTAGATTTTTTTTTTAAAATAAAAAATGTAATGTCAATTATACAGTATATGTCAAAACAATACGTCAATACAATTTTTGAAAAAAACAACAATCTGGGCAGTTTCAGTGATTTTTAATTAAATTGTTAAGAATTTTTTATTTTTTTATTTAAAAATTAAAAAAAAATTAATGTATTAATTTCAAAAATTTCAGAAATATTCATTTGCTATTAATTTTTTTTGCATATAATTAAAAATTACAGTTTTATGCTAACTATTGATTCATTACAGAACATGTTATGTTTATATATATATAATATGTTTAATATGTTTAACAGCATATGGGTTATTGGCAATGGGTTAGATAAGATTGCATCCCATGTGTTATATTCCTTAAGTTCCTTAATATTCCCTGGGAATTCCCTGTAAAAATATTTCCTTGTGGTAACTTTAATTCACATTACATAATGGTTTTTTTTAATAGAAAAAAACACGTTTGTATAGTAAATGTCTGCAAAAATGAATTTTTAATGTTTAGATTACTAAATGATTAATATTAATTTAATTGAATTATTACTAACTTATTGTTGTCCCAAATTGAAACACATACGTCATTGAGATTGACGATAAAAATTTTTTTAATGTATAACAAATTATATAATTCCCTTTCTAACGATTAAGGGATAGAATAATAATATATTTTCCATATTTTCCGGGAAAATTGGATGGATTTTATTTGGGAACTTCCCTCCCTGGGAATCTCAATCTAACACTAGTTATTGTAAAATGTTATAAATTTTTTTTATATAAATAAAATGGAGTAGTGAATAAAATAAAAATTCTTTGATTATTTTTTTTAAAAAAAAATAATTTTTTAATTAACTAATATTATTCAAATTAACCCATGACATATTTTAAACTAAATAACTGTTTTTAAAAAAAATATTATTTTTCTCAAAACTTTAAAGTTATTTAAAAAATAATATTCAAATTACTTTCAATTAAATTGATTAAATAATTATTATTTAATCAAAAGTTTTTATTTTTATTGTAATTATAAATAATATTAATAATAATTTTATACAATTAAAACATATTGATTAATTATTTAAAAATAAATAACATTTTTTTTAAATTTTATTTATAATTTATATAATTTATTTTTATAATTACAAATTAAAAAAAATTACTGTATTTAAAATTATAATAAAATTTGTATCAAAATGTTTAATTTATAGTTATGTTTCAATATAATATAGATGATTGTACTCACAGTTGTTGTTATTTATTTAAAAATAATTTTATAATTAAAACAATTTATTTATTTTTTAATAATATAAGATATACAGTATAGTAAACATAACAAAATTTTTTATTAGAAAATTATAAATATTAATTAAATTTTATTTAAATCCTAAGCCCATAAAAGAGTTTTTAAAAAAATTAAAAATTATATGTAAGTAATTATAGATTTAATTAAAAGTAATTTTAGATTAAATAAATTTTAATCAGTTATATAATATAAAAATTATACGAATATAGTTATGTATAATAATTATTAGTACTGTATTAATAATAATATTTCTCATTTATATTAAATGTCAATTATTATTATTTAATTTCGGCTTTAAAATAATTGTATATTTTTTTGGATTGATTATTAAAACAGAATTGGTGTCGCCATCAAAACCCTGATGACTGTCCAAAACAATGTCATAGTTTTGTGTTAATTGTAGAAATCGGACCAAAACCAGAAAAAAGTCAGCGATTGCCAACTTTTCGCCAACACATGAACGACGTCCGACACCGAACGGTATGAATGCTGGGGAACGGGTTGTCATATAATGGCCGTCACTGTCGATGAAACGTTCGGGTTTGAAAGTGTCGGGATTTTCAAAATTTTTGTCGTCTAATAAAATAAATCCTTGATATACAAACACAGCCATACCTTCAGGTATTGTATAATCGCCTAAATTATATTTATAAGTAATGTTAATATACTATATGTTTTTTCGAAATATATGTGTATGTGTGTGTATATAAGTGTATATAAGTGTATTTGTATGTGTATGTGTATGTGTATGTGTATGTGTATGTGTATGTGTATGTGTATGTGTATGTGTATGTGTATGTGTATGTGTATGTGTATGTGTATGTGTATGTGTATGTGTATGTGTATGTGTATGTGTATGTGTATGTGTATGTGTATGTGTATGTGTATGTGTATGTGTATGTGTATGTGTATGTGTATGTGTATGTGTATGTGTATGTGTATGTGTATGTGTATGTGTATGTGTATGTGTATGTGTATGTGTATGTGTATGTGTATGTGTATGTGTATGTGTATGTGTATGTGTATGTGTATGTGTGTGTATGTGTATGTGTATGTGTATGTGTATGTGTATGTGTATGTGAATGTGTGTGTGTATGTGTATGTGTATGTGTATGTGTATGTGTGTGTATGTGTATGTGTATGTGTATGTGTATGTGTATGTGTATGTGTATGTGTATGTGTATGTGTATGTGTATGTGTATGTGTATGTGTATGTGTATGTGTATGTGTATGTGTATGTGTATGTGTATGTGTATGTGTATGTGTATGTGTATGTGTATGTGTATGTGTATGTGTATGTGTATGTGTATGTGTATGTGTATGTGTATGTGTATGTGTATGTGTATGTGTATGTGTATGTGTATGTGTATGTGTATGTGTATGTGTATGTGTATGTGTATGTGTATGTGTATGTGTATGTGTATGTGTATGTGTATGTGTATGTGTATGTGTATGTGTATGTGTATGTGTATGTGTATGTGTATGTGTATGTGTATGTGTAAATGATTACCTATTTTACTGGTAGTCATTGCCTTATGAAAGACACCCATTGGTCCGACAGTTTTGTATCTCAATGTTTCGGCCATAAATGCCATCACATAATGACATCGTTGTCTATCGTCATGCGCTGGGATTCGGTCGCCAATTAAGGACTCAATTTCTTTGCGTAACTTTTGCTGTACTTCCGGATAATAGGCTAATAACAACAGCGACCATAGAAATGTGGTCATCGATGAATCGGTACCGGCATAAAACAAATCAAATACAGCCATAACAATATTATCATCGGTCAGATAGGCTGCCGATTGTTTAGTCTCACGGATGGCATCGTATTTGGCAGTTATTAGGGCGTCGCAAAAATCACGTTCAATGCCGGAATCGTAATCATTAAAATGTGCTAAATATTTATCAGTCAATAATTGTATTAAATCTTTAGTTAGTTTTGTATATTTTTTAACAGTTTTCCTATCAATCCATCGGATAATTGCGGAAAATTCCCATAAGAAGGCGCGCGGACCAAACGATACGCTAAAATCTTTGAAAGCGTATTTGATTTGTTGGAATTCCGGATCATCATTATTATAGCTAATAAAAAAAGTTAATAATAATAATAATAATAATAATAATAATAATAATATTATTATATATAAATATATATTTTTATTAAATTTTTAACTATACTTTTGACCGAAACAACTGGTTGCCAATATATTTAGATACATTAGATAAACATAATTGAATGGATCGATTGGTTTGTTTGGTCCCTCGCTATCCAATATTGTTTGCACTGTTTTGTCCACACAATCGACTAATCGTTCATTAGTTGAATATTTTCTACGAATCAAATTTAATCATTTAATTATTTAAAATTATTTTTTATAAATTATTACTATTATTAGTATTATAGGATACGTACTGTACCGCCGAGTGGGCCACACGTCTAAGTGCTTCCCAATGTTGACTGTAATCGGCAAAAATGATATCGTTTTTAAAAAATGTACCTGATAATAATAATAAAATTAATATTTATAATAATAATTATAATAATAATTAATAACCAAAATAACTGTAAGGTCTTCCCAAAAAATTTTGTTTACTAAACGTTTGTCTACCAATGTCTATGTCTGTTATTAATATGTACGGAGTATTACCCAAATATAATGTAAATACTGGACCATATTTTTTGGCAATATTTCTCATACTTGTCTCCCAAAAATTTTTATTTTTAAATTCTATTTTTCATCATCAAGTTTAGTTTTGTTTAAAAAAAATAATTAAATTAAATTAATAATATAAGTAAAATTAATTAAGTAAGTAAATTTATATATATGTATGTATATTTTTTAAAATAGTTATTATTATTACAAACCCAACAAATTGCCGACCATTGGTAATGGAAATGGACCGGGAGGTAGACTGTAGTAGCCATAATAAAATACTACCAATTTATAGACTACTAATCCAATTAGTAAACTGGTTATTGTTGACCATATATTATCGGATATGATTGACATCAATATTGCTGTTAATACAGACATTATTTTTGTCTTATTATAAAATAAAATATTTTATTTTTATTTTATAAATATAAAATAATATTTAACTTTAAAATAATTTTCTATTAATTTAATAAATAGTTTTTTTTTAAAAATTTATAGTATAATATTTGTAACTACAATAACATACTAATAGTTTCTGTTAGTTAGTGTCAGTTATTTATATTAGTATTTTATTTTAATATAGATTTTTCAAAAACGGAATTCTATATGTCATTAAGTAATTACGTCAATTATTTCAGAATTTTTATATTTTATCTGCAAAATGATTGGGCAGTTTCAAAGTATCATTAACTTGTTTAAAATTTACGTATTCTTTAAATATAAAAAATAAATGTATTACGTATATTTATTTTTTTTTAAAAAAATATTAATATCAATTTTAAAGTTCAAAAATATTTAAGCTATTAATTTTTATTAGAATGCTTACTAGCATTCACAACTGGTTTATTAATAAATTCTAAAATTTTTGTCAACTAAATGATTGTACAGTTTTAGTGAATTAATTAAATTGTTTAGAATTTATGTATTTTATAAATTTTGATTTAATATGAATATTAATTATTATTATTTTTTTATATTAATTTAAAAATTTCAGAAATAATAATGCTATTAATTTTTAGTATTTAAAACAACATAATAAAAATGACAATTTGTGCTAATTATTTTTATTATCTTTTTAAAAAAAAATTATATTTTTAATATTAATTGTTTTTTTAAAGTAATTGTTATGAAACATATTAATCAAACTATTTAATAAATAATAGAGTATAGTTATTTTTTAAAATTATATTTTATCTATAATGTCATTGTTTATTTTAAAAAAAAAAATAATTTTAAGCTAAAATATTTTCAAACCAAAAAAACTTTAATAAAGTTATCAATTGAGTGGAGATTCAAAAATAAGTTACAAAAAAAAAATTATTAAACAACAAATTATTAATATCATAGATCAAAAAAAAATTGCGGTTAAAATTATTTTAATTAAATTCATTATAAATAATATTTTACATTGATTTAGTATAAAATATGTCAGGTATTTTTTTTATAAAAACTATTAAAAATATACAATATCAAAATGGAATTTTTATTTTATTCATTACTATATTATATATATAAAAAAATTTTTTGTTAAATTAATTGATGACATTTTGCTAATATAATAGTCATCATAAAGTTGTATATATACAGTAATATATATATATATATATATAATATATATGAATATAATAAAAATTTAGAAAAATTTAATAAATAATTAATATAACTGTCTAATCATTTTGCAGATAAAATACTAATTATTTGGTAAAAGTACAGATTATATAGTAGATTAATAAACAAATTAAGAATGCTAGCAAACATTTCCAATACTAACTTCTTATTCAAATTTTTTTAAAAATAATAATAATTTAAATAAAAATCATTCAGTATGATACAATTAATACAAAATTTAACATATATTGTATCAAATGTTTCAGTATGACAAAATAAACTCAACTATAGTCATGTGAGGTATCAAATTACTCAGTATAGTAATAATACTAATACTAATAATTTTATATTTTATTATTATTAATAGTATGAACTAATTTAATAATAATTTATTTTATACTGTATATACTTTAAAAATATTTAATACAATTATAATAGAAATTTAATATAATTATTACTATAATATCATTTTTATTTAAAGAAAAATTTTTAGTAATAAAAATGTAAAAAAAAATAGTTATTGTATCTATTTTTTAATATTAATAAAATCTTAAATACTAACAAAAATAAATAAATATTATTAATAATAATTAATGAATGTTGTAAATAAAAACAATGTTTCTAACAATATATTAATAATTAAAATATGAATAATATAATAATAATCAAAAACTAGCTGAGAACTTCAAAACTTAAGAAAGAAAAAAATTTAAAAAAAAAATTTTAAAAATAAAAAAAAATTGTAGCAAAGCATGGATTCCATCCTATGTACAGACAGACAGACAGACAGACAGACAGACAGACAGACAGACAGACAGACAGACAGACAGACAGACAGACAGACAGACAGACAGACAGACAGACAGACAGACAGACAGACAGACAGACAGACAGACAGACAGACAGACAGACAGACAGACAGACAGACAGACAGACAGACAGACAGACAGACAGACAGACAGACAGACAGACAGACAGACAGACAGACAGACAGACAGACAGACAGACAGACAGACAGACAGACAGACAGACAGACAGACAGACAGACAGACAGACTTATAGAATACATATACTTATAGAATCCTTTCAGGAGTTCTTGAAAACTTGTTGATTAAAACTTAACATTTTAAGAGTTTTATTCTATTATTATAGTTATAACTAAATTATAATTATATTAATTTACTCCTTATATTATTATAAGAAATTTAAAAAATAAATTTGATTTCAATTTTTTTTTTGTAAGAAGAAATTAGCTGTGAGTCGCCTATCGGGGCAATTGGTCATCGATTGAGGCCAACCCGTAGGCAATGGCCGCCCAAACAGCCGTACATAAGTCCAGATCACGGGTCGACATCATCGACATCGTATCGCCGGCCGTGTGATGATAGTAAAAGTATCGGTCATTACGAGTGTCCAGACTAGCGCCGGGAACACCCTTTTCGACCAATAGTTCAATATCGGGTCCATCTTCGCGACCAATTTTCAACTGACTGGCGTTTATCGGTTTCAATAGACTAAGCAATTCATTGATAATACACTGTGCGGTCAGGTTTCGGCCCGAATAGGTTATACCCGTCGGTGTAAACGTTCCCATATCTGACTCCATAGCTATACTTATTTTGTTTAAATCATTGATGTGTTTCTATATACAAAAGATATATACAGTATATTATAAATATATGGATAATAATAAACTATTTTTTTAAAAAAATATTATTATGTATTTTTGGTTTCTATTAATTTTTTTTAAATATATAACTACAGTATATATCTATATATATATATATATATAACTAATCTATTAATTAAAAATTAGCTAGTTAAAATTTAATAATTTTTAAAGATATTAAACAGTTATATTAACTTATTCATAAATTATTACTAATATTCATACAGTATGTACAGTACTTAATGTATAATAATGTAATAATAATAATATATTAATAATATTAATATTAATATATAATAAATTTAATAATATATATTTTATACTTAATTTAAAAAAAATAAATTTATAAATATTTTTACATAAGTTACAATAGCATGTAATAAATAAATTAAAACAAATTTAAAAAAAAAAACAATTTTAACGTCCGGTTTTGTGTCACATTGAGATCACATTGAAAAACCATTAAAACCGGATATTCCGGTTAATAATAGGACGGTTGACAGTCCTATGTTTGTGTGTGTGTGTGTTTTGAATACCTGTGCGTATTGTTGAACACCATTATAACCCATTTCCTCTCCGGTCCACAACACCGATTGAACTGTACGTTTGGGACGGAGACCAAGTTTTTTGATGACCGACAGTGCCCGCCACGATATGAATGCACCGCCGCCGTCATCCATGGCTCCCTGTCCTACGTCCCATGAGTCCAGATGACCCGATACTAGTACTATCTTATCATTATATTATAATATTATTAATCAAAATATACACATAAACATACATATACATATACATATACATATACATATACATATACATATACATATACATATACATATACATATACATATACATATACATATACATATACATATACATATACATATACATATACATATACATATACATATACATATACATATACATATACATATACATATACATATACATATACATATACATATACATATACATATACATATACATATACATATACATATACATATACATATACATATACATATACATATACATATACATATACATATACATATACATATACATATACATATACATATACATATACATATACATATACATATACATATACATATACACATACACATACACATACACATACACATACACATACACATACACATACACATACACATACACATACACATACACATACACATACACATACACATACACATACACATACACATACACATACACATACACATACACATACACATACACATACACATACACATACACATACACATACACATACACATACACATACACATACACATACACATACACATACACATACACATACACATACACATACACATACACATACACATACACATACACTAACCTCATCCGGTTTAGTTGAACCGGTAATTTCGCTGACAGTATTTCTCGATACCCGATCGGCATCCATACGGGCCTCCATTGATAGACTGACCGTAATGTTGATACCACGGGCTGCCAGTCGACCAAACAGTTCGGCATCTTCTACGGTAATACTGACGGCCGGTATTTTTCGTACATTTTTAGAGTAAACTATATAATTAGAAAATGTAATAATAATAATAACAATAATAACAATAATACTACTAAACTATACTAAACTTTGTAATCCAGTGTGCGGTAAGCTGTTTGAAAACGGTGTAGTCGATCGTATCTATATTAATAACTTTTTTAAAATCTAAAAATAAATCTATGATAATAAAGTCCAATAATTACATACCAGTGCACCGATAGCACCGTACTTTGAGGCACGACTGGCTCCATGTAATTTATAAGCAACTGATTCATCATAACTATTGAAATCATAGTTATAGACAACAAACTTTCCCCTGATTTCCCGGGATCGCCTGTTTAGTTCAGCAAATGTTTTAATAACAATAACATCACCGGTAACTACTGATCCATTGGTACCGACACTATAGCCCAAACCCAATATGTTTAGCGATTGTTTTCGCGGACAAACCATTTGTGCCCATTCCCGGCCACGTCTCTATGTGTGCCAATATGTCGATAGTATATACAGGTATAACAAACATTAGTATATTTGTATATAGAATTTAGAGGACAGTTAGTATAAAAATTTTTTTTTTTAAACATTAAATGTACAGTTAGTTAGTTAGTTAGTTAGTACAGTAGTATTAGTACCCAAACAATATAATAAATATATATATATATAATATAATATATTTGTTAATAAAAATTTCTATTAATATATAAAATTTTAGAGAACAGTTAGTCTAAAAAAATTTAAATATATTTATATAAAAATATTTTTATAAAAATTAATGGACAGTTAGTATAAAATTTTTTTTAACATTAAATGTACAGTTAGTTAGTTAGTAGTATTAGTACCCAAACAATATAATATATATATATATAAAAAATATAATATATTTGTTAATAAAAATTTCTATTAATATATAAAATTTTTAGAGAACAGTTAGTCTAAAAAAAAATTTAAATATATGTATATAAAAAAATATTTTAATAAAATTAATGGACAGTTAGTTAGTATCATAATATAGTACCCAAACAGGAACGGTAACATTTTGTGTATAAACTTTATCATGTCGTTCCCAATTCAATAGATCAACCAAATAGTCGATAGACGACTCTAGACTACTGGTGCCGACCAGTCTCGGTCCAAACCAGTCGACAAACTGTGCTAACTCGCTATACGTTTGGCCACTATCGGGACCATTGACCACAAAGTCGATGATCCGTTGGATATCACTGGACAGAGATTTAATCTGTTGACGCAGTTTACCATTAAAATCGGGCAATGATTTACATATTTTCGGATTAAATTGTTTTCTAACTAATTTAACACTATTTAATACATAACAACTATTATTGATTAATATGATTGTAATTATTAGTAAACTATTGATTATTTTTTGCATATTTTTGTTTGTTGTCATTTGTTTTGTTTTTTTGAAATAATAATTATTTCAAAAAAAAAACAAAATATTTAATAAAATAATTGCAAAATAATAAAATTGGAAATACATTACTAAGAAAAAAAAACTTAAAAATAAATAACATATGTTTTAATATTATTAATATCAATATATTAGATAAATAATAAATTAATGAATATATATATATATATATACTTAACTGTAATTATTTGTAAACTATAAAATATAATTTGATTTTTTTTTTAAAAATAATAAAATTTATTTGATTTATTATTTAATTATTTTAAATAATAAAATACTAAATAAGTCAAACAACAAACAATATCTGATAATTAATAATTATTATTAAAAATAATTATTTTTTTTAATTTATAACTTTATTAATCCAAAAAAAAAACTTATAAATTAAAAACATAATATGATTTTATTATTGTTTTTGTAGTTAAAATTGTTTTATCGGGTTGTTAGGGGTGGGGGTGGGGGTGAGGAGTCACCTATCGTGGCAATTGGTCATCGATTGAGGCCAACCCGTAGGCAATGGCTGCCCAAACAGCTGTACATAAGTCCAGGTCACGGGTCGACATCATCGACATCGTATCGGCGGCCGAGTGATGATAGTAAAAGTATCGGTCATTACTGGTGTCGAGACTACCGCCGGGAACACCCTTTTCAACCAGAAAGTCAATATCGGGACCATCTTTGCGACCAATTGTCAACTGAGTTGAGTTTATAGGTTTCAATAGACTAAGCAATTCATTGACAATACACTGTGCGGTCGGGTTTTGGCCCGAATAGGTAATACCCGTCGGTCTAAACGTTCCCATATCTGACTCCATAGCTATACTTATTTTGCTTAACTCATTGATATGTTTCTATAAATATATATATACAGTACATATAACTTATTATACTAATTGTTTATGTTGGTATACCTACCCTACCTGTGCGTATTGTTGAGCACCGATATAACCAATTTCCTCACCAGTCCACAACACCGATCGTACAGTACGTTTCGGTCGGAGACCAAGTTTTTTGATGACCGACAGTGCCCGCCATGATATGAATGCACCGCCGCCGTCATCCATGGCTCCCTGTCCAACGTCCCATGAGTCCAGATGACCCGATACTAGTACTACCTAAATTGTTTACAGTTTCAGTACAGTATTATTATTATCGGTAATACATACTAACCTCATCCGGTTTGTTTGAACCGGTAATTTCGCTGATAGTATTTCTCGATACCCGATCCGCATCCATACGGGCCTCCATTGATAGACTGATCGTAATGTTGATACCACGGGCTGCCAGTCGACCAAACAGTTCGGCATCTTCTACGGTAATACTGACGGCCGGTATTTTCTGTATATTATTATCGTAAGCTAATAGTAAATATATTTTATTAATTAGTAATAGTAGTAGTAGTAGTAGTAGTAGTAGTAGTAGTAGTAGTAGTAGTAGTAGTAGTAGTAGTAGTAGTAGTAGTAGTAGTAGTAGTAGTAGTAGTAGTGGTAGTAGTGGTAGTAGTAGTAGTAGTAGTAGTAGTAGTAGTAATAGTAGTAGTAGTAGTAATAGTAGTAGTAGTAGTAGTAGTAGTAGTAGTAGTAGTAGTAGTAGTAGTAGTAGTAGTAGTAGTAATAGTAGTAGTAGTAGTAGTAGTAGTAGTAGTAGTAGTAGTAGTAGTAGTAGTAGTAGTAAAATACTAACTTATGTATCCAGTGTGCGGTGTGTTCAATGAAAACGGTGTCACCGATCGGATCTATTAACAGATAAAATAAAAATCAAATATAATAATTACGTCTACTTTACATTACTAAAAATATACATACCAGTGCACCTATAGCACCGTACTGTCCAGCACGTGTAGCACCCTGTAGTCTGTATTGAACTGATTTGCCATAGCTATCAAAATCATAGTTATAGACAACAAACTTTCCCCGGACCTCACACGATCTGAACTCTAGTTCAGCAAACGATTTGACAACAATAACATCACCGGTAAGTACTGATCCATTAGTACCGACACTTAAGCCTAAACCCAATATGTTTAGCGATTGGATACGCGGACTAACCATTTGTGCCCATTCCCTGCCACGTGTCTGTCATTACATATATTATTATTATAAATAGTATTAGTAATAGTCATATAATTTGATGGACAGGTATGTTAAATATATGTATAATATGTCGATAGTATATATAACAAACATTAGTATATTTGTATATAGAATTTAGTGGACAGTTAGTTTAATATTTTTTTTAAATAAAATTAATGGACAATTAGTATCATAGCATAGTACCCAAACAGGAACGGTAACATTTTCTGTATAAACTTTATCATGTCGTTCCCGTTTCAATCGATCAACCATATAGTCGATAGACGACTCTAGACTATTGCTGCCGACCAGTCTCGGTCCATACCGGTCGACAAACTGTGCTAACTCGGCATACGTTTGGCCACTATCGGGACCACCGTTGACTACATAGTCGATGATCCGATGGATATCACTGGACAGGGATGTAATCTGTTGACGCAGTTTACCATTGAAATCGGCCAATGATTCACATATTATCGGATCAAATAGTTTAACACTACTTAAGTCATAACTACTACTAATACTACTACTACTACTACTACTACTACTTAATATAACTATAATTATTAGTAATAAACTATTGATTATTATTTGCATATTTTGTTTATTAAGTAATTGTTTTTATTTTAATTGAGATAAATAAATAAATATTATTTCAAAATAAAATAGTATAAAATAATTGTAAAAAAAATTTATTTTATAATTTTGAAATATATTAATTTAGTAAAAGCAAATTAGAAATACATTTTCAAAAAAAAATTAATTAAATAACATACAGGTATGTTTTAATTAAAATATTCAATGATTTTTTTTTTATATAGAAATTAATGAAAAAAATAAAATAAATAAAATGATTTTATTAGTTTGTATAATTGTAATTTTTATACAATTCTTTAAATGCGCGCAAGCTAAAGTTTTAAAATTTTTTTTATTAACATTTATAAAAATAATTATTTAATATTTAATATAATATTATTTTATATATTTAATACATTATTTTGTTTATTTAAAAAAAAATATATTTATTACTTGTCTATACAGTATATACAGTATATATATATAATATTATATATATATAAAAATTAATACAAATTATATTTTATTTAAATTTTAAAATTTTAACAAATAATTTGGTAATTAACTTTAAATTAATAAAAATTTCTAGTAGTGTGTGTGTGTTTTTGTGGGTGGGTGTGGGTGGGTGTATTTAATCAGTAGGATCACATTTACCATCGTAACAACCGGCATCACATTCATCATCACTATTAGGCGTCGTTCACATATTACGTTCGCACTTTTTAAGAAATCTAGACCCCCTCCCTCCCCTATGTTCGCAATTGTTCGCATGTAGTTATTTAAAAAAAATTACGTTCGCATGTCCCTAACCGCTACCACCCCCCCCCACCACAAGAAATAAAATATTATCTTAATGCGAACGTTCTTAATCACTATACCCTCCCCTCCCCCTCGCTCGCAAAAGTTCGATTTGGCCAACCCCCCCCCTCCCCTCAAGTGCGAACGTAATATGTGAACCACGCCTTACAACAATGGCAAACACCAATCATCCAGGTGGTCATCATCATTAGTAGCAGTAGCATTGCCATTACCATCATCAGCATCAGTTTAATAATTATATATTAACATTGTGTAATAGTTAATAAATTTTTTTTCTTTAGTCTCTAATAACAATTTATTGTTGATTCACTTTAATTTAAAATGACATATATATATATAACTAATTTATAAAATAAATTATTTTATTTACTTCAATAAGTTAATTAAGTTAAAATTAATCAACAAAAAAATTTTATACAGAAAAATTTACTCTACGTAATATACAGGTATATACTAGTATATTGTTGTTTAACATTTATTTTATTTAAATACTATTAAACATATGGTTTTTTAAAATAAAAAATACACTATATATTTATTATATAATTTGTTGCATAACTAAAATATATTAAAATCAAACAAATAAAAAATAAGACAATTAAATTAATAGCTAAATGTTTATAATGTTAATTTATTATTAATTAAATATATGTATTTAAAAGATAAACATAAGTAACAATTTATATTTAGGATTTTTTAAATAAAATATTTTTTGAAAAATATATAACCATATGTTTAATAAAATTAGCATAATAATAATAATGTAGTTTATAATATAATGTAATAATAATAATGATATAGTTATATATATATATATAACTTAACAACAATTTAAATACTATTATGTTTATGTATTTTATATACTATCATAAAATTTTATCTTAATTTTATAAATAAACTGTTAGTACATTTTTTTAAAAATAAAAATTAATTAGCATTATATTTATTTATTTTTTTCACAGTGTAACAATTATTAAATATATTTTTATTGAAAAACAATAGAAATAAAAACAATAGTATATTAAGTTAACTAATCTTAACAAGATTATTTAAAAAAAAATTTTTTTATAGATAACTTTTACATTAGTAAACACTTTAAGCCGAAATGTGATCGTTATTATTATTAGTATTATCATTGTTAGCATTATTAACATTATTAACATTATTATCATTTTTATCATTATTAACATTATTATCATTTTTATCATTATTAACATTATTATCATTTTTATCATTATTATCATTATTAACATTATTATCATTTTTATCATTATTAACATTGTTATCATTATTATCATTATTAACATTATCATCATCGACTTTTCTCAAAACACATTCGCCATCTTTACATTGAATACGACCATTAAAACAGTCTGATGGAGATTGGCAATGTTTACAGTAAATAATCCAATTGTTAATCAGCATTATCAGCATCAGTGTCATTAAAAAAACCATTTTGATAATCTTGGCCATATTATAATTATTCTTAATAATTATCAATAATTAATTAATTATTATATAATTAATCAAATGTATTTTGGATGTTAGATTTATATATTTTTGATATTGTTGATATTTTACTATAAATATGAAAATTAAATTTAAATAAAATTAAAAAATTTATAATAATTAACTATTAAAAATAACTATTTAAAAAAATAAAATTATATAAAATAATATAGTAAAAAATAAATTACTTTAAATAATTCTATTTAATTTCTATCTATAGTAGAATAACCATATATTATGTATAATTAATAACTTTTTAGTTACAGCAATGACTAGAATATTAAATTTAATTTTTTTAATGTTATTATAAAATTTATGTTAAAATCATTAATTGTACGTCAATAATGCTCTTAATAATTGGTTATGATTTATTTATCCATTAGTTAACCTTTGAAATTGAAATTATTTTCACGAATTCCTGAAAGGAATACGTATATGCATTCTAAAAGTCTGTCCATCTGTCCGTCTGTCTGTCTGTCTGTCCCACGAGGACATAGGTTCGAATCCAGGCTCCGCTACAAATTGTTTTTTGATATTTTTTTGTTTTTTTCCTTTTTAAGTTAAGGAATTCGTGTGGAAATGCTTTTAAAGCATTCTCAACTGGTTATATATGGTTTGACAATAATCGTATGATACGATTGCTTAATGATTGTAAATGTGGGAACAATCTTAAAGTCAGATTTTAGTCAACAATTTATTTATTTTTGTATTGATTTTGTAAACTACTTTAAAAAATATTTATTTTAATGGTTATAATTAGATTTTATCTACTGTATAATAATTTTTTATAATTATTATTTAGTTGACCAGATAATTGATCCTAGGGTTTTTATTTTTGTAAATGTAACATCGTAATTAACATTTTATATTATTAATAAAAAAAATATAACAAAAATTATTTTAAAATTAGTCGAGTGGGCAACAACTCGGATTCGGTAACTAATTCGTAAAAAATAAGTACACTTTTTTATGTATAATAAAAGCAAACGTTTTTTTATGTATAATAAAAGTAAACAAATTTTTATTAATTATAAAATTTAAGACTTAAGCTGTGAAAGCTAAACGACTACTACTACTACTACTACTACTACTACTACTACTACTACTACTACTACTACTACTACTACTACTACTACTACTACTGTTGTCTGAAACGGTAATGTCGATGAAATTTATTCAATGCTGTCGCTGTTTGATGTTTTTAGTTGTTAGCCCTAGTTGTTAAATGGAGAAAAAAAATTGCATCAGAGTCTGGATTCATCGGCCTCATGGGACAGACTGACAGACTTATAGAATTCATATATATATATATATATATATATATATATATATATATACTTCTTTCAGGAATTTCAGTGAAAAAATAAATAAATTAAAAACATTAGAAACAAAAAATTATTAATCAAGTTTTATTTTTGCATTATCATTTCGAAAATAATAACAATATGTATTCAACAATGTATATGTTTGGTTTTGTTACACGTTATTATTATTATTGTTGTTGTTATTATTATTATTATTATTCCGATGATTGTTCTAGTGATGATGATGTTTCGTATTCTATGCGATCATGTTTTGTACTACATTTGCTAAAATTGCATTCATTTTATAAATAAACTGTTAGTACATTTTTTTAAAAATAAAAATTAATTAGCATTATATTTATTTTTTTTCACAGTGTAACAATTATTAAATATATTTTTATTGAAAAAACAATAGAAATAAGAACAATAGTATATTAAGCTAAAATTGCATTTAGGCATACCCATATATGGTACTCGGACAATCGCTGGGGGGGGGAGGGGAACTGCAACCATAGCATAAATTATTATTATTATTTGTCATCATCATCATCATCATTAATATCATCAGCAGCATTGTTATTATTTTAGCCATATTATTCATCATCATCATCGTGATAAATTTTATTTGATTGAACTATGATTTAAATTTAAATGAAATATTTACTAAGCATATATATATATCAGCTATTAACTTTAAGTGGTATCATGATAACTTTTTTGATAAATGTTATAACATTATTGATGTTCAAAATTATAATAAATAAAATAATTATTCATAGATAACATAATTATTTTTTATTTAGTTTAAAAGTTTTTAAAAATACATTACAAATAAATAATAACTAAACTATGACTTAGATAAAATATTTATTTAATTTGTACTAGTCTATGTGTGTGATTACTTTTATCATGATACTTTTCATAAATTATAATAATAGCTAAATAATTCCTATTTATAAAGTTAATTACTGATATATATAATACAATGATAAAATGTTGTAAAAATTTATAAATTCTATTTTTTAAACAAATATTAATAGTATATATATATAACTAAAAATTTTGTTAGGTTATTACACTATAATTTATACAAATAATATTTAAAATATTTTTTTTATATAATAAACTTTTAAACTATTTTTAACTTAAACTTTAAAGTAATTATTCTATTATTAGTTTTATTATAAGATTTTTGTTGTTGTTTTTTAAATAACTGTTTAAACTAAACTAAACAAAAAATATCACTGAAATAATTATATATTATTTTAAAAAAGTTTAAATAAATCAATAGTTATTTATAATTTTATAATTAACTTTAATAACCAATAATAGATCAACACATAATATTCATGTTTTGATCAAATATTTTGTTTTTTAAAAAAAATACATTTAAATAAAAAATTATTAAAATATTTTATTAGAAAATTACAATAAAAAATTAAAAGTGAAAGTGAATATTAAAACTAGAAAAGATATCAATGCATTAATTCAATTGTATTTTTTTTAATTAAAATCTATTATTTTTATATTTGTATTATTATTTTTTTGCTTTGCTATTAAATTCAAAAAATTATATTTAAAAACATATGTTTAAAAAAACTAATTAATATATAGATGTATAAAAATATAAAATCTACTTAAATTACATTTTTATTTTTAAAAATAGATATTTATTACGTCAATAATGATTTTTCTTAGGTTTTATATTTGTAACGTTTAGTTAACCAATGAATTAAACTTATTTTACATTAGATCTGTAAAATGATTTGTGAATGTAATTTATATTTAGAAATATATATTTTATTGAAATTTTAATAATTATGATTATAATTCTGACAAAACTTACATATACATTTAAAATGCGTAAATATATCTAATAATAGACATTTTTAAAAATATATATTAATTTGATTAATAGATTTTTTAAAAAAAAATATATTTTTATAGTTGTATAAATTTAAAAAAAAAACAAAATTTAGTTCTAAATTAAATTCTAGTTGTAAGGACTTGTTGTTGTAAAACTAGAACTTTTAGTAATATTACAAAAAAAACTATATTTATATAAAAATTATTTAAATATTTTATTAAAAATAAAGTAAAACTATAAAAGATATTATATAATTGAAATAATTTAATTGTATTTTTTTAACTTAAATCTATTATATCTTTTTCTAAGTTAATAAATTCATAAATTAAACATATGGTTAAAAAAAATAATTAATATATAATTAATATTTTTAAAAATAATTGGCCAATCAATAATCGTACTTAAATTACATCTATTATTAAAAATAGATATTTATTACGTCAATAATTTTGTTGGTTAACTAATCTTTAAAAATATAGAAAAACTAACAAATAATTATTGACATAATAAATATCTATTAATTATAAGTATAAATATATATATATATTTTTTGAAATTTTAATATCTATAATAATAATACACACAATACTATTTTCTTTATGCGTTATTTTATCTTAAAATAGTAAATCTATTTAAAAATCATATTGACATAAACATTTGAAAAATACGTCAATAAATAATTAATTTTATTAATAAAATTTTTTTTATATATATATGTGTTAAAAAATTAAAACGAAATTTAGTTCTAAATTAAATTCTAGTTATAAGCAGTTGTAAAATCCTGTCAAACTTTTAATAGTAAAAATAATAATAATAATAATAATATGGCTTCGATTATAATGATAATGATGCTGATGATGAAAATAATGCTGATGTTGATAATTGTTATGACAGCCTGTATTTCAGGTGAAGATGATGATGACAATGCTGAACTTGAAGGGACAATCGCCCCTAGACCAGTAAATAAACACATGCATTTTGGTTAAAGTGAGAGAGAGAAAGTGAAAGAGATATTCAAATGGACTAAGATAAAATTAAACGTTTTTTTCGAAAAATATAAAAGTTTTTTTTTAATTAATTACTTATATTTTAATAATTAATTAATCCTAATATAAATATTGTTATCTTAATTATTTTTTTTTAATAATTTAAATAAATTTTTTATTTCCATAAGCTAGTTGATTAATTTTATTGTTGTTATGTAGAGAAGGGATATTTAAAATTTAAAATAATTAAACCTAATATATATTTTTGTTAAAATCAAATTATTTGTTTATTATATTGGCTGCACTTTCCAGAATGGGCAGCGCCTGAGTCGGTAGTGTGTGGTATAGGTAGATAGGTATTGATGTGTAGTTAACATATATCATAAATTAGAGTTATGACGCTTTTAAAGCCAGATTTATTTTTAAAAAGTGCTTATTAATTTATTTAAATGTATATTTTATCAAAACCTAACCTAACCTAACCTAACCTAACCTAACCTAACCTAACCTAACCTAACCTAACCTAACCTAACCTAACCTAACCTAACCTAACCTAACCTAACCTAACCTAACCTAACCTAACCTAACCTAACCTAACCTAACCTAACCTAACCTAACCTAACCTAACCTAACCTAACCTAACCTAACCTAACCTAACCTAACCTAACCTAAAAAAAATGTTTTAAAGTGACAAAATAATCTCAACCTTAGACATGTAGGGTATCAATTGATTCAGTATGACATAATATTTTAATTTATTTTAAATTATAAATACACAAAAAATAAAGCACACAAATAATAATATATATTTAGTATCAAATTTTTTTTTAAAAAAACTAATAAAATAATTTAGTTTATCTACTATCGGGGCAATTGGTCATCAATTGAGGCCAATCCGTAGGCAATTGACGCCCATACAGCCGTACACAGGTCCAGATCGCGCCGATTCTGGACAGTCATAGTATCGCCGTCCGTGTGATGAAAATAAAAATATTTTTGGTTTCGAGTGTCGAGACTACCGCCGGGAACACCTTTACCGACCAAAAAGTCAATATCGGTTCACAAATTTTGACTGACGATACTTAACTGAGTAGCGTTTATGGGTTTCAATGTTTTCAGTAATTCATTGACAATACACTGTGCGGTCGGGTTTTGGCCCCAATAGCTAATACCTGTCGGTCTAAACGTTCCCATATCTGACTCCATAGCTATACTTATTTTGTTTAACTCATTGATATGTTTCTATATACAGAAGATATACAGTATATTATAAATACTTAATTTATAATAATTTTTGTTGAATACTGTGTGTGTGTGTGTGTGTGTGTGTGTGTGTGTGTGTATGTATGTATGTATGTATTTGTGTGTATGTATTTGTGTGTATGTATTTGTGTTGTGTGTATGTATTTGTGTGTATGTATTTGTGTGTATGTATTTGTGTGTATGTATTTGTGTGTTTGTATWTGTGTATGTATTTGTGTGTATGTATTTGTGTGTATGTATTTGTGTGTATGTATTTGTGTGTATGTATTTGTGTGTATGTATTTGTGTGTTTGTATATGTGTATGTATTTGTGTGTATGTATATGTGTATGTATTTGTGTGTATGTATATGTGTATGTATTTGTGTGTATGTATTTGTGTGTATGTATATGTGTATGTATTTGTGTGTATGTATATGTGTATGTATTTGTATTTAAAAGATAGTATTATTATTATTTTTATTTTAATAGCAAATTATTTATAAACTTTTATTATTGTTGATTACATACCTGTGTGTATTGTTGAGCACCTATGAGACCCATTTCCTCGCCGGTCCACAACACCGATCGTACAGTACGTTTCGGTTGTAGACCAAGTTTTTTGATGACCGACAGTGCCCGCCATGCGATGAATGCACCGCCGCCGTTATCCATGGCTCCCTGTCCTACGTCCCATGAGTCCAGATGACCCGATACTAGTACTACCTAATTGTTTGGTATCAGTACAGTATTTACTAGTAGTACACACTAACCTCATCCGGTTTAGTTGGACCGATAATCTCGCTGATAGTATTCCTCGATACGCCCACACCATTCATATGGGCCTCCATTGATAGACTGACCGTAATGTTGATACCACGGCCAGCCAATCGACCAAACAGTTCGGCATCTTCTACGGTAATACTGACGGCCGGTATTTTCCGTATATTATTATTAGCGTAAGCTATTATCAAATGTAATAATTATAATAATAATACTAATACTAAACTATACGTACTTTGTTGGCCAGTATGCGGTGAATAGATTGAAAACGGTGTCACCGATCGGATCTATTGACACAAAAATAATAATTATAATAAAATATAATTATAAAAACTTTAGTAGTAATAGTAGTTTTGTTAGTAGTAGTAGTAGTAGTAGTAGTAGTAGTAGTAGTTTTGTTAGTAGTAGTAGTAGTAGTAAAAGTAGTATTAGTAGTAGTAGTAGTAGTAGTAGTAGTAGTAGTAATAGTAGTTTTTTTAGTAGTAGTATCTGTAAAAAATTAATAATATTTACCAAAACACCGATAGCACCGAACTGTGCCGCACGACTGGCTCCCTGTTCTCTGTATTGAACGGATACACCATAGCTAACAAAATCATTGTTATAGACAACAAACTTTCCCCGGACTTCATGGGATCGCCTTTTTAGTTCATCAAATGTTTTGACAACTATAACATTACCGGTAAGTACTGATCCATTGGTACCAACACTTGTGCCCAAACCCAATATGTTTAACTGTTTTATACGTGGACTAACCATTTGTGCCCATTCCTTGCCACGTATCTGTCATTTCATTAGTATTAGTATTAATTTGATATAATTTGATGGACAGATATGTTATATACATACCCAGACAGGAACGGTAACATTTTCCGTATAAACTTTATCATGTCGTTCCCGTTTCAATCGATCAACCATATAGTCGATAGACGACTCGAGACTAGCAGTTCCCGTAAATCGTGGGCCAAACAGGTCGACAAATTTTGACAATTCATCATATGTTACGCCACTATCGGGACCGTTGACCACATATTTGATGATTTTTTGGATATCGGGTGAAATGTTGCCGATTTGTTGACGGATTTTATTAATAATAAATTTAGGCAATGATTCACATATTTTCGGATCAAATGTTGTGGTTGTTTGGACTAAATCTATATAAAATAATTTTAAACTAACTATTAATACTAACAAAAAAATATTTATCATAATTGTATTTGTTTTAAATAAAAAATAAATATATTTTTTAAAATAATTTATTTATAATAATATTTGATTAATCATTTTTCATTTTAATATTAAACTCAATGATAATTAAATAATTTAATAAAATAGCAATTTTTTTTAGAAACTTTAAATTCTAGATAAAAAATTTTTATAATGATTTTATTAAATAAAAAATAAAATTATATAAAATTATTTTTTTCAATAAGTTATTAATAATTGTTTAAAAAAAACATTTAATTTACAATAGAAAATATAAAACTATTATTTAAACGAATTATTGTTTTATTTTTGTTAAAATTATTATTAACTAAACCAAACATATGTAACTAATTGTAAAAATTTTTTTTTCTAGTTTTTAGTAAAAAGTTAAAAAACTAATCAATTGTCTAAAAAAATATGCAATTTATTAAATAACAATAATATAAAATATTAAAATAAATGTTTCATTGATTATCAAAAAATAAATATTTTAAATTTTTTTATAAAATAGTGTTTTATATATATAATATAAATATAATACACAGTTTTTATAAAATAATAATTTTAATATATAATATATAATAATAATATATACTTATTAATATTTTAATGTTGATGATGATTATTTTATAAATTACTATTAACAAAATTAATAATAAAAATAATAACATTAACTAAAATATTAGATTTATCGGTTAATATACATAAAAAATTTTCTAATAATATAATATACTATATAATTAATTGATTTTTAAGTAAGGTACTTATTGTAATAATAATAATAATGTTGATGATGTTATTATTAATAAAATAAAATTAATGGCCATATAATATTATTATTATTATTATTATTATTATTATTATTATTATTATTATTATTATTATTATTATTATTATTATTATTATTATTATTATTATTATTATTATTATTATTATTATTATTATTTTGTAAAATCATATAATCTAATCTTTAAATACTGTATTTCATTGTCAGTAATATTGTTAATAAACAAGTGTAATATATTTTTTTTTCTGTAAAATATTTTTTTTATTAAAGTATTATTTTCTTATGTTATGTAATATTAAAAATAATTAAATAATTTAGTATATTTTACTAATTTTTATTTTATTTATAATAATTTAATATCTAATAATAAAAATATTTTACTTTTTAATAACATTAATAACTAATATATTATTTTAACAATAATTTATATTTATGTTCGATTATAATGATAATGATGCTGATGGTGAAAATAATGCTGATGTTGATAATTGTTATGACAGCCTGTATTTCAGGTGAAGATGATGATGACAATGCTGAACTTGAAGGGACAATCGCCCCTAGACCAGTAAATAAACACATGCATTTTGGTTAAAGTGAGAGAGAGAAAGTGAAAGAGATATTCAAATGGACTAAAATAAAATTAAGCGTTTTTTGGAAAAATATAAATTTTTTTTAATTAATTACTTATATTTTAATAATTAATTAATCCTAATATAAATATTGTTATCTAAATTATTTTTTTATTTATTTAAATAAATTTTTTATTTCCATAAGCTAGTTGATTAATTTTATTGTTGTGTAGAGAAGGGATATTTAAAATAATTAAATCTAATATATATTTTGTTAAAATCAAATTATTTGTTTATTATATTGGCTGCACTTTCCAGAATGGGCAGCGCCTGAGTCGGTAGTGTGTGGTATAGGTAGATAGGTATTGATGTGTAGTTAGCATATATAAAATTAGAGTTATGACGCTTTGAAAGCCAAATTTATTTTTAAAATGTGCTTATTAATTTATTTAAATGTATATTTTATCAAAACCTAACCTAACCTAACCTAACCTAACCTAACCTAACCTAACCTAACCTAACCTAACCTAACCTATTAAAATATGATTTAAAAAAATTGAGTTAAAATAAAATAGTTTTTACAATTATTAATACATAAATATTATATGTGAATAAATGTTTTAAAGTGACAAAATAATCTCAACCTTAGACATGTAGGGTATCAATTGATTCAGTATGACATAATATTTTAATTTATTTTAAATTATAAATACACAAAAAATAAAGCACACAAATAATAATATATATTTAGTATCAAATTTTTTTTAAAAAAACTAATAAAATAATTTAGTTTATCTACTATCGGGGCAATTGGTCATCAATTGAGGCCAATCCGTAGGCAATTGACGCCCATACAGCCGTACACAGGTCCAGATCGCGCCGATTCTGGACAGTCATAGTATCGCCGTCCGTGTGATGAAAATAAAAATATTTTTGGTTTCGAGTGTCGAGACTACCGCCGGGAACACCTTTACCGACCAAAAAGTCAATATCGGTTCACAAATTTTGACTGACGATACTTAACTGAGTAGCGTTTATGGGTTTCAATGTTTTCAGTAATTCATTGACAATACACTGTGCGGTCGGGTTTTGGCCCCAATAGCTAATACCTGTCGGTCTAAACGTTCCCATATCTGACTCCATAGCTATACTTATTTTGTTTAACTCATTGATATGTTTCTATATACAGAAGATATACAGTATATTATAAATACTTAATTTATAATAATTTTTGTTGAATACTGTGTGTGTGTGTGTGTGTGTGTGTGTGTGTGTGTGTGTGTATGTATGTATGTATGTATTTGTGTGTATGTATTTGTGTGTATGTATTTGTGTGTATGTATTTGTGTGTATGTATTTGTGTGTATGTATTTGTGTGTATGTATTTGTGTGTTTGTATATGTGTATGTATTTGTGTGTATGTATTTGTGTGTATGTATTTGTGTGTATGTATTTGTGTGTATGTATTTGTGTGTATGTATTTGTGTGTTTGTATATGTGTATGTATTTGTGTGTATGTATATGTGTATGTATTTGTGTGTATGTATATGTGTATGTATTTGTGTGTATGTATTTGTGTGTATGTATATGTGTATGTATTTGTGTGTATGTATATGTGTATGTATTTGTATTTAAAAGATAGTATTATTATTATTTTTATTTTAATAGCAAATTATTTATAAACTTTTATTATTGTTGATTACATACCTGTGTGTATTGTTGAGCACCTATGAGACCCATTTCCTCGCCGGTCCACAACACCGATCGTACAGTACGTTTCGGTTGTAGACCAAGTTTTTTGATGACCGACAGTGCCCGCCATGCGATGAATGCACCGCCGCCGTTATCCATGGCTCCCTGTCCTACGTCCCATGAGTCCAGATGACCCGATACTAGTACTACCTAATTGTTTGGTATCAGTACAGTATTTACTAGTAGTACACACTAACCTCATCCGGTTTAGTTGGACCGATAATCTCGCTGATAGTATTCCTCGATACGCCCACACCATTCATATGGGCCTCCATTGATAGACTGACCGTAATGTTGATACCACGGCCAGCCAATCGACCAAACAGTTCGGCATCTTCTACGGTAATACTGACGGCCGGTATTTTCCGTATATTATTATTAGCGTAAGCTATTATCAAATGTAATAATTATAATAATAATACTAATACTAAACTATACGTACTTTGTTGGCCAGTATGCGGTGAATAGATTGAAAACGGTGTCACCGATCGGATCTATTGACACAAAAATAATAATTATAATAAAATATAATTATAAAAACTTTAGTAGTAATAGTAGTTTTGTTAGTAGTAGTAGTAGTAGTAGTAGTAGTAGTAGTAGTAGTAGTTTTGTTAGTAGTAGTAGTAGTAGTAAAAGTAGTATTAGTAGTAGTAGTAGTAGTAGTAGTAGTAGTAATAGTAGTTTTTTTAGTAGTAGTATCTGTAAAAAATTAATAATATTTACCAAAACACCGATAGCACCGAACTGTGCCGCACGACTGGCTCCCTGTTCTCTGTATTGAACGGATACACCATAGCTAACAAAATCATTGTTATAGACAACAAACTTTCCCCGGACTTCATGGGATCGCCTTTTTAGTTCATCAAATGTTTTGACAACTATAACATTACCGGTAAGTACTGATCCATTGGTACCAACACTTGTGCCCAAACCCAATATGTTTAACTGTTTTATACGTGGACTAACCATTTGTGCCCATTCCTTGCCACGTATCTGTCATTTCATTAGTATTAGTATTAATTTGATATAATTTGATGGACAGATATGTTATATACATACCCAGACAGGAACGGTAACATTTTCCGTATAAACTTTATCATGTCGTTCCCGTTTCAATCGATCAACCATATAGTCGATAGACGACTCGAGACTAGCAGTTCCCGTAAATCGTGGGCCAAACAGGTCGACAAATTTTGACAATTCATCATATGTTACGCCACTATCGGGACCGTTGACCACATATTTGATGATTTTTTGGATATCGGGTGAAATGTTGCCGATTTGTTGACGGATTTTATTAATAATAAATTTAGGCAATGATTCACATATTTTCGGATCAAATGTTGTGGTTGTTTGGACTAAATCTATATAAAATAATTTTAAACTAACTATTAATACTAACAAAAAAATATTTATCATAATTGTATTTGTTTTAAATAAAAAATAAATATATTTTTTAAAATAATTTATTTATAATAATATTTGATTAATCATTTTTCATTTTAATATTAAACTCAATGATAATTAAATAATTTAATAAATTAGCAATTTTTTTTAGAAACTTTAAATTCTAGATAAAAAATTTTTATAATGATTTTATTAAATAAAAAATAAAATTATATAAAATTATTTTTTTCAATAAGTTATTAATAATTGTTTAAAAAAACATTTAATTTACAATAGAAAATATAAAACTATTATTTAAACGAATTATTGTTTTATTTTTGTTAAAATTATTATTAACTAAACCAAACATATGTAACTAATTGTAAAATTTTTTTTCTAGTTTTTAGTAAAAAGTTAAAAAACTAATCAATTGTCTAAAAAAATATGCAATTTATTAAATAACAATAATATAAAATATTAAAATAAATGTTTCATTGAT